TCTGTCTTAGGCTCTATAGTTGCTTCTCCTATAGTAACACTATCTGTTACTGCTGTTCGCTTGTTGTGGAAGTGGATAAGCTCTGTCTTTTCAATGTCGAAGGCAATAGCAGAGTGCTTAGCTGCTGTAACTAGCTCGCCAGCTATCTTTTATAGAATTCGGCAGTTTTTCTGTGTAGAGTTTGAGGCAATAGAGAAGGAAAAGTCGTCAATGTAGCTTAGTTTAAAGCTACATTCCCTTCCTTTTTACAAAGTTCACTTATGTAAATAAGGAACAGGATAGGGGATACAGGAGAGCCTTGTGGGATTCCTGCATTTATCTCCTCTTTATCTTATATTTGTCCATTAAACTGTAGCTGTAGTTCCCTGTCTTCTACAAAAGAAGCAATCCACTTTATTAGGCTAAGGGGTAAACCTAGCCTAATGCAAACAGATAGGAGTTGGTTTTTAGAGACATGGTCGAAGGCTCCCTTTATGTCTAATAGGAGGGTAGAGACTATCTTCTTTTTCTGCTGTTTGCTCTTCTCAATGTAGTTGAGAAGTAATAAGGTAGCATCGATTGAAGATCTCTGTTGTCATCTCCCTATTTGGCTATTGTCTAGCAAGTCTGTTGTATTTGCTAGGTAGCCTAAGCGAGTAGCGATTATCTTCTCTAATACCTTGCCAAGGCAATTAATAAGAGAGATAACCCTATAAGACTTAGGGAGGGAGTAATTCTTTTTGTTTGGCTTTGCAAGGATAACCCCTATCGCACCTTTCCACACCTTAGGGTGGTGCTCTAGATTAAATAAAGCCTTATAGAGACGGGAAAGCAAGCTCCCTATAGCAGCAAGGACCTCTCTAAGGACTAGGAAGGATAATTGATCTGGCCCTGGTGCTTTCTTAGGAGAGCTAGTCTCAATAGCTTGTTTAACCTCAGCTTCTTCAAGCGGTGGCCATTCCCAATCCCTGGACTTGTAGTCTCTCTACCTAGGTGGAGGGGTAACAGGAGGCAAAGGAAATAGCGTTTCTCTTAAAGTTTTACATTGTTCCTTGAACTCTTCCGCTACACCTTCTTTGTCTTTGTATACTAAAGGAGGAATACGTCTTGTGGTTCTCTGCTTAGCATAGCGAAGGGCAGTGAATATTTCCTTATCTTTTGCCTTTTCTAGGAAAGAATTCCAGCAATTCGTCTTAGCCTCTTTAATACTGGAGAAATAGAAGTTTCTAGCATTTTTATAGGCTATTATCCGGCTCTTTGCTGTAGGCTGTTGTTGTAGTTGTTTTAAACAACTCACCATCTTCTTTCTAGCTTGAGAAAGTGCCTCTGTCCATCAGGGTTTCGAATGTTCAGACTGCCTAGCTAAAGGGATAGCTATATTTGCCCCTTCTTGGATACAAGCTGTAAGTGTAACAGCTACCTCCTCTGCCTGTTCTATTGCAGTATTGCTAGAGGAAGATACTTGCTCTTCTAGTGTAGTAATCTTAGCCTCTAAGCCTTCTATCTCTGTTGCTATAAGCAGGTGTTTTTTAAATAGCTTCCAGTTAGCCTTTTTAAAGTTAAACCTGCTAAGCAATGGATGGAGGAATTTATCTACCTCCTTGGTAAATAAGGAAAAGCCTATTGTAGCATGGTCAGAGCCTGTAGCCTCTAGCACTGCCCAGTTATCAAGCTCGCTCTCCTTAAAGGAAGGGGTGTAGAAGGCTAGATCTATAATAGATTGCTTAGTAAGGTTAGAGCGGAAATAGGTGGACTCTTCTTCCTTATTAAGCAATTGGCAATTATAGCCCTGCAGCCATTCTACCAAGTCCTGGCTCTCTCGGATGACATTCTGAGCTGCGGAGTTCCACCAAGGATGGTGGCAATTGAAATCTCCTAAAAGGACAAAAGGAAGCTCTAGATTAAGCGGCAAAAGAGTCCTCCTAATAGTAGTAGCCCCTAGAGGTTGTGTTGTGGAATCCTTGTTTAATTCCTTCTCATTGTAGATGTTGAACAGAAGGAACCTTTCAGTAGGGCTGACACTAGCTTAGTTAGTACTATAAACTGCTAATAATATAGGTATTTTTCAATAGTAGCTATTACTATAAAGCTAGGTATAAAGACTACTAGAATAGTAGCAACCTTTACTAGTAACTTATGTAGCAACCTAGCTAGCTTAGAATTTCTAAGTTATACCTAGCTACTTAGTATCTTAGTAAAAGTTATCTAGCTATATATAATAGATCCTAACTCTCTCTATATATAATAGCTTTATATTATATAACTAGTATATAACCTTATTAGATTAAGGTTCTTCTAAACTTAATCTTTGCTTATAGAGCCTACTATACTATACCCTTTATATAGCAGACTCTATCTTTTATATACTAGCATAACTATTAACGTGTTTCATAAGCGAGCGCCCCACCCAAGCGAGCGCTCCAGCGTACACTGCCAAAGCGTATGTACAGCGACGTTGCGCAACACTACAACAATAATTGGTGCTATACATAATAATATAGTATTATTTAGAAGCTTCACTATCATCTGCATCCTGTATTTCAACCTTGCAAGTGCGGGAGTTGTGCCCAGTCTCACCGCAATGGCCACAGTGCCTCTCTCGATGTACTCTCTTCGCAGGCATCTTGCTTCCATTATAACTGCTACTCTCTTTTCCAGCAATCAAATCAGATATCTCACCAACTGTTAAGGTCTCCTCTGTCTGCACATATCGCCACTTACGACTCTTGCGCTTTGTAGCTACTTCTACTGCATCTTTTAGGTGACTCAATTCCTCCTGCATTAGCACCATATTATGTGCTATCTGCTGAGCACCTTTGGTAAGTTGCCGCACCTGCTCATCTATAGAACTTGCTGAGGACCCTGGGCACCTTTGAATCTTGTTTCGAATAAGTGTTGACTGTGCCTCTATCTCGCAGGCGTTGTACGGTGTTTTTGCTTCCCAATTGACAGCATCTGGTACGGGTGGTGTTGGTGTACGCAGCTGCACATCTAGCTTTGATAGCACAGCCTCTGGGTCATGTGGGACTATTCTAGCACCTCGAAACCCTACATAGACATTCTCCTTTGTAAACGCCTTCTCAAAAGCCACTTTAAAGGCTGGTAGGAAGGTTTCTTTGCTGATATGGTGGATCCGGCTACATGCCAAGGCTGAGATCCTGTCACCATACAGACGTTTTAGCAGCGAGTAGCAGACGACATCAAGTGGCTGCAAGAGGTGTGATGAGTGTGGAAGCATACAGAGAGCTATGATCTTGTTCTCCTTGCAGTAGTCCTGGAATTCTACTGAGCAGTGGCTCTCGTGCCCGTCAATAATAAGCAGTCTGTATACCCCTACAGTATGAGTCTTCGTATGCATGTCGAAGTGCTTGAGCCATGCCAGTGCGAGATCATTATTAATCCAGCCAGTAGGAGAGACCTCAATAATCCAGTCGCGAGGTAGATTGTCGAACCAGGAGGAGATAAGAACCTTGCCTGCAAAGATGATGAAGGGTGGGATAACACGTCCTGTTGTGCCGATACCTTGTACCAGGATAACCCACTCACGATCACCAGGCTATAGTTTCTTCTGTTTTCCAGGTTTCTCTGAACCTGTAACAACAAGCTGAGATGATATCTTGCCCATTAGGAAGCCGGATTCGTAGAAGTTGTAGATGTCCTCATCTACAATACCATATTTCACCTTCATCGACTGAACAAGAGTGAACCAAGGCCGGATAACTGCTGGATCCTCGCAGGCAGCTCGCTGGTGATCGTACAGATGGCTCCATCATGTTCGCAGCTCAGGTATATGCTTGATAAAGTTATCAACCCAGTTCTTGCCAGTAGGCTTCCTACCACGCTCTCTTAGCAATCTGTCAGCCATATCTCGTACATCTGCCTTCGATACTGGCACACCACATAAACTCTCATCAAGTATACATTCCACAATCACCTCCTCTTCTAGTTTTGTCAGGCACTTTGAGTTTGGCTCGCAGTCACGTCGAGAGCACGTTCCAGCGCATCGCCGTTGTATCATCCTTCGAGGAACAGTGTAGATTGTTTCAGCATGCTGAAGGCTTTTGATTTGATTTTTTTGGATATCAGAGATAGCAAGCTGCACATCACCTTCAGTATAGGTTCTCTGAGCTCGGTGTTGTTGAGACATTATGTGTTGTTGCTATACACGTGCTTTGGCAGTGTATGCTGGGGCGCTCGCTTGGGTGGGGCACTCGCTTATGAAACACGTTATATAGAAATAACGTTATATAGAAATACTTTTTAAAGAACTTATTAGATTTAGAAGTATCTAAAAAGGGTTATAGTAATATAAAGATTAAATAAAGATAGATTAACTAATTATATCCTAGTAAGTACTTCTATATATAAGGCTAAGACCTAATACTAGTTTTATTATTCTTTTTCTAGATGCTAAGGCTATATAAGGCACTAGCTATGATAGAGATACTCTAGCTACTATAAGCTTACTAGCTATATACTCTAAGATAGTACTAGTATAAATAAATTCTTTAACTTTTTCTATCTAATACTAGATAAAATATCTATAAAAATAGCTTCCTATCTAATAGAACTATAGTACTAGAAAGCTTACGTAACGTGTTATAGAAAGAGAGGCTTTGTACTAAATAGATAATATATTCTATAGTAGTTAGACTACTAAAAAAAGAAACTCTATATATAGGCTAAGATAGGGCCTACTTATATAAATAAAAAGCTTTAAGTTAGTAGATATATTAGCAGTTCTTTTATAGGTTCTATTACTGTCCTAGTATCTATACTAATTTGTGTGTATATAGAGACGCGCGGAAAATTGCTAAGGAATTATCTATCTAGTTGTACAGTTGGCAACGCCAAGTTACTAACACGAACACCTTCCGTTTTGGGCATATTATAATGTCAACTACGATCCTCCGGCAGCCCTTCTAGACTACTGTCTAAGCTAAAAGGCAGTTTGGTGTCCTGTCACAGTGTGCGTGCCGTGCCATATATCCCACCCATCCTTCGACAACGCCTTAGGCACGATGAGAACCTCGGTCCTCTTCCTTCTATCTTTCGCCATTGGTGCCTACAGCGCAGCACCCATCATCAGCTCCTCAAGCACACGTGCCGTGCCGAACAATTTCATCGTCGTTCTCAAGCCATCGGTCTCCAAATCCAGACTCATTTCTCATCTGGAGTTCGCAGATGATGTACTGAGCGCACGAGGCGCTGTGAGGAACTCTACATACGAATTTCCTGGATTCAGAGGATATTACCTCCAGGCGCCATCCGACGTGGTATCTATCCTAGCAGAGAGAGAAGAGGTAGCTAGTTTTGCCTTTCTTTCCAGGCATAGGTAGCATTGCGGTGGCGGCAAATGCCTCGCCGGCGACTAATTCCCTTAGGTGGCATACATCGAAGCAGATCAAACAGTCACGGTTACTACGGCTTCAAAATCCCACACACATCTTTCACGGAGAGTACAGACAAATTCACCTTGGAACCTTGCCCGCATCTCGCATCGGGTACGAGGTAGCGCGGATTACGTGTACGAGCCTACGGCGGGTACTTACGTCTACATCCTGGACACGGGAGTGAAGGTCACCCATCAAGAATTCCAACGCCGAGCTTCATTTGGCTTCAACGCTGTCGGAGGCTCGAACGATGACATCAACGGACACGGCACTCACCTCGCGGGGATAGTGTCTAGTCAAACCTATGGCATTGTACGATTCGCTAGCATTATTGCAGTAAAAGCCGTGGGGGATACGGGATCTGGCACCGGTAGGTCTTAGGGGCCATCACCGGTGAAGCATGTATCTAACATTATTTCAGTCTCACAGGTTATCTCAGCAATCAATTGGGCGGTCCAGGATATGCAGACCAAAGGACGGGTGGGAAAAGCAACCGCGCTTCTTGCCGTTGGCGGAGGCTTCAGTACGGCCATGAACAATGCGGTTGCTAATGCATCCAATGCAGGTCTCATGTTCGCCGTAGCCGCAGGTGGTGCAGCCACCACAGACAACAGTTCGCCGGCTTCTGAACCCACAGCATGCACAGCAGGCGGGACCACTAGCGCCGATGCAAGGATGTCTTCCTCCAACTATGGACCTACCAGTAAGTATCGTTGAGAAAAATGGAAGTCTTATGCTCATGCCATATTAGTCGATATTTGGGCACCAGGCGATTCCATCACCTCCTTATGGGCCACAAGTGACACTGCCACAAATATTTTATCTGGCAACTCCGTGGCTGCGGCTCACATTGCAGGTCTCGGCGCCTACTTTTTGGCCCTTGAAGGACCAAGGACTGCGGTGGCGCTGTGCGAACGGCTGAAGGAGGCCGCCACACCAAATGTGCTCTCTGGCATTCCTGGAGGCACCGTGAATCTTCTTGCATACAATCTCAGTGGACTTTGAATATGTGTCGAGAAGTATTCGAGGTGGACAGAAGAAGGGCGCAGAAACCAACTGCGGCCATGGACAGATCGCTTGTTTCTATTTCTTCGTCAGGACGAATGCAAAGTATTCAAACGTGCCAGCCTCCTCTTTCAATTCAACCACCCTGAGGTCCCAAATACCGTCCCTGAGCAGCAGTGGTTTCATGAAGTGCGGCTGTCGGTAGGTGATGTACAGAAAGACGCCACCGGTCTTCAGCACTCTGACGACCTATGCGAAGACGGTGAGCCTTGCCCTATGGCGGTGATCGTGCAGCCACTCACTGCATCTATATACTTCTTGATGTTGTCCCTAACATGGGCGGGAGGATCCCACAGACTTCCAGAAATCATGGCATCCAGCGTACCTTTGTCGATTGCTACATCGAAGTCGCCCGCTTCGACATGGGTCATGCATCTCACATCAGCCACCTTCCAGTCAATCCCCGATCTATCGGAAAAGCGATTGGTCATGTCATTGATGACGACGGTGGAGAAATCGACGCAGACTTGGTTTTGATAGCCCTTGGAATGGAGATCTATGGGAAGCGCCTAGGGCGTCATCGTGCATCCCCGTCAGCACGGCATGTTGACATGGATCTAGGAGATGGGGGGTTGCCTTCGAGGCTACTCACACTGTTTCCGCAGCCTAGGTGCAAGATGCGTGGGCATTTACCATGGTTGGTGGGCGGAGGCAAATGTGTAGAGAAGAAAGGCTGCAGGTTTTGGAACGATTTGAACCACTCAAAAGTGGAGTCCTTGTCGCTATTCTGGTACCGCTTATCCCAGTAACTGGAATGGGCCAGCTCCTCGAGGGATGTTGCGTCGGCCATTGCAGATGAATTTACTAGAATTGCTCCGTGGCAGACTTGATGGAGAATGACCCCGTGGTAGGGTTGAGAAAGTGTCGGCCTTTTGATTGGACAAGAGTTTAAATCCTTCAATCTATTATCTCATTGGCTCAACTCTGCATGTTTTCCTCGGCGACCTATCGAAAACATCATTCTTGTTAACCACCATCTGCGCCAGTCCCTCGAGAGACCCAAGAACCGACAAATTGCAATCATGGACCTGCCCGCCTCAACCATTCACCTGCGCAACGCCCTGTCGTCGGTCTCAGGAGGGCCCAGGCGCACCTACATCATCTACTTCGTCACCGGCAACCCGGGACTCATAGAATACTACCGCCCCTTTCTCACCCATCTGTTTGGCCTTCTCCACTCTTCCCCTTCGCCTTCTTCCCCGGCCATCGACTATGAGATATATGGGCGCAGCCTATGGGGTTTCGAAATCGAGAGAGGCCCACGGAAGAAAGAGGCCGAGGCCGAAAATGACTACTCCCTCTCGGGCGTCACCAGCACCGGGGGGAAGCCACCGTATACTGTCAGGGAGCAGGTTGAGCTGTCCAAAGCTGCGCTGAAACGTGTCGTTGCAGCAGCGAGGGCTAGTGGAAATCCCGATGTACGCGTCATCCTCATGGGTCACAGTATGGGCACATACATTTCCCTCGAGGTTATGCGGCGATTGAGGGCAGAGGCCGAGGCACAGATAGATGCAAAGAACGACAGTATCAGAGTTGCCGGCGCTGCATTGCTGTTCGCGACTATCATGCATCTTGCAAAGAGCTCGAGCGGGCGGAAGATGAGTGTATATACGTTGGCCTGCGCAGCACAGTCCGGCGGTACTAAGCTAACCACTGTACATAGCCTTTCCTTGCCCTTCCACACTTTGCCTTGGTTGTCTCTTTCGTTGCCCGGATTCTCACAGTCTTTGTACCAACCACCTTCCTGGCCATGATTATCCAGCGCATCGTAGGCTTTCCTCCCGCGCCTGCCCGAGTGACTGCCGAATTTGTCAAGAGCCGCCGTGGTGTGGAGCAGGCCTTGTTCATGGCCAACGATGAGATGAAGGAGATTACCATCGACAAATGGGACGCAGACATTTGGGGAGCCGCACACGCTTCACCGCACCCACACCCGCGACCAACACTTCGTTTCCTATTCGCAAAGTCAGATCACTGGTAGGTTCTGCGAGCGAATTGGAAAGAAGCGTGTAGCTGACACAGCTTCAGGGTCGCGGATGAGACACGCGAAGAACTGATCAGACTGCGCGGATCCCAAAGGAATGGGAGCCCAGATTGGCTGCCTCGAATGGAGGTAGACGAGTCTGAAGGGTGGCCTCATGGGTTCTGCATCCGGCATAGCATACCTGTTGCTGAGAGGGTCTGCAGCTACGTACGTGACATTGTCGAGCGCGACCTAGGAGCGTCATGAAGCAACAATCGCCGAGATGGTTCCACTCATGAGCCTGTGGCCTCGTAATCTTGCTTCGCTTTGGTGAATAGTTGGGCCAAGACATCGTTGGTGGCAGGTCCGCCTTCCTGGGCGTATTGGCTGGCATCCCTGGCATGTTGCCCAGTGCCCTGGCCAAATAGCTCGAGGAGGGAGACCTGATGGCCTGTGGGCTGGCTGGGAACGGCGTGCCTGGCAGACTGCGGAGGTTGGAGTTGGGTAGCTTCTCTCACGCTGTCGATGGCGTCCTGGATTGCTGCGGCCGTGTTGCTCCGAACATTGGCTGTTGACGGTGGCTCCCACACCCAGAGCCCATAACCCGCGTGGCCGTCACCCCGGCTGAGAATGATGAACTCGCCCTCAATCTCCATGTCGTCGTCGCCAGAGATATTCCACTCAAAGTTGTTGAGTCCCATGCGACTGAGAATGACCACAGAGAAGCGGCAGGGCCGATGGGAGGTTGGCTCCAGTCTGCAGACGAAGACGGGGCCTGCGATTTCACCCTTCTCCCACTGGCCCGTGTCTCGGTTAACGTTGTAGAGCTCCATGTATGCGGCAGTGTGCTTGATGGCCATGATTCCGGGATAGTGACGACGCAGGACGGCCAGATTGAGGTCTCTCGTGCGCTGTTCGAGCTCGGCGTGCGTGGGATAAACCACCGCGGGAGGTGCCTGCTTCTTCGGCTTGGACGGCATAACGGTCGACTCTGGCAGTTTTGAAGTTGGACTATGATTGTGAGTCGGTGACGGAGGGAGTTCGCAATCGCGTTGCCGGCGCTCTCGGGAGAGCTCGTTGGGTGTTCCTCGGACGTTGCTGGGAGAATGTCGGTTCGGGCAATTCGCGGAAACCTTGGAAGCTTGGTGTGGCTAAGCATATTGTGGCCGTGCAAGTGGCTGGTGAAACAAAACGTCATCAACCTCCGTAGATCGTCGAATTTCAGGGTCGATGCCACTTCGAGACAGCCTTTTCCCAGCATCCAGCTCCTAGCACGGTCAACTTTACCTGGAATGTTTCTCCAAGCCCTTCACCACGCTGTATCGCCGCCTTGAGCTCCCCAGCTCTGAAACCCGTACAATCGAGATTCTCGGGAGACTCTTCCCGTAACCCTTCGCCAAAGACTTGCTGTTTAACCAAGCACGTAGTATTTTGAACGGCATGGCGTGAAATAAACCCATCGTGACTATCGCAGCCATCTTTCCTCCACTACCCCTCGGCCTCCTTGCCCCGCAAAACTGCCATGTCCTCCTCATCCGCGGACGCCCTGGAAGCGCGTATACCAGGCGCTTTTCCTGAACCAGCAGACGGGACGACGCAAGTTTCAACCCCTCAGTCTCTGGCCCAGCGGTTGTTCGAACGCCGTGCTGAGTACACTCGCCCGCGCGCTATTCGCATCAAGGTTGGAACGTGGAATGTAGGTGGACTGAAGGACACCGACAAGGACCTTGCGACCTGGTTTGTGAATAGCGAGGTACACCAACCTTCAACATCTGCAACAGCTGGTGATACGGATGATCCAGAGGACGACAGCCAAGCGCTCGTGCGTGACGGACAGGTCGGCATCTACGCGCTGGGTCTGCAGGAAATAGTCGACGTCTCTTCTGCCGCGGAGGCATTGCGTCCGTATGCCGATCCCACTGTACCCAACCGGTGGAAGAACTCTATGCAGAGCGCTCTACCGCCAGGCTATCAGCTTATTGCAGAGCAGCAGCTGGTTGGTCTGCTCCTCCTGATATATGCCGCGCCCGCCGCCGTCCCCCACATCAAGTCAGTTAGCACTACGAGCGTAGGGACCGGCTTGATGGGCTACATGGGTAATAAGGGCGCTGTTGCCGCGCGAATTGTACTCGGGGAGACCACGCGTCTTGTCTTCATCAATTCTCACCTAGCTGCTGGTGCCGATAAGGCTGCGTTGGATCGAAGAAACTGGGATGCTTCGCAAATTGTCAGCCGCATCAGGTTCAGTCCCATTCCGGATGCTACGGGGTCATCCCAGGGAACGAGTGAAGGCATGGGCGATGAAGACGTAGCCTTTTGGTTTGGTGATCTGAACTATCGGCTCGAAGGTATTCCCGGAGAGGACGTTCGTCGGCTACTCTCGATTCACACCCGCACACTCGGTCTTGACGCAGAGGTAGAGACGGCCAGCCATGCCTCTTCAGATGCATCATTATCCACCGCCTCGAGGGCAGCTTCCTCAGAAGAATTTTCGGAAAATGACATCGAGATACCCCCAGAATTGGATCCCGCGTCTCTTCAGACAACTCTCTCGTCGCTACTGTCGCACGACGAGCTTCATCAGTCGCAGAAGGCGGGGAAAGCATTTCATGACGGTTGGGAGGAGCCTCCAATCCGCTTCCTCCCATCGTACAAGTATGACGTTGGCAAGGTTGGCGTCTTCGACTCCAGTGACAAGCGTCGCGGGCCGAGTTGGTGCGATCGCATTCTCTACCGCACGAAGGCGTCCAAGGACCAATATGATGCGAGGGCCCGCGAGCGCGAAGAGGCGAGACGACGGGACGAGGAGCTGAAAGCCAGAGGCGTGGACCGTGCTGGCGAGGATGAGGAGGAGGTGCTATATGACTACGACCCGGCCGCCGATGGAGATGGGGATGCCACCCCGGACGATTTCGAGTCTGGTCATGAATCGGAGCCAGAACCGACAGTTGGGAGCGAGGGCTATGATAGGCGCCTCATCGTCGAACGATATGGTACTCATCTGGATATCGTTTCTTCTGATCACAAGCCACTGGACGCTGTATTCTTGCTCACATTCGATGCTGTAGTTCCGCCACTCAAAGCTGCCGTTCGTCAAGACGTCGCGAAGGAGCTCGACCGGCTAGAGAACGAACAAAGGCCGTCCGTCACCGTCGTGGTGGAGCGGTCATCGATGGCTGTGGCCCAGGATGAATTCGCGGGCGCTGATTTCGGGGATGTTTGTTACTTGAAGCCGTCCCGCCGACATGTCACTATTGCAAATACTGGCAGAGTGCCGGCGACCATCTGGATGACGGGAAATACACCTACCTGGCTGACAGTTCGATTCGACAAGCCGGCAGATGATGCTCTCAAGGGCAACAATCACGGTCCTAGCGCACGGTATACGGTGGAGCCCGGTGAAGCATGCAGTGTCGAGCTCGAAGTTCATGTGGCTGCAATGGAAACTGTGCGACTTTTGAACAAGGGCAAAATGTCCCTGGACGATGTTTTGGTTTTGCACGTCGCAGGTGGACGTGACTACTTCCTGGCCGTCCGTGGTCGATGGCTGCCGTCTTCATTCGGACGCTCCATCGATGCGTTGGTTAGGGTGCCCCCAGGCGGCATCCGCAAGCGCCAACCCCGGCCCACAGTGCTAGAAGAGGCGGTCATGTGGTCGGTCCCGCGCGAGATCTTCCGACTGTGTGAGGCCATTGAACAGTTGGTTGAGCGAACCCTTGCCGAGTGGGCTATGACTGCCCGCGAGCCTGAACGCGCTCCATGGTACAACAACGCTGGATGGCCGTTTGTCAAGGACCCGAGATATTTTGCCAATAATGCTCACGAGGAAGAGCTCATGCTAATATGCGAAGCCCTCGATTGCGGAACCTGTTTTAACTCGGCCTTTGAGCCCAATACGACGCCCATGCAGAAGCTCGAGTTGCTTTCAGAGGTGTTATTGCGCTTCTTGAAGAGTCTGGAGGATGGCGTGGTCACGGAGGCGATGTGGAGGACCCTAGATGACGGGTTTGCCACCAGGACCAAATCGCGGAGATCATCAGATGATGAGAAGATGTGGGCGCTCGAGGTGTTATCTTCGGCACCACACCACAGTGCTTCATTCCTCATGCTCATGACAACGCTGGACCGCGTCGCTTCCGAGATTTGTAACGCTGCAACTCAAAAGCAGAACGCAACACTGTCAAATATAGAGCTTCCACGGTCTCCCCAGGTCTCTGTGCGGAGGGGAACACTGAGCAAAGCTCCGGAGATTGCGACACGTCAACTCATCGCCCTTAATTACGCTACTGTGTTCGCGGATGCAATCTTCAGGTTGCCGCAGATGGAGCGCCCTGGGGACCGGGAAAATGCTGCCCGGAAAGACAGAGTCATAGACATGATGCAGCTGTTTCTGATAGACGGTCATTGACTTATACGGCGCCAACCGTTCAGGGCCATGATTAGCACTAACGATGACTTGTGAGTTTGCCTGGCGAAAACAGGAAGGCTCTGGGCCCAGTTTAAATGTGGGCTGCCTATGTAACGATGAGGGAGGTGAGTGAAGTAACAGGGACCACCACCACCCATACATCACTTCCAAGAGATCTGGAAAACATGGTTACCGTTTTGAATGAACCTGAAAATGCCTACCTTCATATCGCTTTCGTAGCCCGTGTAGCCCATGACACCGACACGGCTGTACACGGATGCATCAAGCCTGTACAGTTTATGCCCGTACTCTGTCTGACCTTAGTGCATAGGACACTACAATCGCCAGGTTAGACGCAAGAATAGCGCGCAGAGACTGTGGAATTAAGAATACGTCAAACCCCCTTCATTGACCCTGATCGTCAAGAGTCACACTGAGTTATACCAAATACCCGTCTTTCGGGCAGGCACCGAGGTAGGGTTGATCAGAGCATTCAACGGCCAATTTCGATGTTGCCAGCTCGCTCCACCCGTTCTAATAAGATATATACTCGCTTCTCTTTGAATCATGAGGATAAGCAATCGGAGCCCTTACCGTCACATTTGCGGTGTCTTCCCTGTAAGATGTATTTCGAAAGATGGAATAGGGTACGGATCACGGTTGCATAATACTGTTGTTGCTGTTTGCCCCCGACTTCAACGATTTGCATTGCTTTGCGATGAAGGCACCAGGAAACCGCAAACTAAGCATATACATAGCAGAGATACCCGCCCCGGGTATCCATGATGTCTTTGACATGGACATCTGCAAGTATGCCAAAGCTAGTGAAGACATGGTTCAAAGTTGTTGTCGGCCCCCCATCACCGGATTGGGGATCTGGCATCACTGCTAGCATTGCAGGAGTTGGTTTACCCCACATTTTGGATTCCTCTTCAATACCGCCAGGGAACTCGCTAAAGCCTACGTTGGGATCCTGCGCGTTAGGGCCGCTGATGGCAGTGAGCCGAGCTGGGGACGCCGCCTGCCAATCCGACCACATCTTATCGACAAATCCATCTATGTATTTACGTGTCAGCGGCGCGTAACACCTAGGCAGCGTTCTTGCCAATCTTGTGGCACATACGGTGTAGCATGAAGAGAGGGTCGCCCGCCGAGGTGATGGAGTCACCATCCATCATGGCAAGAGCAGCATGGCCCATGAGATCTAACCTTCTCTCAGTAAGAAGTCATGATTTTGCAATGTTCGACTTACGGGGTCCGGAATATATAGCGTCTTGAACTGCCCAGTACTCCTCTCCGTTCAGTGCTCTCTCAACATAGCTTTTGCCTGTCAGTGTGCTTAGGTTGTCCGTGATCTTTCGGTTCACGCAACGAGGATCCGTCTTGAAGCCTGGGCCGATGTTCACGGTGGCGTTGACGAAGGGCCCATCTGCGAGGCAGTTCTTGGAACCTTTGCCGCTACCACCAAACCCGAGCTTGCCATCGAGGACTGTGGATTTGGAGAATGAGCCCGCGTCTCGTGGCTCGTCCCAGTAGCTATGTTCGTCAGATCACTCCCATGATCCAGGTATTGACCCTCGAAGCATCATCGCGCATACACACCTCATGGGGCCTTGGTATCCGCACTCCCTAACCAGGTGTTCGTGTACATGCAAGAAGTAGCGATGGTACGGTAGAAAAAGGCCCGTGCTATGTATCTGCAGTGCATGGAGTTGGTGAAGCGATGCGAGGTCGTCCCATCTCGTCTTCACGCCTGGTAACTTGGTCTTGGCTGGCGACGAGAGCAAACAAGTTGTTGCCTTCAAATAAGCTTCCTTGTCTGCCGCCTTCATATCCTGCCTGTATGCTTAAGGTTATCCTGTTAAGTAACCAGTCGGAGGCCGAGCATAACACTCACCATGCCACTCGCTTCGCTGGTGCTGTGCACGCCGCCGAAGCAAACGTAAATGCAGTGGCCGCGAGCACGACGACAGAGGCAATCATAATTGCGTCGCTGGGAATTCTGACGCCTCTCTAATCTGTATCAGAGACAGTATTCCTTGTTCCCGTTCACTTAGCTGTCCTGTGCCCGGTCAGCTATGATATAGATTTCGGGTAGATGCCGGATTTAACATCCGTCGTCCTTTCGAGGAAGGTTTAAACGTATGCTTATGGCTCAGATGACGATCGCTGCATCTGGTATAAATTAGCAGGAACATTGTTTGCCGTCGGGATTACAGTGCCGCATAGATAGACCCCGCAGTACAACTACAGCGACATTACATGTGTTCAAGAGAAATGGGATACCACAGAAGCTCGTTTTAGCGCATACTGCCACTGTCCAAGGCATACCGATCCAATATGGCATCCGCATTATCCTTCAAGAGAGGATTGTCATGTGTGCAAATGGCAACATATGCATCAACAACACTGGCAACGGACGGTAGGTGATGGAATCTCATGCATGTGGGAACTTCCCTTCAAGGAATAATGCAGTGCTGCGTTACCTTTATCCCACTGTACATGTCCTATACCTCCTCCAGGTTCCAACTCTTGCACCCAATCCCGTGTCTAGCCCGCGTCTAAGATACATAGAACAGCAACTCCGGCTCGAAAGGCACTGCTGCTTGACCGAAGAGTTTGACCAGCTTCCGAATCCATAATGAAAGAGATGCCGAGGAAAGTAGTCGAGTTGATTCCTTCCTGCAATTGCAAAGCCCGGCGGATGATGCTGGCGCTGGTCTCATGACGGCCCAGGAAGCTACGAAACGGACATTGCACGTTCAAGATTTCGCCCACAATGCCCACTGGCCAAAGACGACGTCCGAAACTCTTTGGAGTTCTGGGAAACCGCTTGTAACTAGAGGATTAAGCGCTAACCCAGAAACTCGAGGTGAGTACGTCGAAGTTATCATAATTACCATAACTCGAATTGAGCACGAGAGTAAAAGCCAGAAATCTGATGTATCATCTATGGGATGTGACGGCCGTCCGTTTGCCGATAAAGCGGGCTTGCACTTGGTCCAGGTTGGTACGCATAGCTGTACGTACTCCCATCGGTCGGATTGATTGCTGTAGAAAGTCGTTCACGCGTCATCTGGCTACCTGTCAGCAAAAGGGTCTAAATAACACAGAGAGAAAACGTCACAACCCGGTACGTCTTTTCGTTGACCCGATATGTCTGTTGGCCAATGTTTGTCCTCGAGTAGAGGTCTCCGTGCCAAGCGGTGAAGCACTCCATGTAAAAATGACACCTGAGCCACGCGCAAAAGGGTAAGCTATCTACAACGCAGAACAAGGCTCTTTTATATGCGTGACACTCCACGTCCATTACCTCTTCTCCGAGTTTGGCGGTTGACATAAACTTGGCTCTTGTCTATTAATTGCAAGGGGCTTTGTGACGGGATCGTGCGGTGGTGTAGGTTTTGAGGATGCCGTAGCTTTTGTCCATCAGTTGCTTGTTGCCTCCTGCTCGGATTCTCTTTAGTAGGGGGAGAATGACGGTGAGCGTGAGGGGATTCTGAACACGGAGCTGGTGGGTTCGGTCTGACCCTGACTCTGGACCACAATTCTGTAACGTCTAGATTATCTGGGATCATTCAACTGCACGTTAGGATTTTTCGAAGAATCCGAAGTAAGAATCTTCAGCGGTATAGAAGCGTGATACCTATATTCGATACGCCGCAGGAAGAAGGGCACTCTGCCGTTGAAGCTAATGGGACATCCTAGTCGTGGTACGTAAACTACAATCGTTGCCTCCTACATATTGTACACATACACTCCTACGAGTGTGGTATATCCTACAATTCCTCTAGTAACTCGCGTTACGCACATTAGGAATCCAGGCTGCCCATCCCCAGCGCCGCCCTAATTGCCCCCATCCGGCCTTGGGCGATCTTCCGTGCTGCCGATGCACCGCGATCATTGATTGCCGCGAGGTACGATGGTTCCTTGCTCATGAGAGACTTATATCTCTCCCTTATGCCCCGCAAGTTGTGGTCAACTACATCCGCGACCTTCTCTTTCAGTGAACGCATGGAGACGTTCTGCATATCGTTTGCCACCTCATGAGGAGTCAGGGAGATGGTGGGATCCATATAGCACATCAGGTCAATGAGATTCGACACTCCTGGGCGGGTGGTAGGATCGTAAGAGATGCCTTCAATGGAGTCGGTCAATGCGCCCTTTATCTTCGCTCTGATATCCTGCGTCTCATCGGTGATGAGGATTCTGGACTTGGGGTCGGGGTCCGACTTTGACATCTTCTTTGAAGGTTCCTTAAGCGACATGACCCTTTTCGCAGGCGACAGAATAGTCTCTGGCAGTGTAAATATTGGATCCTGAGGCGTGATTGTGTGGTTGAAAGTATTCGCAAGCTGCCTTGAGAACTCGAGGTGCTGCGCCTGGTCCTCGCCAACGGGAACATGTGTGGTGCCGTAGAGGAGAATGTCGGCGGCTTGCAAGACTGGATAGGCGAAAAGTCCAAGTTTGGTAGACTCTCGCGACGTCGATGCAGATGCAGACGAGGTATCGAATGGCGAAGCTGTGTCAGGCAGAGCCATTTTGCTCTGTCGGTAAGTCTCATAAGCGGAGACTTCGTTGGAGACATGGAACGATGCTTACCTTCCACTGCGTCATGCGGGCCAGGTAACCCATTGACGCATTGCAGCTTAGAATCCACATCAATTCGGCATGCTCGGGCACTGAAGACTGGCAGAAGAGCAAAGATTTGGTGGGATCGAGCCCTACGGCCACGAAGCTGGCCAGCATCTGCTTCCGCCATTGCTGGAGATGCTCGGCGGACTGCCTCACAGTGATGGCATGCAAATCGACTATGGAGAATAACAGCGTCTCGGATCCATTGGAACTATCTTGTATCTTGACCCATTCTCTCAGGGCACCTAGATAGTTACCCAAATGCGGGACGCCCGTGGGTTGAATCCCGGAGAAGATGACTCGGGGTGGGGGCTTGGATGGCGGAGACGACGGTGTCTGGGACTGAAGCCCTCCAGAAACAGCACAAGACGAGTGGCTGTGCCCGAGATGACGTCGAGAGATGCTTATCCGCGCTGTGCGCCGCAGAAGCTGGCGGCAGGGACGAGGTTGGAGTGACAGCATTTACAAGTACTTTCCCCAAGCTTGTCGAAAATCACGGAACCTCGGGAAAGTTCGGGTCAAGGAACGGAAAAGGACCGACGCGCACGGCCACAGGGAGAGCCCTGTGCCAAGAACTTGCGCTTCGTCATTTGTGGCGCAGCGCTCTGCAACCGTGGTGACCGGACTGACTTGCTGTGTAAGTGAAACAACATCACCACTTGTTTGTCGTCTCATCTGAACCTCCCACGTTCACCACTACCCACGCCGCCTCGGACAGACAACCACCAGTATTCACTTCCCACGCTGCCCATTCATTTACCCTGCCTCTAATAGCATCCCCACAACATTCTATCCATCTGTGAACAGCCATGAGTTGGACCGGTAGTCTCTACCCCTCGTCCGCGCGCTTGCGACTATGGAGACCGCTACTGACTCTCTGGCAGGCTTCAAGAAGGGCGTGAACCGCGCCACCACCCAGGTTCTCATGAAAACGGGTCAAGTCGAACGAACCAACGATCGAGACTTTGAGACCGAGCTCAGGTGAGCAACCCTTGTTCTTTGCAACCCCACCCAGCACCGGGAACCAGCATGCCATGCAGCGAAGCCCCTCCTATGGACCTAGCTTACCAGGTTTAATCTGAAGACGATACCGCACCATGGAGGCCGCCGCCAACAAGCTGCAAAAAGAAGCAAAAGGTTACCTCGACTCCCTCCGCGCCATGACGGCCTCCCAGATGCGCATCGCCGAAACCATCGACGCCTTCTATGGCGATGCGGGCACCAAGGACGGCGTCTCGCGCTCCTACAAGCAAGCCGTGACGGATCTGGACGCCGAAACCATCAAAGCGCTCGACGGGCCCTACCGCACCACCGTACTCGACCCCATCCAGCGCTTCTGCTCCTACTTCCCCGACATCAACGCCTGCATCACGAAGCGAGAACACAAGCAGATGGACTACGACCGCATGCGAGCCCAAGTCAAGAAGCTGACGGACAAGCCCGATAAGGACGTCACGAAGCTCCCGCGGGCGGAGAAGGATGAGCAGTTGGCAAAGGCGGCGTATGACCAGCTGAACGAAACGCTCACGACCGAGCTGCCGCAATTGATCGATTTGCGTGTGCCCTATCTGGATCCGAGTTTTGAAGCCCTGGTCAAGATTCAGCTGAGGTTCTGTGCAGAGGCATATAGCAGGATGGCGCAGGTGCAGCAATATCTGGATGCGAATACGAGAGACCAATATGCGCAAGGAGAGCTGGACGCCCGCGTGGAAGAGGTCCTGCAGGAGATCAGAGATTTGAGTATAGCAGGGACCGTTTAGTTTTGGCATTGGATTGGTATGGTTTCGGGAGGGGCGTGTTGTAGCTAACCATTTCCTGTCGCATCCCCCCACTCCCAGGTTACAGACATGGGGAAAGTAAGATGATCGCTGGAGTATCTTTTCACGCATACAACGCCAGCATCTACAGCTATGTTTTGGGAAGCAGCACAATTGAATCATGGTTGATGTATTGAATCCAGACCCATATAGGAGACGGACGCCTCAAAATGGGCGCCTCCGAGGAACGACGCCAATATATGTCCCCCGGGCCCAGCTGGTGATAAACATGACACACGGGCTGTCGTCTCAGAAACCATGAAAGAACCCAGTGACGCCGCGCTTCAAAGACATGAAAGACAATGCAGTAAGAAAAGCATGATGCAGTAGGTTTCAAGGTGCGTGATCCGCCTCATCTTGATACCCCTTGAGGGAGAAGTTCGGCGTTCACGGCACGGTCAGGTCCAACCCCGCGCGAGGACCTCATCCACGAGGTAGGTAGCCCTCCATGGTGGTATTGCCGTTCTCCTACTCCTCCTCTTCATCCTCGTCATCCTCGTCGTCGTCTTCTTCCTCTGCGAAGTCGGAATCAAGCTCCAAGTCGCCTTCAGAGTCACTTCCTCCAAAACTCTCCACATCGCTGTCCTCCCACGTCATATCGTAGTCCACCTCTTCCTTCTTCGTCTGGAATGCTGTCTCGTGTGTGGGCATGTCGAACCCTGCGGGTATGTCTTGCTTGCTGAGCTCCAAGTCCTTCTTCACCAACTCCTTGTATTTAGCCGGGTTATTCCGCAGCATAACCCCAGCATCTACATTGGCCGGCGAGTTGACCTCGGCATCGTCGAGGAGGGAGAGAACTGAGAGTAACACGGTTTCCACACGCTGAACAGGAGACCAACGCTCGGCCGCCAGTTCTCCAGACATGGCATCTTCGCCGGGTTGGTGCAGGATGGATATGCAAAGCCGACCGTCCGGGTAGATGTTGGGGTGGTAGAGCGGCCGCAGGAATCGGAAGTCTACCCCGTAGTATAAGCCAAAGCTGCCGACGTATTTGTCGCAGGGTGAACCTACCTGGTGGACTGTACGGGTAGTTGCTCGGGAAGGTCATCTTTGCCTTGAAATATCCGCCATAGTAGAGCGAGTCGGGGTTCAAGACGATAAGAGCCACGCTCCACTCGAAGATGTTATCGTTGATGAGCTGGGTCATCCAGTCAGTGGGATTCCGGTCGCTCTCATCGTAACGGTGAGGGTACTGCTCACCTCGACGTGTGACCATTTCTCCTTGGACTGCAACTTGAACTCGTTGGCTAAAAGCCTTTCGGCACCCGCCATGGTTCCCTTTGGAATATCCTCCAGAAGCCGAAAGAGCGAGCGAGGACCTCTATCGGGTTGTGACGGGGGTTGTGACGTGGGCTGATGGGGGGAACGAAGCGGTCGACCCGTGGCTCAGATAGATGTGCAAGGGACGGGCTCGCGGTGATGTGAAAGGTTCGAAGAGAGAAGGCCGAGAGGTGAAGTGAGAGGAGACGTAGTAGGTAGAGAGGGAGAGAGAGAGATGGAGAGAGGGGAGAGAGAGGCAAAGGGTGTGTGAGTGCTGCCAGGCGTGGTCGGCCGACCCTGGTTGAAGCCGAGTGCTGGCGGGGTGCGGCGTGGCTGGGGTGGCGCCGACCCAGACTAGGTACACCAGTAAATACCACAAGAATCCACCGTCCGATAACCACTGTCTATGTACATCGTAAATACCGTTGTACTGTGTACATGATAATCATTCATCCATGTATCAATAAACACTTTTGTGCCCCATTTCACATACGAATGAACACTCTTCTCCACGTCGAATGTGCTGATCACCTAAGGGCCAAAGTGAGATAGGACCAGTATCATAGATGTCATTCTCAAACGTAGTCAATATAGTCGCACACTATGTCAAAATACATACCGAAGGTCATCCGTAGATATATGTACCAAGGGTATAACTGCTCGATACTTCACCGGTAGCAAAAGAGGTCAAAGTGTTTGGACATGAACTATGTCTTGCCCGAGTAGAGCAAAACAGCGGACATCATGTCCAACCTTTTTATGTTTTTTCTGGGATTTTTATCATCATAGCGCACCTCTCGTCTAGAGACCGCCCCTCTTAACCTTCCCGCATACTCCTATAAATGCTTCTTGCATCATAAACCCAAGTAAGCCGAAGAGAAGAGCAGGTAGAAGAGACCCACCGGGTGAAGACAAATCACCTGTAATACACAAAACGACATGTTCCCCTTACATATTCGACAAGGCATCCGAAGAGGCACATGGAAAACGCCCATTATCAACCTTGCCATATCCATAGCAGTGATGAAACCAGTCCAAAAAAACCAAAAACTGGAAATGGAAAGTAAGACCATGAATTGAGGACACAACGAAATAGTGCAGGGTGCACAAAGCACCACGAATATGTAGAAACACCCGCACCTGCCGAGTAGCGTGCCTTCAGGCGCCATCCAACTTGAGCATCCGCTTCAGCTCATCAACTGCCGAGTGCTGCTGTGCATCGGTCTGCCACGCAGCTGTCTCGGACGCAGAAGTCGATGGCGCAGCCATCACACTTGCCTTGGGCGTACTTGCTCTTGGTGCTTCCGACCCGGTTCCCTTAGGGGGTGTTGAGAACTGCCTGGCCCGTACAGACGACGGAATAAAAGGGTTGGCGGCGGACGGCTTGTTCATTGCTGCGGGGCTCCTGGCTGTACTTGGCGGGTTATTAGATTGCGAGGACGAACCGGACCGCCCAGTGTATCCGTGCTTAATAGGCGTCTGAGGTATCCGGCCATTCGATACCCCTACACTTTGCTGCCCTTGCATAGGACGCCTATGATGTTGAGCGAGATCAAAGCTGTTCGATGCTGTAGACCCCATACTTGGCCGTGACGCACCCCTAGATTGGAATGGAGATTGCTCGGGACCAGCAGGGATACCTGGGGTGAGCTCGGTGCGCAAACCAGAATTGCGCCTCAAACCATCGGCTTTCGCAGCCTTGAAGAGCGGTGAGAGATTCTTATTGCCATAGTGGAAAGGTGACTGCAGCTCGTTCGTGGAAGGCGCTGGTGTAGTGGGTCCAGAAGCGCTGCGGATCGGAGACCTGCGGTCTTGAAAGGGGGATGGGGTGTGATGCCGGGAAGACGGCTCCGAAGGAACGTGAGCAGAAACGTGCGAAGACGAGGGATTGACGGGTTCCTGGCCAGACAGCGAGAGCCTATTCAAGAGGTCCTGAACTGCGGGATCCTTGAAGGACTGAGGGTCGGCAGCCGGAACTGCACGGGCCCCTTGAGGCATCCTTGAGGGGGTAGTGACGGAGCAATGTGCGCCAGCATTTTGTGAAAACTGAGAAAGAGATTGCGTTTGGCCCTCTCCATCCAATTCAATAGGGAACAGGGCATTCATCGTCATTTGCGAGTCCTGATTGGACCGCAGGTTTCCCGATCTGCTTGCAGATTGCTCGGGGGAGTCTAGGAATGCACCAGAAAGTGGGGCATGTCCGTTTTGTCGGGCCCTCTCGTCTCGGTCAGCTTTAAAAAGGAGGCTTAAGGTAGGATTGGCTGCTTGATGGTGCGAAGGATTATAAGCAGGAGACGGCGAAGGAGGGGACGCGGCCTCTGAGTTGCCTAGGAAAGGTTCCGGTATACATGCCGCAACCTTGGCTGGGACCGATTTGGACAAGAACTTGGGCACAGGGAGTGCGGATGGTGCTGGGGACGCATGAAATGTAGGGCCGGCGTAGGCAGCTTGGGTCCGGGATGGTGTAGCTACGGCGTGGCTTGTGGCATGACTGCTTCCCCGTTCAGTGTCAGTGAGGGAGGAGCCCTCAGGGACATCTGTCACAGGAGCGGCACGGTCTGCTGAGGACCGCGCTCGAATGTGTTTCTTCGAACGACGTTGGGCAGTGGGAATGGAGACGTCTTCACCGGACAGCGGGGCGCTGTCTGTATCTGTTATGGTGGAATCTGGCGCTCCAGCAATCGGGATCGGGCGAGCACCATGAGGTGGGCTTCGGGGATTGTTTGCGCGATTCCCCCTCTGCCTTCGCTGAGGCGCGCGTCTTTTGCTGGTGCTAGACACAGCTTGCGGAGCTGCGTGTGACTCTTCAATGCTCGGGTGCGGTTGATCGGTCGGCGCCATTCCGAGGAGCGGCGGAATTGTGCGACGGCAGGGACGAAGAGTTACTTGAACGGTCTCCAGCGAGCAGGTCGATTCGTGAGTTTAGGAATATGGTGGAGGTGATGGGGTTGGTCGTGGAGTTGCGGGTGGCACAATACTGTGTGTTCTGATGATGGTCGGGCAAGGAACGTGTTAGGAACTGCATGTCCACCCTATCTCGCGGGCTGGATAAAGAGGGTGAGCTCTGAGAGAAGGGCGTAGACGCCTGAAGATGCTGTCAAAGAGATGGGCGGGGTGTGGGAAGACGTTTTGGTGATGCGTCTGAGCCCGATCCGGGGCCCGATTCCCCCGCAGCTTGGTTTTCTGAGGCGGTTTGGCCGCGCAAGGACCCTTCTGATTGGTTCTTTTTGATTGCCGTTATTAACAGTGACTTTTGTTGACATAATTTGTCAAAACGCCTTGCTTCAGCGGCATGATCAAGTTATTTCCAATAGAATTGTTTGAAAATGGTAATATAACTCTTAGCAGCTAGGTATTTAGAAAAAAGGGCAGAACGAGGCGGACCCGTAGTACCAGGAGTGCCCTATGATGCCTTTCACCTTCTCCGATCTTCCTCGATGCGCTTCGACACTCCAGGCAGCTAAGCAGCCCAACAGCACACACAATCACATCACAACGCTCCCACCCCGCAGCCTCTGAGCTTTCCTTTACCTTCGCCCCGCCTGAACCCCTACTAGCTGAAAACCTTGGAACCTACACCCAACCTGCCGCCAAAATCAGGTTTCGGACCTACATCGCGAACTCCACCCTCCGGCACACCGATGGCCGACATAAACATGACGGACGCACCGGCTCCCAAGGCAAAGGCAGCCAAGGTTGGAGGCAGTGGCGACACAGGGGATAAGAAGCGGTTCGAAGTCAAGAAGGTGAGCTTCCCACATGGATTTCTTCCGAGCGGACGCTGACACAGACAAGTGGAATGCGGTAGCACTCTGGGCCTGGGATATTGTAGTTGACAACTGTGCCATCTGTCGCAACCACATCATGGATCTCTGTAAGCAAGGCTTTGACGAGCACCGCAATCCGAGACGGACGCTGACCCCAGCAGGCATAGAGTGCCAGGCAAACCAGGCCTCTGCAACCAGCGAGGAGTGCACAGTGGCATGGGGTATCTGCAATGTCCGTCCAGGTAGCGTCCTTTTCTAGGCATTGGCTCAGGTTGACACGCTCACAGCATGCATTCCACTTCCACTGCATATCCCGATGGCTGAAGACGCGCCAAGTCTGCCCTCTCGACAACCGCGACTGGGAGTTCCAGAAATATGGACGATAAGCTCTGGACTCGTTATTCCGAACCACCGTTTACCTCTTCATGACCGCGCCACACGCAACGACTACCAACATGGGCAACAAGGAATATAGGGAAGGGTCGCCCGTGCATGGGGTCACCTGGCGTTCAGGAGTGATATCTTGGTACTCAGCCCATGAAAACAGGTGTGGAATCTCCAGATGCTCTGCGAAAGAGAGCGTGGCTTGAAACATGTGGGCTAGAGGTCCCTGCATAATCCGTTTCATTCACGAATACTACATGTCCAAACCTGCCGCCTCTCATTGCGCCCCGGCCCCTTGAAGTGTCGGCTTAGCCAACCTTGCTCCCATCAACATCGATATTGACTCCGATAGCACGGCTGCTTGGTGGAAGCCATGGCTCTGGATTCTTGTTGTAGATGGGCCAAGGCGGAACGACGGCGAGAAAGGTAAGGGCAGTGCCCGCGAGGCCGATGTAGAGCGTCAATCTGATATCCTGGGCCATGAAGCCTATGAAAAAGGCGACAATCTATACAGGTGAGTTTACGCCCGGACAAGAGCGGCGGGAAGGGCATACCCCAGCCGCACCCAGCAGGAACGTGGTGATTAATTCAGCAAGGCGCTGTCCCTCGAAATCCTGCGGTGGTTAGCAGACCAAGGAAGGAACGAAGGCCAGCGAAGCACAATCACGCACAATCTGTCCCTCCAAAGCGTCGCGTAGTGGATCAAGCAGTTGGTCAGCCATGGCGGCGTAGAGTTCGACTACTCGACCGACGTAAAGGAGGAGAGGTGGATGGGTGGGCTACAACAGGGTTCTCGCTGAAAGTCGAAGAAAAAGAATGGACCAAAGGGCCTCGCGGTGTCTGCAGGAAAATGGCGCTCGCCAAAGCTGCAGTGGTAGTTTGGCGGATCGGACTGAGTAGCTATCTGGATGCACCGGACACATTGAGGTTGCATAGATCAGAATGGACGTCGGAAAACAGACGGGCCGAGAACGCTAGCCGTTCCTGACTAAGCAAAAGCTCCACAGGGCCTTCCCTGATCTCGACGTTTTTTGCTCCCATTCTTGCCTCCCTCCTTTCTTCGCTCCACCCCTCACCGTCCTTTACGGACTCTGTCCAGTCCCTTTGTCAACAGCGCTCGCAACTCAGACTGTCCTGCCCTCCGGCCTGCCCGCGTCTGCATCGGTCGTGCCAACTTCTGCGACCTCTCTCTTCTTAACAAAGGCCTAGACCGAACCAGAGCAAAGACTTTCAGCCCAACGCTCCGCACTCCGTGCCTGCCCAGCGACGGTCGCTGCCCCTTCAAAAGCTCACACCGACGCTACGGCGTCTTCAACATAGCAAACCATCAAGTTGGCGGGCCTCTACATCCACAAGTTTTCCTCGATCCGTCCTCTTCTTGGCCCAAAGGTGTGGGTCTACGGAGGCGATTACAAGAAGCCTCCTTAATTGGCCTTCATACAGCAGACACTCTCGAATACCGTCTTCACCAGGACCGCAATCTACGTTGTGTAGGGTAAGGCCCTACGCAAGGCCTCTATTCAAGTTGTCCGTACCGGCAAGGTGAGCGCTCACAAGCGACTCACCAGAGAAACGCGATTCTTGCCCGGCAAGCAAGAAGTCCTTCCATTTCTTTCAAACTGGCTTAACTCGCGCACTCTTATATCAACCCGGAGTCCTGCTCAACTCGCCTGAGCGGCCAATATGACTGATACTCCGCGGTCCGACAAGTCCCGGACTAGGTTCAGCACCCCCGTGTCTGAACTCGACGACCACAGGAACCAACCTGCCTCGATGCCGCGAGCGGATACTGGGGGATCTGCACACGGATCGCGACGTCCCACATTCGCAAGTATTCAACCCCTGCCGGACCGGCCCAATCTGCTACAACAGGTCAATGAAGCCCTAGAATCACACCAGGTTACGGCCCGTGATTTCGAGCAGGCCATCGCGGAGGATGATGCGCACCTGTCTCCCGAGCCCGCACGTGCAATTCCCGCCGTCAGTCCCCTTACACGGCGCAATACCTTCCAACGTCTTCCCAAGTCGCGCACGTCGTCTGCTAGTTCCCGCTCACAGTCGCCGCCAAACTCTGTCGATGCGTTTGCAGGCTCTCATCGGCGGGAACGAGCTGGGACGATCAATAGCCGCCCTCCATCCGAGCTTGAACTAGCCATCCACAGGACCATATCTGGAGGGACTAGACGGCGCCCTACGATTAGCGATGAACGGCCCGAGGATCTCCACATCGATGTCGCTTCAGCTGCCAGTTCTGCAGAAGAGGACGTGTGCTTTCCGGTCCAAGAAGATCCTGGCAAGACCACCAGGATCGACTTTGAGGAGCTCGAAGAGTTCGTGGCCGAATACCATGAGAAAACTCCCATTGGAAACCCATTGCGCCACAAGCCAAGCGTCAGCTCCCAGCTCTCCAAGAAGGTCTTCGGTGATCTCCGCCCACGTCCCAGCAGTGCCGTCTCCACTTCCCACAAGGGCGACGTTGAAACGACCCTCACCGGAGCGGTTGACCCAGAGGTTGAAGAGAAACTGGCTGCGGCTGGCCTTTCCCACATGTACAACGACAAGCTTGGCAATTCGAACGAAGGCATGCTCAATCGCTGGACGTTCTTCTCCTCTGAGCTCGATGATACTATCCATGCGGCAGAGCTCGGCGGTCTGCTAATGCCTGGCGAGCATTTCCGTGATCTCTTCGAACTTCCCCCTGATGGCGGGGTTTGGTGGCTCGACATGGTCAATGCGACAGAAGAGGAGGTGTTCGCAATCTGCAAAGCCTTTGGCGTTCACCCGCTTACCCGTGAGGATATCACGACACAGGAGACCCGCGAAAAGGTGGAGTTGTTTCACCAATATTACTTCGTCTGCTTCCGATCCTTTTATCAAGCAGATAAGGATTCGGAAAACTATCTTGAGCCCGTCAATTTCTACGCAGTGGTCTTCAAGGAAGGTCTGCTCACCTTTACATTCACGGAGAGCCCCCATACTACCAATGTTCGGAAGCGTATTGGGCGTCTCCGGGATTACATCAACCTGAGCAGCGACTGGGTGTGCTATGCGTTGATTGACGATATCGTCGACAGCTTCGCCCCTGTGCTCCGCTCCATTGAGGATGAAACCGATGCTATTGAAGACCAGGTGTTTATAGCCCGTCTTGAAGACTCGCGCGAGATATTGCGCGCCATCGGCGACTGCCGCAAGAAGGTTATGCAGCTCATTCGGCTTTTGGGAGGAAAAGCAGATGTCATCAAAGGCTTTGCCAAGCGTTGCAACGAGAACTACAATGTCGCTCCGCGCGGTGACGTGGGCTTGTATCTCTCGGATATCCAGGACCACGTCGTTACCATGATGTCGAATTTGGGTCACTTCGAGAAGATGCTGTCTCGCGCGCACTCGAACTACCTAGCCCAGATCTCGGTCGACCAGGTCATTCAAGGCACCAAGTCCAACATGACGCTCGGCAAGGTCACGGTCATTGCCACGATTCTCGTTCCTCTTAATCTGATTTGCGGTCTCTTTGGTATGAACGTAACCGTGCCAGGACAAGATTCGGGATCGCTGGGGTGGTTCTTTGGGATTCTGGGTGCCATTGCTCTCTTCGTCACTGTTTGTCTCGGGGTTGCTAAGAGGTTAAGGTATATCTGATGCGCGTGCGCAAGGCGCGAAAGAGTAATCTCGGTACGGCATGCCGAAGAGGTTTGTCCCAAGAGGCCATGACAGAGGGTGTTTCGCATATGCTGTTGTATTTGGACTTTGTGGGATGTTTGTCAGCCTTGTGCGGTTCCCGTTCTGGGCATACTTGTTGGTTCTTTTCTCGCATACGCATTTGTCAGTTGTCAGAGCGTTTGAGCGAAGAAGCTGCTTGTATGTTTGATGTTTTTGGGGGGTACTCTCGAATGAAAAGTCTTTTCAACTCTACGTCTCATCTAGATTCGGTTTCAATGGTATACATTTAGAGTGACGGGAAGCTGTTGTGTATTTCTGGGGATTGTTCGTGCGCGTGGTCTTGTTCCCGATCTATACGGCGGAACTCAAAGACGGAAAAGTCATGGATCGCCGGAACCATGTGTGTTCACATATTTATCGCTAGACGCCTATCTCATCGTGGCCGAGGTGAATTATCCCCGAAGCATTCCCAACTCATTGACAGTCCTGAGAACAAAGACCATTTCCTATGTTGTAACGCAAACCGCCTGGAGATTTCTGGCTGAAACTGGTCGATTCTATTACTTGGTTGAACAAGATGCAGCTCGCTGGTATTCCCGTCTACAAAACATATCGCCGCCGGTGGACATTGGGAGAGGAGGGAAAAGCCGCCCCGTCCCTACAAAGGAGAAAACGCCAGAGCCCATCATTCCTTCGAAGCTGATATGATATCCCGTTCGCGAAAATCGCTTTCAGATTTGCTTTTCCTCCGCGCCCCATTAGATGGACGTCTCTACCAACCCCTCTTCGCCAACCTCTCCCCCTCGGCCATGGACCCGGTGTTGATTCCCACCATGGCCTCCCCCAGATCCATCGAGACCTCCATCAACACCTTCGGATCCTTGTAGTGCGTCACCGCTTGCACGATAGCCTTCGCCCGCTTGGCCGCATCGCCGCTCTTGAAGATACCGCTCCCGACGAAGACACCATCGCAACCGAGCTGCATCATCAGGGCCGCATCCGCAGGCGTCGCCACGCCGCCGGCGGCGAAATTTACCACGGGCAGCCTCCCCAGCCGGGCCGTCTCCTTGAGCAGCGCAAAATCCACCTGCAACTCCTTGGCGTACACGCGGAGCTCCTCCTCGGACATGCTCTTTGCGCGGGCAATCTCAGCATTGACGGTGCGCATGTGGCGGACGGCTTCGATGACATCGCCCGTGCCGGCCTCGCCCTTTGTGCGGATCATGGCGGCGCCTTCGGAAATGCGGCGAAGGGCCTCGCCGAGGCCGCGGCAGCCGCAGACGAAAGGGATGCGGAAGGGGTGCTTGTCTACGTGGTGGACTGCGTCGGCAGGGGTCAGGACTTCGGACTCGTCGATGTAGTCTACGCCGAGAGCTTCGAGGATCTGCGAGGGGAGATTAGGAAAGACGCTACTTTAGGGAATTGGAGAGGACGGAAACGTACCTGGCATTCAACGAAGTGACCGATACGGGCCTTCGCCATGACGGGGATGGTGACGGCGTCCATGATCTCCTTGATCATCTTGGGGTCGCTCATGCGAGCCACGCCACCCTGAGCCCTGATATCGGCGGGCACTCGCTCCAGAGCCATGACTGCGGCGGCACCGGCTTCCTCTGCAATACGGGCCTTGGGAAGGCATTGTCAGCCTCTTTTCTCGATTGACAAGAAGAGAGCACAAGGGACGGTACCTGCTCAGCATTCACAACGTCCATGATGACGCCTCCCTTGAGCATGCGGGCCAGGCCAGCCTTGACGGCGAAGTTGTTGTCGCCATCCTGAGCGGCGTTTCCGTTGGTGGTGGGGAGTTCGGTTGACATGTTGCAGCCAGTGTAACAATGAAACGATAGACGCGGTCGCTAGGGCTAGGGCTGTTACAGGAGACAAATTCCAGCGGTGAAGGGAGGAATGATTGATTGAGAGGCACACTAGGTTGATAGTTGTAGGAAAGAAAAGAGAGGAGCGGCAACCAAAAGCGAATCCTGGTGAGTCAGCGATTCTGAACGCTGGGCAGAGGCGCAGAAATAAAAATAATAAGGCCAAAAAAAAAAGGTCTCGATTATTGCCAGTTGGAGAAACGTCCCAGGGTCGGCACTGCACGGCGAAGGTGCGGGGTGGAATCGGCGCTCGGTTGACTCCCACGCTGCCCCGCTCCAGCCCTGGAGCTCCTCTGGGCACTTCCGCGCGCTAGCCGCTTTGGGCAGGTTTGTTCCCCGACATCTCCGCGAATATCCACAGCCAGTGGCGGAGCATAACATAGTCCTTACTCCCATCCCGTCTCTCCACCCCCCCGCCTCTCCCCGTATACAGTACGTACGATGCATAGATGGGTACGTCTCGTCTATGACACCGGGGAACAAAGGTCCGATGACTCAACAAACAATAACTCTCTGCAAACCAAGACTGCTAGTACGGCGCCGTCTCCCGCTTCAGCCATGCCAGCGTCAGGCTGTCCTTCTCGAAGAACTTGCTCGTCTTCTCATACACCTCCTTGTGGTATTCGTTGATGAATGCCTTCTCATCCTCCGTCAGCAAGCTCGTGTCCACCAGCTTCCTGCAGTGGGGCGTCATGGTAACGCGTTCGAAGCCCAGATACGGCTTGTCGCCAAACTGGTGCTTGGTCTCGACTTCCCGCACCATCATCATGTTTTCGATGCGGATGCCAAAGTTGCCGTCTTCATAGTAGCCCGGCTCGTTGGAGAGGACATTGCCAACACTCAACGCAACATCGGCATACTGCACCCGAGTCCCAATGCCAATCGGTCCCTCGTGTACGTTCAGGAAGGATCCAACGCCGTGGCCAGTGCCGTGCCTGTAATCAAGGCCCTCGTTCCACAGAAACTGTCTTGCCAGCGCATCAATGGCATAACCGCTCGTTCCCTTGGGGAAGCGGATGCGCTCCAGAGCAATGTGGCCCTTCAAAACCAGTGTATACGCCTTCTTTTCCATGTCTGTAGGCTCGCCAAAATGTAGAGTGCGTGTCGTGTCGGTTGTCCCGTCGAGATACTGAGCCCCAGAGTCGCATAGATAGATTTTGCTGGCATCGATAACGGAACAGCCAGGCTTTTCAGGCTTGTAGTGGATCACTGCCGCATTGGCTCCGGTAGACGAGATGGTATCAAAGGACAGGCCTACGAAGCGCTCGTGTTTGGCTCGTATTGACTCGAGCTTGTCAGCACCATCCACTTCATCGAGCTGCGCTCCTTTGTTGACCAACTGGTCTTCAAGCCAGGCAAAGTATTCCGACAATGCCGCGCCATCGCGGATGTGGCAGCGCCTCATTCCCTCCAGCTCCGTGTCATTCTTGATGGCCTTGGCATCAGCGATGAGGCTCCTCACTTCTTCCACGCGCTCCTCGCCTCCTAAAGCCTTGCTCAACGCCCACGACGTCCTGTTCGAGATGAGGAACTTGGGTTGCTCCGTCTTGGTGCCTGCGTCGGCATTGCTTTGTGCCGACTCAGCACTCAAGGCTGCCACGTCTCCGAATATGGCCTCGTAGGGCCGGATGGTTACTTTCCCCTCGAGATGGTCTTTGACGTCCTGTGGAAGCTTAGCTTCGTCCACGTACAAGGTGGCTGCTTGAGGCGTGACGACGGCGTACGAGAAGAAGACGGGGTTATACGGAATGCTACGCCTGCGGTCAGTCGCTTCACGGAGTTCCACAGGGGACTAGGGTCAGACACACTCGTTCCCACGCAGATTGTATAACCAGGCAATCTCATCGAGCATGGACACGACGAAGCCGGCGACCTTCCGCTTCTCCAGTTCCTTGCGGAGGTCCTGGAGCTTATCCTGGAAGACCTTGCCGGCATACTCGACGGGATGTACGCGTACCGTCTCGCGCGGTCGCGGTGGTCTATCGTCGCCCCATACCAAGTCGACGAGATTCTGGTCCACTGCCCGGAGCTCTCCGCCACGCTTCTTGAGCTTCTCGGCCATCTTCCGAGCATCTTGAGCCGTGACGACGGTGGGATCCACGCCCACGACTTTCCCTCCGGCAACCTGGTCCGCGGTCCAGTCCTGGATGGTGGGGACATCCTGCAGCCCCTGCTTCAGCAGCTCCCAGTTGTCGTCCAACTGCTGCTCGGCTTGATTAAAGTACCGACCGTCAGTCGACAAGGCGGCCTTCTCGAGGGTCACAACGGCATAGCCAGCGGAGCCCGTGAAGCCGCTTATGAAGGCTGGCGGGTGTCAGTGAACAGAGAGGCAGACGGGAACGGGCGGACGGGCGTTCGGGGACAGCTACCTCGGCGGGCGTCGCAGGGAGCGATATACTCGGATTGATGGCTGTCCTCAGAGGGCACCACTGGGCCTGTCAGCGGGATGGGCAGGCTGGCGGCGGGTGGCTGCGAGTACTGTACACATCGATCTGGTGCTCCTTCATGAGCTTCCGCAACGCTGCGAGGCGCTCCGTCGTGGACACTTTTGCGACCATGATTGCGGGGGGAGAAGAGCGGGCTGGGGAGGGGTGAAAGGCGTTGGAGGCATGAGGCGTGCGAACGAAGGAGCGTCGCAGCAGGCGGGCAGCGAACATGAAGAAGCTCAGGTGGGCGAGCTGTTTTGGGCGTGGTGGTGGTTCCCCCGCGCATGTGGGGGGCTAGTTGCGGGTTGCGCGCTTTGCCCGGGAGAACGTTGGGAGCAGTGGTCACGTGACCGATTCATACAAGGCATGTGATGGATGAATTAGCATGTGGTGAGCACCTCCTATTACTTGTACTTGTATTATGCAAGATTCAAACAGCAAGGCGTGGTTGATTTCAACGTCGCAATTATATATATAGAATAGCGGCTGTGATCTGTCTCAAGCTGGTAGCAGGACGCGACACGGTCTTTGCCACTCACTAGCCACACCAAATGAACGACTCCAATCCACGACCACAACGCCCTACCATTACACATTACACATTACACAGTACATTCGACTCCAGAAACTCGGTGGATATCTGCTTGACGCAGCATCGCGCCCGCCAAACCCCGCCATGGCCGACGCTTCACAGCAGCCTTCCCAATCCTATCCGCTGCATCTAGAAGCTATCGTGAACCTCGTCAGGACCCTCTACGACCCTGGAACCGCTAAGAAGGTCGCCGAGACAGAAGCAACGCTCAATGTCCTCCAACGGTCGCCCCAGGGTTGGGAGATTGCCGATGCACTGTTGAGCAGCCATGACGAGAATGTCCGTTTCTTTGGCGCCCTTACCTTTACCGTCAAAATCAATACCGACTCGTACGTCATGCTTGCTCTTCGGGTTCCCTATGCTCCTCCAGTAGCGATAGGCCTAACACCATATTACAGCGAAGCCCTCAGTGAAGATGATTCGCGCCAGCTGTTGCAAAAGCTTATAGTGAGGAAGCCTTTGGCTTAAGCCTCGTCGCCCGAGCTCACAGTTTCTAGTATCATCTCATTACCCGCCCCTCCTTGTCCATCTCCACCCGCAAACTGTGCTCGACACTGGCCCTGTACTTCTGCAAACCCGTCTCAGTGTGGGAAGAGTGTGTACCAAGCTTGGCCTTGTCCTTCTGCCGGAACGGCCCCATAGTTGACACGGCTCTCGGCGATAATGCACCACTTTTCGACATCGTCTCCGGACTACCTGATGAGCAACTGCTTATTCTGTTGGACTTTGCCATGAACCTCGCCGACGAGGCAAAGAGGTTGTCTACTCTGTCTAATCGGCCAGAGTATGTGTTCACCCACCTGTTTCTTCTCTGGCTTACCCGCTGTCTAGTCGAAAACCGCATGAACGCATGATAGCAAACGTGGAAAGCATCGAAGCGCTTTTGCAGGTATCATTCCTCCGCGGGATCAAATACCTGTCCGGGCGTGATGCTTCCATTCAGATAGGGGGCAAGATTGCAAACGCTTCCTTGAAGTGTTTCACTGTAAGTGACAGCTGTCCAGCTCTGTGGGTAACGTCGCTGAGCTCCACTAGGGATGGATATTTTACGCCCAATCCGAGTTCGCAGCGGTACCAGAGAAATTGCAGCACCTGCGCTCAGTAACACATCTGGCATTACAGTGTTTAGAGTACAACGTCGACGACGCCATGGAATTAATCGCTGAGATAGTGGAAAACTATCCCAATTTCCTTGAGCCTAGCGACCAGGAGCTACTTTGGTCCGTGGTCACCAGCAATTGGGGTATGGAAATCCTAGCAAATGCCGATGAAGACACGGTAGCGTTGGCGAGGATCATCGTCGCCTATGGTCACAACTTGTTGGAATCTAAGAAACTCTACAAAGAGCCTGATAATGCTCATCATCAGCAAGTCATGAGTAAGTACCGCATTGTTGTCCCCGTTAGCCCCGCATGTTATGGCGGTTGGTTGCGAGAACGACGCTCACTGTTCCGTCAGCTGTCTTACACGAGCTCCTCAAATACCCTGAATCGGTCGGGGTCGAGGACGAGGTAGCGCCAGTGGCCCTGGACTTCTGGAGCAACTACGTTAGCACCATTGCAGAAGTAGCATTTGAGTACTCGGAAGGGCAAGAAAGGCCAGACTGGTTATTGAAGGCCATGAACAATGTTTCCGTGCTTGTCTCAGAGCTAGTTCGGAAGATCATCTTCCCTCTTACCGCCGTAGACAAGACTTGGGATGAGGATGCAAAGAAAACATTCAAAGTGTTTCGCGTCGATGTGAGAGACATTTTACAGGACGTGTTCGACATCTTGCAAGGAGCTCTATTGGACAACTTCCTGGCTTTCGCCATTCAAGCCCTAGAGGCGAGGAACTGGCGGGAGGTCGAAGCAGGCCTCTTCTGTCTGGTCTCGATTGCTGACCTATTGACCAAGCAGGCGGATACCAGCTTGCGGCACTTGTTCGATCAGCCTCTTTTCACCTTGATGTCCACCGACACCACGATTCCTACGGTGACACGACGAGCTGCTGTCGATACCGTAGCTGCGTTTGATGGCTTCTTTCTTCGCCATCCGGTATACTTGCCGCAGGTCTTACCTTTTCTCCTCAGCGCATTAGCACAGCCATCCCTCGCCCACGGCGCTGCAAAATCATTCGCCTCGCTGTGCTCGGAATGCAGCAAATCGCTGACGGGAGAACTGGAGTCCTTCTTTCAGATGTACCAGCAGTTTCTCTCTTATCCCACAGCAAACGAATTCACAAAAAGCCGAGTACTTGAAGGGATCGCTGCAATTGTTCAAGCTCAAGAGTCGGATGAGAAGCGCTTGGCCGGCCTCCAGCGGTTATTCCAGTACATTACGCACGATGCCATGCAGGCTGTCAATGTCACGAAAAAGGATAACGACGCGGAACAAGGGCTGGTTCTCACATTAACGACTTTACGATGCCTTCACTCCGTCGGGAAGGCAACTCAAGCGTCCGACGAGGAGGTTATTGATCTCGAAACCGACAAAACCACTTCAGGGTTTTGGACACAGGGTCCTGGCAAGGAGATTCAAAATCAAATCATCAACTTTGTCAATTACTTGACACAAATGTTCCCTGCCGAAGGCGAAGTGGTTGAAGCGGCGTGCAATGTGTTCAGAGTCGGTTTCAAGGAGAGCGTCCCTGGTCCGTACGTCCTACCGCCGTCGGCAACCATCGACTTTGTCCTCAAGACAACGCTCGAGACGCCCCGGCTGCCGCATGTGCTGGAGACTGCTTGCTGCTGGGTCTCCTCACACAAGCGCGATAAGGGCGAAGAATACGAAGAGCAATGCCAGCGTCTCCTTCATTACGTTCTTGGCATCTTGCAAGTTCTACAGCATCCGCGGAACGATCCCGAGATATCGGTGGGGTGCATCGAGCTCATCCAGAAGTTCGTCAACACGAGCCCTCAGATTTTTGCGGCCGAACCACCCAAAGTGTTAAAGGGAATGTTCGACTTCGCAATAGAATGCATAATGTCGCCTGAAGTGCTGCCAAAACGCGCAGCATCGCAGTTATGGAAGGACGTCTTCGATCTGTCCGCAAACACAAAGAGTCCGTACCAGAGCACCGGTCAGGATATTGTAGATCACTTTGGATCTTCGGTCGTCTCGGCATTGGTGTACAACCTGTGCGGAGAGGTGGATTTCACGAGCCTCGAGTATATCGTAGTTCCCCTCCGCAAATGCATCAACTCGAACCGACACGCTAGGGCGTACATCACGCAAGCGCTTGCTGAACAGCCGCTTATATTGCGCGCTAAGGACGACCCTAACCTCGAAGGGACCATGCGAAAGTTCATTGAGGGTATGATGAGGCAAGTACTTCCCCGCGCCCTTTCAGCTCCCACTAATGTATGTACAGAAATGCCAAGGCAGCCACAGCGTTCAAAGAAACAGTAAAGGCTTTCTGGGATCACTGCAAAGTCTTGCAAATGCAGTTCAATCCACGCACAATACACCCGGGACATCGATTCGCCCATGGAATATCCTAGGGGGCGAGTGCCGGCCGCTGCTTAATATGGTGATACCGGAAAGTGACTAGATCAGGATTCCGCAAATTCCCCAAAGGCCGCAAGAGCAAATGTGATCCCGAAAGAGAGCTTCAGCGCAGGGTTGTTTTGGATCGCGCCGCGAACATTGGTCTGCTTCAGGCGCCGCTGAAGATACGAGTAGGGTACGATGTGAATGCCACGCGACTCAAGCAACTGAGATTGTTAGGTAAACGGTGATGAGACGTGACAGCCTTAGAACGATGGCGGGCATGAACAGAGGGAAGGAAAGGGCATAACCACACGGCATGCTCGAAATTACCGAGTTGGAGTAGAAATAACTCATACCTGGACGAAGATAACAACAAGCCCAATCAGTAAAGCCAGCGACTTGCTGAATAGACTGACTCCCAAGCCTCCCAAGACCCCCAATATGCTACCTATGCTGATTTGTCGTATTACTTTCAGGTTGATTGTACCAGACTGCTTGATTGTTGCCTTTTCAGTATATGGTCCAGTGCCGCTCGAACTAGGGCTGATGCCGCGGAATGCCTCTGGAGAGTCACAGAGAATTGGGGTGCTGACATGCCGCAAGAATAGAGGCGTGCCCAGAATGAGGGGAGTCGACAGTAAGAGCCCGCGACGGAGGCCTGGTAGTAAGTGTGCCATTTTCGTTGTGCCCAGAAGAGGGGACAATAACGCCCTTCTAGCAGTCAAACAGTGTGAAGGAGCCTTGTTGCTGTGAGCTGCTCCCAATTGCAAAGTCGTGAAAGTGTTGTTGAAATTGCTGAGCTAACTCCAGGTTTGAATCCATCTACAGTACTTGTGTATGGTTGGATGGCTGATGTCACCGCCGGCTACGCTAAGCTTGTTTAGGATTGGACCCTGAAGCTACCCGGGAGCTTCTTTCGACGACATCTGTTGCTGGCGCTTGGGGAACATTATTCGATTCAGGCCACCATTGCTCCTGTTTCGGCCTGGGACTTCCGCCAATTGACTTGCGATATGCTCATTGACATCTGAGAACGCCCAGATCCGCTTGCAACGTCGCACTCGCGGTGCTGCTTTCCCAACATGGCTGCTCGAGGGTCTCTCCTCACCCTCGCGAACCTCCTCATTCCAGTAGCGGTCCTCGTCTTCGCAGCCGGCTTCTTCCCGTACAAGCCATTCATGCCAGGCTTGGCTACCTATGGGCCGCTCGGATGGGAGGAAAAGATGGGATGGGAGAAGGAGCCGGAAGCACAGTTTGATAAACTGGTTTTTATGGTCGTGGATGCATTGAGGAGTGACTTTGTTTTTGGCAAGGACAGCGGCATGAAATTCGTGCAAAGGTATGCAGAACACACGTATATTCTCAGGCACAAGCTTAGGAACTCGCTATGTAGCTTGATTCGTGATGGCTTGGCCGTCCCGTTTACCGCCCACGCTACGTCCCCAACCATTACGATGCCTCGGGTCAAGGCCATGACTACAGGCTCTGTGCCTTCCTTCCTCGACGTAATCCTCAATTTCTTGGAGTCGGATACAACGTCCTCTCTAGCGAAACAAGACACATGGCTGGCACAGATCAACGCAAAGGAAGGCGGAAAGCTGGTCATGTACGGCGACGACACATGGTTGAAGTTATTTCCAGGCTTCTTCGAGCGTGCTGACGGGACGTCGAGCTTCTTTGTTTCGGTCAGTCTGCTGCTACCTTCCGCATGTAAACGTAGTGGGGAATCAAAGTTGATCGATTTGTTTCCTAGGATTTCACAGAGGTCGATAATAATGTGACGAGGCATGTGCCGGATGAGATGCTGAATGATGACTGGAATGCTATGATTATGCATTATCTTGGTCTTGACCATATTGGCCATAAGACAGGCCCCAAAGGGTTGTCATCCCGCACCTAGGTCTTGTACCCGTCTGGCGTCAGCAGTACTGACGCGTATGTAGACCCCAGATGATCCCCAAACAGACTGAGATGGATCAAATTGTTAAGCAGATTTACGATGCCATCGACAACGAAGATCACCTTTCGAACACGCTCTTCGTCCTGTGTGGCGATCACGGTATGAACGATGGCGGGAATCACGGCGGATCTTCGCCTGGCGAGACCTCCCCAGCCTTGGTTTTCATGTCACCAAAGATGAAGAAGATCACCGAGTTCAGGGACAGGGCATCCCCGATCGAGCCGAAAACCCACTTTGACTACTACAAGACGGTCGAACAGAGCGACATCGCGCCTACCCTTGCCGGACTGCTAGGTTTTCCCATACCCAGGAACAATCTAGGAATCTTCATCGATGATTTCTTGTATTTCTGGGATGACGGTATTTCCTTGTCAAGTCCCTACGTGCTTTGAGACTCTAACAGGCCCCAGGTATGGACCGTGTCCGACTCCTTATGCAGAACGCGAGACAGATGAAAGCGATTGTCGAAGCGACATACCCGAGTGCAAACTTTAAGGACGAGGTGCAAGAGATGAACTGCGAAAAGCAGCTCTCAACCGGAGAGATGCTAGCTTGCAAGTGGCAACACGTCGCACAGGTCATGTCAAGTGTAGCGTCACTGCATCCTCAGATGAGAGTCGACTACCTTTACAATGTGGGTGGTTATACCGACTTGCCATTTCTTTTCCCTCTCCGATGCAGTGGAACTAATTGGCTATAGTTTCTCCGAAATGCGCAAGATGCCATGAGCACAACAGCGTCCAACTACGATGTTTCTAAGCTTTATATGGGCACATTGTTGGCACTTGTTGCAACGTCTCTTTCTCTCATATCTCTTCGAAAGACACGTACTTTCTCGTCGGCCGCTGCATTCTACAGCATTACCCTACTGCTTCATGGCATTTCCATGTTCGCGAGCTCTTACGTTGAGGAAGAGCATGGCTTCTGGTACCTCATGACATCCACTTGGTTTATCTATTTACTCATTCGCGAGTAAGTGAAATGCATCCTAATTTAGGAAATATCTAACGTAATCCCAGTTCTCAATCAGAGTGGTTCCTGTGGTTCCTGGTCCACCCGGCGGTAATGTTAATGTATCTGCACCGCGTCATCCGTAGTTGGAACCAGACAGGCCAAAAGAACGCTGGTGCGCCTGATATTGTCCATGCATTCGCCACAATGACGTTTGGAAGCGCCGTACTGTGGAGCTTTATCGGGGCTACCTACCTAGATATAACAACGAGACTTGCCCGCCATGTGGCAAGATGCATTGCGAGCTTCATTGAGCCAGATCCGGATTTTGAACCCACCGACACACACCGCATGATGGGAACTTCTATTGTTTTACCGCTCAGCGCAACGGCTTTTGTCTTCAAACTTGGCTTTACGGCTAAGGACGCTCCAGAGCTGACGAACGGGATTGCAGAAGGCCTGGTCGAGTGGGTTAACACTCTTGATCTTGTGGGTCTTGCGAGGATGGTCTTTGCTGGCCTTGCTTTGACTGCCACTTCGGTGATACTTGGTGAGCTCGTTAGAGCAAGAGCTAGAAAGGGGAAACAGGGAGGTGGTCGTGAGTCTTTGAGATGACTTTACTCATAATGCCGTGCTAACATGGTTACTAGATCTCGCGGTCGCCCTTTTTGACCTCACTACGCTCTTCCTCATCACTCAGACCAAAGCCCAGAATATCCCGCTGTACTTGCTCTTCAGACTGCAAACAGTCTTTCTATGTACGACTTCTGTCCAAGCATTGCTCTTTACATCTCGACTGATTCCGTCTAGCACACCTTGACCTCTCACCATCAGCTATAACCACAACCACCCTTCTCCTCTCGCACTCATCCTTCTTCGCCACAGGTAACAACAACGCCATATCCAGCATCGACCTCTCCAACGCCTACAACGGCATCAGCGGCTACAATATCTCCCTTGTTGGCCTCCTAGTCTTCCTGAGCAACTGGGCTGCTCCCATCTACTGGGCCCTCTTCGGTGTCCTCCTGCTCGGCTCACACGGCCACTTCGCACGCAACTTCGATACCGCTGAGCTGGACAGCCGCGACTGGGTGGCGAAGGAGCGGGAGCATCTGCTCCGGCTAGCAACGCAGGAGAAAGAGCGGGTGCAGAAGAGGGAGGATACATGGACGTGGATGCAGCACGTCGGACTCATGACTGTGTGGACGAGTGCAAGTCTTGCGGTTGTGATGGCCGCGTGTACAGTCCTTAGAAGTCACTTGTTTGTGTGGAGTGTGTTTAGCCCGAAGTTCTTGATGCAGGTGGTTTGGGGGGTGGCGTTCCATGGCGGTGTGACGGTGGGATTGGGTGGATTGATATGGTGGCTGGTGACCTGGTAGCAGGCGATGTTGTGGTGATGAGATGGTGATGAACAAAAATAATTTGTATACTGACTGTGTTTGTGTTCACTATATATCCATGTACGAGTGCGGGATCTAGTTCCTCGTACGTTCTAGGATGCCTTTCCCACCTAGAAACTAAGACTATGGATAAAGCCGTGCAGAATGATTGGACCATGTACCTTCTCTCCCACATCGGCTGTTTTGGTCTTGCTCCTATCATCAATCAAGTGTCTGCTCAAACTATTCCGCCTAATTGTTAGGCACTTCGTACATCCGCTATGCGTTATGCAAAAGCCTACCTAGCGAACCATTTACTAAGGCCCGATTGGAGTCTCGATTTGGACATTTATGACTATTAGATCGTATGTAGGATTGCGAATTACGATCAGGAGTGCGATCGCATATGATCTGGTGGCGCGGCCTGATGTCACCCTCATGGAAGCCTTCCTCTATTGCATGCATCAAGCTACTCTTCCTCGTACCATCCCCATTTCATGGATAAGCTCTTACCCTATTTCGCCGAGTCTCCAAACTACTACACGTCTCCTAGCACATTCCAGGTGGTGGTGTACATTCACCACTTAAGGTCCAGATCGAACTCCGGTCCTGAGATCGCTTCAAATGCCACAAGCCTACTACAGATTGCGAACTAGATCTATCAGTGAAGCAGCGCAGTATCACAAAACCAGTTAAGCCTCTTGCACATGATATTTACGGTGAACCGTTCCCATTTGTAACCTGTTATGAACCGAAAACCCCGAATTCCAGTGTCCACTTCCCACCTCAGAAAACCTCCTCCCGATGCCCCAAGGCACATGTCCACATAGCAAACCACCACTAGTAGGCCCTCAGGCCGCCCACCAGACTTCAACCCTACTCAAATATCAGGCACAAAGTGCAGGAACCCCTTCTCGTCCTTCCAGAGGGTACCCGGCGGAGCAGCACCCCCAGCAGATCCCCCGGAGCCCCTCCTCCCATCCCCAGCACCTCCAACTGCCCCCTTCTGCTGCACGAAATGGAACTCTGGACCGCCCGAACCGGGAGGCACAACCCGCTCCATGTTGGGAAGCTGCCAGCTGAACGGGTACTGACCTCCCTGCGGAGGGATATTGTTCGCGGCTAGGGCAGAAAGACTGTTAGCATGCTCATAGAAAACGGCATTGTTCTGCGATCCAGATGCCTCCATCTCGGTGTCCATCTTACCCTTCTTGCCGAAGTCGGCGGGGAGTCCGGCAGTGAGGGCGCGTCGGGCGTCGAGTCGGTCTCGGAGGTTGCCAGCGGCGTACATGGAGACGGGAGGGGAGCGAATGGCGGATTTGCCTTTGCCGGCGCCGCTGAAGTCTTCGTGGTCCCCCGGTGCGGTGGATCCAGACATCGTACTGCCGGCGCTGGTGCGGTAGTTCTGCAGAGCGGACAAGGGCTCGGGCATGGTAGCGCTTGGGGTGACAGTGCCTGGGAGTTGGGCCATCTGATCGGGCTGCAAGATCGGAGTCGTAGGGATGGACGAGATGGACAGCTGGAAGGGACTAGGGCTGCCGGGGACCGGCTGACCGCCTGGGCTGTTGTGAGAAGGGGGAGTCACATAGCGATTGAGAGGGGCGAAGCCGCCATCGGAAGTCTCGACGCCAATGCAGAAAGGGAGTTGACGAGGGTCCGTCGGACGAGGAGGACGAGGTGGAGGGACCTTGGGCTTGTTGTCTTGAAGGATCGGGGCCGAGATGGGGAAGGGGAACGGTGGAACGGGAGGCGGAGGAAGTGGGGGAGCAGAACCAGAACCGGAGGCGGTGTTGGAACGCAGACGGAGGAAGAGGGAAGCTGGCGAAATGTTAGTATGAGAGAGTAAAGCGATGCAAAAGCACACAATCCAATACAGCGCGCCGTAATCATTTCGTACATCGTTGCAAAGTGGGAGGCAGGGGCTTACATTTCTTCTTCATTTTGCCCTTGGGCGACGCCTTGCCGACGCTGATGTTGGAAGTGACGTTGTCCTCCGTGTCGGACTCAGTCGCAAATGTGTCAAACTCATCTTCCGTCGAGGACTTGACTGGCGCCTTGACTTGCGATTCAAATTGAGTCTCGCGCTCAGAGAACTGTGCAGGAGGATGCGGAGGCGTGTCAGGGGAGTCGCCTTGCCCCTTGAAGAGCTTCGAGGCTGCGGCACCAGTCAGAGTCGGCGTTGACCTCACGGAGGGAGCCAGTGCGGCCTAGCTTACCTTTGGCCTTGAGAGGCTTCTTGTTCTTCTTGCCCATGTTGACAGACAACTTTGCTGAGCGTGGGATTCTGAATAGCTGATCAACGGTCTTCCGACCCAAGGTGACGTGCCACTCCGCGCGCAACTGATGGCGATGTGGAGTGGAAGGGAGATGGAGGGGACAAAGCGGATAGGCGATTAAATAGGCAGCGGCGCGCTGCGTTTGTATCAACAGAGGAATTGCGCGCTGGGAGCGCGATTGTAAACAGCGCCGCCATCGTGCGGCAGTGAAAGGCGCCGGACGGGCTGTAAACAGAGCGGAAGCGGTGAAAGACGGTTATCACCCCGTCCCACCAAAGTGCGACGGCGGACTAAGGACTTACGTCAATGAAGACGTCAGGAGTCAATATTCAATAGTGATAACAGACTTCCGGGATATCTCTTTACAGCGCGCCGCCCAAAACTCGTACAAGCCACATGGATATCCTTACGCTGATGCTCACCTTCCGCTCCGGTTTCTCAAACTCCGCCTCATCCACCTTCTTAGCATACTCTCCCAACCACTTCACCTCCTCTCCAAGTCGACGGCGTAGACCGGGATCAGATGTAGCAATGATAACATTGGCTTCGAGGTCCAGCTCGTAGGACCGCTTTGTATAATTTGAGGATCCAATGACAGTAAGACTGGGGTCTTCACCCTCTTCAGGAGGAGTGGGTGGAGTATCAGGTGAGGGGGATGATGGAAATGTTACCCACAGTCCTTTTGCATGATACGTCCAACCCCCTTCTTCACCTATCTTTCCCCTCTGCCACTCTTTTAGGATGATGATGTTGCCGAGACCTTCATAGCGGACGCGTTTCAAAAACATCTTCGCAAGATGGGTGTATGCGTCCGGGAGCATGCCACTGACGCCGCTGGACCCATAAAAGCCATTAGCATAAGGATGCGCCGTGAGCACTGTACCACTCGCAGGTCTTGTAGAAAGTAATAGACGGCGAAAGGACGGAGTCATGTTGAAATAGCCCGCAGTGAAGGTCCAGGACGAAGGATAAAAAGGAGGTTGGGATAGGCGCTTCAGCAACATTGTCAATGCAGGCAGTTCTGTGGAGGTGTCCAGGAGCGGCACTAAGGAAAGGATCGGGTATACAGCAGTGGATGATGGCATCGACCCTGTTGTAAGAGCCTTTGGCGAGTTGTTTGGCGTCAGGAGGTGAGATAGGTGTTTCGAGGCCGCAGTTTTGAAAGCCCTAGGCGATTCTAAGGGCGATGGTGCAGGATTATCCGAAGGCCACTTCATGGAATATCCACCAGGTTGTGGCGATGGTTGGATGTCAAAAGAAAGATCACAAACGCCATCATGGATCTTCGAAAAGTAGTCGGTCAGATCAGAGGAGCGGAAGAGATGATATCTATCCTGCCGATTGGTGAAATAGTCACTCGAAAGATTGGCCCCTGACATGATGATCTCGTCATCCACTCCATAGAGCTTCATGTGCTGTAGACCCCATCCCTCGTTGATACGCTTGGGAACATGCTTCTTCCGCAACCCGGTGAGATTCGGAGTATGAAACATTCTGACTTTGACCCTGTGTCCAAATTCGGAGACTAAGGGCGCAAGTAGGGAAGCACATGAGGGGTTGGGCGCTTCCCGAGTTCCGCGCAGTGCATCGGTAAGAAAGGAGACCTTCAGGTCCGGATTCCGCTCAAGAGCTGTCCGGATAGTCGAAATGAGTTCATGCTCTGTCTTTCCGATGTACAAGGAGCTGAGATAGATACGTGACTTCGCTTGAAGGATCTTGGCCTGGTCACTGTTAGAGATGACCTGGTTACGTACAAGTTAAGGCACAAATGAGACATAGAATGCATTTAGATCCACTTCGGATTGGTAATCGTTTTTCTACAGCAATTGAACGGGAGGTAGGGTCCTTTACGACGCGCTGCGGAATAGTATGGAGAGTGGGTGAGAGAGAATTGACTGACTTTGAGTGTTTCATAGAACTCTGTGGGAGTTTTCAGTACCTGCACCTGGTCTGGGTGAATCTCAAATCTTGGAGCAATCTTATCCAGATCCGTGGTCATGACTGCAAGCATCGACGCCTGAGATTGTGGAACTGGGGAAGGACCCGATGGTGCACCAGTTGAGGAATATTTCCGCAACGGCCGGAAAGGTCGCCCTGACGAGGAAACAACATTTTTGCTGCGGGCACTGGAGGGACGAACCCTCGCAATGGATCGTATTATCATGATGCGGCGACTTGAGGATGGAAGGTCTCGCAGACTTCAAATGTGAACCAAAAAAGGGAACTACGCTAGCCCGCTCCGGGAATATCTCTTGGCGTCGTCTCTTGACGTCTCATGGTCCAACTGTGTGCCCGCCTCCACCACAGCTCAACGCCGGCCACCATGTCGACCGTACTGAGAACATTGCGCAATCTGCGCAGAATTGGTTTGAAAGTAAGTCTTTTGCGCAGCTTCCGCTCCGTTGTAGGGCGCCAATTGACGCTTCTTTGCAGGAATATGGCCATCAGCTTCAGGTACGTCTCCCGCGCCGCAACGCCTGCATCGAGGCGATGGGCTGACAATTACCGTCTGGGAAAATAGAATATTGGTGCGCATTTCTACATGCTTGCATGCGAAGTAAAGACGAATTGACTGGGCACAGGCGACACCAAAGCCGGAACACTCATTGGCATTGATCGATATGGCAACAAGTTCTATGAGAACATGCAGGAGGAGCTCCCTCGTGAGTTTTCCAAACGCGGGAGATGTTGCGCCTGTTCTCTAAATGAGCGATGCAGTAAGGACCCGCTGGGTAGACTACAAGGAGAAGGAATTTGACCCGTAAGTGTGACTTTCCTCCATAGGTTGACGTGCACTAACACCCAGACAGCTCTCAAATCGAGCCCGGATGGTATATTCCACGAGTTGCCGATAGTATTTACGACGATTCTCACAAGGAGCAGGCACGCCTGGATATCGTACATGGTAGACCAAGCACCCCCCTCGGACCCAATCATGAACGCGCGAGTGCGTGAGTGGGAGCCAAAGGAACACCGGCCGACATTGACTTGGAGCCGATCGGCATACAGACCCTACAGCACGTACGATACCCCGTCGATTTCGCTACTAAGGCTCTCGCTAATGGATTTCGGCTGGCAGGACGAAGAACAAGTACGCGCCGTGGGTACCCGTTGCGAAGGCGCGTCAGTAGAGAATCAGAAGCGGAATTGCGCTAGAGTGTGTATATACATGATGGGTTCCAGCAATGAAACATCACATGGGCGGCCGGTCCATGATCTCCTTTGTGCCCGCCGGTTCCGTCCAAGGTGCTCTGTGCGGATTGCTGCTCGCGTGCTTGCATTGGATCGCTCCAGCGACGTATAATGGGCCTGGGGGAGCACATGGCTATTATGGCCCGTTTCTGATTTCACGCACGATGCCGCATCGGAGCGAATGCAAAGCAGGGGGTTGTAATCTGGGAGGCTGCACAATACGACAAAGCGGCATGGGGAATGCAGCTTCCCCGCAATCCCGAGCGCTGCGCATTGCACAGGTCAGCCTCCAGGGTCGTAATCCGTATCTATAACGACAGAGCGCATCGAGGTTCCGCCGAATGGCAAACCGGGCGTCATGGGAAGATGGACGGGGCCAGCAGTTGGAATGGGGACGCCTTCATCGCCCAGCCATCAACCGACTTGTTGGACAAGAAGAGACAGGACCCATCCCATGAAACGGAAGCTTCTCGTCTGCCGCTTCCCACGTCCAGCAAACTCGGCGCTCGCATTCCTATCGGACCAGCCGGGCTATGTGCCGTGCTGCTGCCGTGCGGGTGAGGTGACTCACTAAAAGCTGACGGCCGGGGAGCACAAGAATCCGAAGTTTGCAGAGATGCTCTTCTGCGCGCGCCCGGCCAGTTTGTCTCCAACCTGTGCAGAGTCAGCTGCCGCGCTTTCAAACGCAGCGAAGTGGGACGACGCAATACGTAGAAGACGAGTATCGTAAGTAGATTCGATGCTACTCACGGCCTGCTATCTATCGAAGTTGTTGGATGCATGCATATGGATATGGTGCTGGAAAGGTGTAGATTATCTTATCAGATGGCTCTAACAGGATGGTTGCACCAGTTCGGTTTAGCAGCATTACATCATCACATCTCCGTTGGTGCCGTTCCGTTTGCTATCCACCGCCCTTCCAGGCCTTTCAGGCGATTTGCGCCCTCACCTCCTTCCTCTCTGCCGCTCCCCCCCTCCTCTCCTTGATATTCGCCATTACTCCTATTTCCCTCATGTCCGCCATCCACCTCCCATAACATATCGCCAATCCGCCGTCCTGGCTTCCCAAGGCTTCTACGCAGCGCTCGGTGACGGGCCATGTTTCTGAAGTGTAAGGGCCCGATATGGGGCCCAGACGATTTCTCACGCTGCTTTGAGCTTAAGTAAGTCTGGGTTGATTCACCTGTCATGTCTCTGAATCCGGCCGGTCCATTGGCTCCTGCTCTGGCCCTTCTGTCGCAACAGAAGTGGTTCAGATATGCCTCTTCTGAGCGGCGCAAATATGCTAACGCGGCGCACAGTTATCTACAGTCTGTGATTCCTCTTCTCGTGTGCGGAATCTCACTCGTTTATCTCTTATACCAGCTTCGCGCCGCACGATCCGCCAGGGACACGCATGCCTACACAGTCTTGGATCCCGCCGACAGTGTGTGGTCCACGCCTGCCAATCGCTACCGTGACGATGCCGACACCGCCAGCGAGTCCGAAGACGAATCCGAGCCCAATGGCCCGTTGGCTCTTCATCCGACCTTCAGTGCGCAGACCCGTTCGACCGTGGCCGTCGATCGCCCACGAGGCCAAGTCACCGTCGTAGTGCTGGAGGAAACCGCTGTCTTGGCCGCTCTCTCCCTGCATGTCATCGTTTTTCTCACCGGCGCATGGGGTCGCAAGGGGAGGACTGCCGCCATAACCAGCATCGTCATATGGGCCTATACTGCGTTGTTGGCCTCGCTGCGCTTACTCTTCTCGGCCACTAATAGATGGTCGTTCCATAAGCTTTGGTACCATACCGCTTTTCTTTACGGCTGCCAATGGTTGTGCGGCGCCCTGATCTTTCGCTCGGCTATCATTCATCCGCGATCTCGTCTCCAGCAGCATATTGCAATCACCGACTTTGCCCTAACCTCCCTCCTCTCCCTCATCTGCTTGACATCCAGAAAGGGCAACAAAACCGTCGAGTTGGAGTATGAAGGGGATATTGAGCCCTCCAGGGAACCTACTGCCAGCGTATTCTCATTGGCCACATTTGGCTGGGTAGATGCCATCGTTTGGAAGGGTTTCAAGAAGACATATGAGATTGCCGACGTGTGGAACTTGGCGCCAAAAGATAAAGCAGCAGCCGTCATTGCGGATTACCGTCAGCTCAAGAAGACTTCGGCCCTTGCCTTTCACCTGTTGAAGTATTTCAAGCGTGGTCTACTCATCCAAGGCACTTGGGCCGTCATGTCAGGTTTCCTTACCTTTGCGCCCACCATGCTCCTCAAAGCCATCCTGGAATATATCGAAGAGCCAGATCTTACTCCTCGGAACGCTGCATGGTTCTATGTCATGCTCCTCTTTGCTTCCGGTTGTGCCTCTGCACTTGCCGATGGCCAGGCTTTGTGGATCGGCAGAAGAATCTGCATACGCATACGCGCTGTTATTACCGGGGAGATCTACGCGAAAGCCCTAAAGCGCCGTGTGTCTTCAGGAATAGACAAAGTGCTGGGGAAAGGGCCCGCCAAGGCAAAACAGGAACCGCATGATGAGCGCAAAGGTTTTAAGAAGCTCACGAGATTTATACGGAAGAAGAGCAAAGATGCAGATGCTCACAAGAACAAGGAAGACCCGAAGGTAGAAGAGGACGCCCAAGTTACCACCGGAGCCATTCTAAATTTGATGGCTGTTGATGCCTACAAAGTCAGTGAAATTAGCGCATACCTCCACTTCCTCTGGGCGAACACACCCGTTCAGTTCATAGTAGCAATAGCATTGCTCTATCGAGTCCTTGGATTCAGTTGTATTGCTGGCATCGGAATGATGGCCATCCTAGCACCAGTCAACCTCTGGGTTGCGAACCAATTCTCCAAGATCCAGAAGCTGATTCTGGCAGCAACGGACGCAAGGATCCATTCCACGAATGAGGTCCTTACCAACATCCGTATCATCAAATTCTTTGCTTGGGAACAGCGATTCATTGGTATTGTCAATGAGAAGCGCCACGTGGAGCTCAAACATCTGAGGCGGAGATATCTCCTTTGGGCTGTAGCTGCCACCATTTGGTCTGGCTCTCCGGTTTTCATTACGTTCCTCTCCTTCCTGGTCTACACCAAAGTCGAGCACAAGGAACTTATTCCCTCGGTGGCCTTCACTGCACTATCCTTATTTCAGATCTTGAGGATCCCGTTGGATCAACTGGCTGATATGATAGCCCATGTACAGGAGTCCAAGGTGTCCGTGGATCGTATCGAGGAATATCTCAACGAGCCAGAAACGGATAAATACACGCAGTTGGTCTCTGGCAAAAAGGATGACAATGGACAACCCATTATCGGATTCGAGCAGGGAACATTCACTTGGGGTGGGAAAGACTCAGAGGACAAAACCGCGGCCGACGCCTTCAAACTTATGGATCTTAACGTCCGCTTCAAAGTCGGAGAGCTCAACGTTGTCGTAGGGCCAACCGGCTCTGGAAAGACGTCCCTGCTCATGGCTCTGCTTGGCGAGATGACAAAGCTGAAAGGCAACGTTTTCTTACCCGGTACTGGCAGCCGTGAAGACCTCAGAGTGGACCCCGAGACAGGTCTAACAGAAAGTGTTGCTTACTGTGCCCAGCAAGCATGGCTCGTCAACGGAACGATCAAGGACAATATCCTCTTCGCCACCGATTGGGACGCAACCCGGTACAAGCAAGTCATAGTGGCTTGCTCCCTCCAACGAGACTTGGAAATTCTGGATGCTGGAGACCAAACAATTGTTGGCGAGAAAGGCGTCACTCTGTCCGGCGGCCAAAAGCAGCGCATCTCTTTGGCTCGAGCCCTATATAGCAAAGCACGGCACGTTTTGCTGGATGATGTGTTAAGTGCTGTCGACTCACATACTGCCAAGTGGATCTTTGACAAAGCTCTTCTGGGCCCGCTCATGTACAACCGTACATGTGTTCTCGTTACTCATAACGTCGGTCTGTGCTTGCCCCAGGCTGAATATGCCGTCGTGTTGGACAATGGCAGAATTACAACCCAGGGAACAGCCACAGAAGTTATCGAATCGGGAAAATTGGACGAAGATCTTTCGAAGTCGCATGCTGCCTCCAGTAGAGCGTCCAAGATACCTTCGCGCGTACCTTCTGATGTGGGTGGCGAAGAAGCAACGGGTGAAGCAAGCCATGCAAATGGCGACGCGAATGGAAATGCTCACCCAAGCCAATCGAAGAAGGCGTCTGCTATTGATCCATATGAGGAATCGAAAGCCGAAGGTGGTGTCAAGCTCAGTATTATTCTGATGTACCTGAGGTCCATGGGACCGTGGTATTACTGGATTGGTGCTGGGTTGGTGTTCGTAGCACAGCAAATTGCGTCGGTCTGGACAAACGTTTGGATTCGGACTTGGGCAAACTCGTATGCTGAGAAAGGGATCCGCTCCCAGCGCCTGCAACCTCCGAGACCCATCAGCCATGCACCTACTCTCAGTGGAATGGGCACGTGTCTCAAGAGCGGCACTTGTAGCTGGAACATGCCATTCTTTTCACACTCTGATGAGAGCCTTTACAGCGCCATGCGACCCGATCTGGTCCCCACAAGCTCCGAAGTCGATTCCGGCTACTTTCTAGGCGTCTATGCTGCCCTCGGAGTCGCGTTTATGCTCATCACTTTCATTCGGGAGGGCTTCCTCTTTGGTGGCTCACTTGCTGCATCGAGGAGGTTGCATGAAAGATTGATACAAGCCATCACGCATGCCAAATTCCGTTTCTTCGACCAAACCCCTCTCGGCCAGCTCATGAACAGGTTCTCCAAGGATATCGAGGCGGTCGATCAGGAGGTTGCACCGGTAGCCATAGGGGTCGTCCACTGTCTCGCATCCATTATTACTATTGTCATCCTGATTTCCGTCATCACCCCCGGATTCCTCATTGCAGGCACCTTTATCACGATATTGTACGCTCTGATAGGGAGATTCTATCTAAGCTCCTCTCGAGACCTGAAACGCTTGGAATCGGTGACCAGGAGTCCGCTCTATCAGCAGTTCGGGGAGACCCTGACCGGCATGGTCACAATTCGAGCCTATGGTGACGAGAGACGATTCATACGGGACAATCTACAGAAGATCAATACTCAACATCGTCCGTTCATCTATTTGTGGGCAACTAACAGGTGGCTTGCATTCCGAGTGGACGTCGTCGGTGCCATGGTATCCTTCTTTGCTGGCGTCTTCGTCGTACGCAGTGTTGGCAAGATTGACGCAGGAGCCGCTGGACTGGCGCTCACGTATGCCGTCACCTTTACGGAAAATGTCCTCTGGTTTGTACGGCTGTATTCAGCGAACGAACAGAATATGAACTCAGTGGAGCGAATCAAGGAGTACCTGGACGTGGATCAGGAAGCAGCCATGATTCATCCGGGAAGGAGGCCTCCCTCGAATTGGCCCAGCCGAGGTTCGGTGGAGTTCATCGAATACAGTACCAGATACAGGCCAGATTTTGACAAGGTTCTGAAGAAGATTTCCTTCAAAATATTGCCTGGAGAGAAGGTTGGCGTGGTGGGACGTACCGGTGCTGGGAAGAGTTCGCTGGCGTTGGCGTTGTTCCGTGCTCTGGAAGCCGAAGAAGGCAAGATTCTGATCGACGATATCGACATCGGTTTGATTGGGCTACAAGATTTGCGGGAGAACATAGTCATGGTCCCGCAAGGTAAGAGAGATCCTGGCTGCACTGTAGATGACGCTGACCTTGAGTAGATCCAACCCTCTTCACCGGCACAATACGCAGTAATCTTGATCCCTTCTCCCTCTTTACCGACGAAGAAATCTTTACCGCTCTGAGAGAAGTGCATCTCGTTTCTTCGTCGTCGGCAGCAACATCTACGTACGACGGGACGCCAACCCGCACGCCTGGGACACCGCGGGCCATCGAGATACCTAATCCCACGTTCAATGCTGTTGTGACAGACGTCAGCACCAGCTATGGTGGGTCGACAACTAACCCGGCCTCTATTCTAGCGAACGGCCATGGTGAAACCATGAACGAAACGATACTTATCATGCCCGATGGCGCAGCAACAAATACTGACCGGGAGGTCGACACGGGGCTTCAACCAGAAAACAAGAACCCATTCCATAACCTCAACTCTCCCGTCTCCGAGTCAGGTTCCAATCTCTCCCAAGGACAGCGTCAGCTCTTGTGTCTCGCTCGCGCCCTTCTCAAAGCACCCAAAGTGCTCGTCATGGACGAAGCAACTGCGTCGATTGACTACGCGACGGATGCGAAGATCCAGGAAACGATCCGTGAAATAAAGAATACCACGATCACGATTGCCCACCGGTTGCATACCATTATTGACTACGACAAGGTGCTGGTGCTGGACAAGGGAGAGGTGGTTGAGTTTGGGGACCCGTGGGACCTATTGCAGAAGAAGGGGAGCTTCCACTCCATGTGCGAGACGAGCGGTGACATGGCGAATCTGGAAAAGGAGGCGAAGAGGGCATATGATAAGCGGAAAGGTCTTGATATGGGTGGACTGGACGCTCAAATGGGCGGAAAAGCGAGTGCAAGTGCAACGAGAAGCGCGAGATAGGACTCTTCTTCTTCCTCGACATGGCGTCGCAGCTATGGTTCTGCGGACGAGATCGCAGGCGAAATGTTTAGAGTACATAGATGGAGTGGGAGAGAGGTGACATGTAGCCTTGGCTAGCATTGCGTGTGGGTTACATTGCATGATTGCTGCTGGGAGCAGGATAGACGGTGCATTGGGAGCATGTGATCAATGTCAATCAAGAATAAGTCGTATGGATGCGTTTGCTTGTGGGAGTGTCGTGGATCGAGCAGGAGTACATGCAATGTCTTCCGACATTTTTTCACTCCATTGGGACTTGGTGCATGGCACCGCCCGTGTTCGTAAATGGGTTTTATTTTGTTGACATGTGTACCAGATAGATGATATTGCGATGCATACTCGAACTTGTACTGCAGAGTCAAATCCGAGTTGTCTGGGGGTGCTATTCTCAGGGGTATCATAAATGCAAAAAACTCTCCACACCTGTATCTAGAATTCCAGCTCTTCAATCTCCATGCCACACTCCTCGCACCGTTTCTTCGACATTCCCGTCTCCGGGTCCAACACGCTTCTCCCCCACTCGTGGACATGCTTCTCGCCCATGCCCCTGATGCGGTCGCCAAACTGCACCGCCGCGGCCGCGTCCCCCATCAACTTAGCCCTCTTGTACGCCTCGACGCGCGTCTTCTTCTTCAGGTCGTCCAGCTTGTTCTTGAACTTCTTCTCCTTCCTGGCCTTGGCCACCTTCTGCCTCTTTTCGTACTCGACGTCCAGGGCCTCGGGCGACCCCCACTTGCGTTCCGAAAACGCATACGCCTCGACCTGCAGCCGCAGGAAGAGCTGCATGTTGTTCCAGTTGGTCTTGTGGGGATTCGGGCGTTCCAGGTGGGGCAGCAACGCCTCGTCCTTGAGCTCCGGGTCCGTGAGGAGGTAGTCCTCGCGGGCCTCAGTCTTGGTGAGGAGCGAGTACTTGTCCGGGTATTTGTCCTTGCAGGCATTGCAGACGCTTATGGCGAAGACGTCGTGCCATTTCCAGTCGATTTCCAGCGAGGCGCATTCGCGGCATTTGCCCTTGATCTCGCGTTTCCCGTCGCCGTATTTGCCCTTGAAGGCGGAATTAGAGCTTGAAGCCAGCTGCGCGTCCGCATCCGCATCAGCGTTCGCCGCCGCCTCCGCAGCAGAAGCGAGGCGATCTGCCTCTTCCCTTTCCTCTTCCTCCCGCCCGTCCGCGGCATTCAAAATCGAGATGCCCGGTTCATAAGGCCCGGCCCTATTCTCCCTCAACTTCCTCCTCAACCTCTCCCTCTCCCACTCCGCCATGGTCATGCCCTCTGGCTTCTCATCTTCTGGCCCCCTCCCCCTTCCCGATCCGCTCCACATGGCCCGGTTGTGCGGATCGTCCTCGGTGCTGAGGAAGCCGCCCTTTGTGTCCGTCATCCTGCTGAAGTCATATTCGATGTATTCGGCCCGAGCGAAGTTCTTGGCCGGTTGCAGAAGAGAGTCGGAGGACGGGGCGACGAAGCCATTGCGATCGCGCTTTGGGATCTGGGGAGAGGAGGCGTCGCGGAGGGTGGCGGGGGTGGTGGAACTGGAGATGCTTGTGTAGGCACGTTTTGTTCCGGCGAGAGAGGGGAGGGAGGGGAGGTGGGAGGAGGAAGCGGAGTGATGTTGTTGTTGTGGTGGTCGTTGATGCTGTTGGGCGGCGGCTTTGGCTTTGAGGCGGGCTTCTTCCTGAATGGAATTAGGGGGAGGCCTGTCTAAGGAGGAGGAGGGTATAAATAAGGGTTGTACCTTTCGCCGGATTTGTTCTGCGTCTGGCAGAGTGGTGGGTGCCGATGAGCGGGTTGTGCGTGGTGGCGGGGTGGTCCGTTCGGACATTGTGTGGGCTGGCGAATGTGGAGGAAGAAAATGACAGCAAGACAGTGCAACAGGGTTGGGGAGCAGGGGCTTGACCAGCTCAGGGGGAGCCGTAGATATCGAAAATGGTATAATGGGGAGATGGTGAGCTGGGAGTGAAGTTGCAGCGGGCGGGGCCACAGCGATGCGATGTTGGAGGTGAGTTCTGGACGCCAAGACATGTAGCCATTCACAGTTCTTCCATTCATCCTTCCTATAGAGAAAGACTGAACATTGGTGTCCACGCCGCTGCTGCCCATGTTGACAAAACAAACACCGCTACACAGTGCAGTGGTAGGCGACCATTGTTATATGCTTCCGGGGATGCGCATCCATATATCGGTCCCAGTCACGCTTCATCCTCTATCCCTTTTCGGATACTTCGCCGCATCTTTCACTGAAGGGACACGAACGCGTCCACACGTGCGCACGTGGTCGACCAGGAACCCTTTTGTGGTAAAAGAGCAAAACCCTACCTCACCACATGCGCTCTCCTACTTACTCATAGATGTTTCGTGTTCGCCCCTCCGGTTTCCACCATCGGCGGATTCAAATGACGCAGCAACGCTCTTATGCGAGGCTCGGTCAGTGGGATGGCTTAAAAGCAAGGCAAGGAGACAATCATCGCTCCAGGAGGCGTCCATACGTCTCAGAGTCCCGCAGCTCAATGACATGAAATGTATTGTCTCCTTACTCAAAATATGTGCTACAAGTGCTGACAAAAGCTAGTGGGCAAAGAACCATGACGCCCATTCAACCCATACTACGACGGACCAACGTTCGGCTTCGGCGGGGAGGGGTTCAGGCCTTGCAGCTAAACTCATCAGTCTCCCGATATTCACACCCGGACTACGAAACAATTGCCTCAAGATACGAGCTCGCTCGACCTCTCCAGGATTGTCGTGCCAGGAATCCGATTGGAAATATTCGGGTAACTTGATTGATGGGCGCTATTTACTAGTAGCCTCCATTTCAAGTGCACCGCAGTTTCCCTACTTCCGATACCACATCCTCGTGACCTTTTGAGCCCTCATCTTCCTCTGGAGTTGGAAAATGCCGTAAAGCAGAGCCTCGGCGGTGGGTGGGCAGCCGGGAATGTAGATGTCCACGGGCAGGATGCGGTCGACGCCACGAAGAACGCTGTAACTGTAATGGTAGTAGCCGCCCCCATTGGCACAACTGCCCATGCTGATGACCCATTTGGGGTTTGGCATCTGGTCGTAACACACGCGAACAGCAGAAGCCATCTTGTTGGTGACGGTGCCGGCAACGATCATAATGTCGGCCTGGCGCGGCGAGGCGCGGAAGATGATGCCCAGACGGTCCTGGTCGTACCGGGGCATGGAGCAGTGCATCATCTCGATGCCGCAACATGCCAGGGCGAAGGTGAGTGGCCATACGGAGCCTTGTCGTGCCCAGTTGGCAAGCTGATCGAGTGAGGTGCTCGAGCGCATGTCAGCGTCGTCTGGGGACGGACTCGACAGGTGTGTTTCCCCTGCACTACCTACAGGACATATTCGACCGCGTTGGACGGCTCGGATTGCGAGGGTAGAGGGGTCTGGGAAGGGAGGAGACGCTTGGGAGCCAAGCTGGGAACGGCGGCTTTGGCATCCTGACTTTGGTAACGTCTCGGCGTCAGGACCATGGCCGAGAGAAAGCAGGTGGGCGGTGCAGAGGGGGTGCCGGACAGCAGCGGTAGGCGCCGCATGGCGACTTGATGTCGTTATCCATTGTCAGCTGGAAGGAATCTGTATGCCCATGGTGGGAGGAAGGAAAGCTCACTCGTAGACATGTATGCGGCCGTCATGGTGAAAGGTTGGTGAGAGAGGGTCGAGATGGGAGGAGCAAAGTCAATGGTGGGCTGTGCATGTGGCCTCGCTGACTTGCTGACTACTGTGGTATACTTGTACCGGTACAGGGTATGTATACGAAGTACAGCGCCTTACAAATGCTCCTGTATGACTCCGACTGCGTGGCTGTACACGCCGCTGATTGCCCTGGTTTGACAAACATAGTTAGAGTGAGTGGTAGGTGACCATGGTTATATGCTTGCCATGGTTCCCATCCATACAGTATATCAGTCCCAGTCACGCTTCCTTCTCCTCCTCCATTCTTTCTTTCGATATCCTCTTAATACCTCTTTGATAGAACATGGCCATGGACGCCTTCACACGGGCGCACGTGCTCGACCAGGCACAGGCACGGGCACGCTTTCGCATCCCTGCTAGCGCATCCGGCTCCGAATCCGACAACGTTCGCAACTGCAACAACACCGTCCACGAAAGGAGATTGAGGGACGAGGAAGAAGAGGAGAGCCCGCGCATAAGTCGCAACGAGCAGAAGCGTCGACTGAAAAAGCAGCGAAGGGAAGAACAGAAGCAAAGACAACAAGCCGAGCTCGCCCTCATTCCCACGATCTCCACCACCACCACCCTTCTCGACCCTCGTCCTCCGTCTCCCAAGGATCGCAACCCTCCCAACATCCTCCCCAAAAACTCCAAAGTCTCCCTCTCCGTCTCCGCCGCCATGCCCCCACCATCAACCTATCACCCCCTCCTCGTCTGCTCCATAGGCAACCCCGGCCCCCAATACGCCTCCACCCTCCACTCGGCCGGCCACACCATCCTCTCCACCATCCGCGAGCGCGGCCTCTACCAGCCCTTCGCCTCGGGCCTCTCGGGCAAAGTCGCCCGCCCAGACACCACCACCTTCCGCTTCTCCATCACGGGCTTCAGCAAGGAGAAGGCACAGGGTCTGGCTCCGGGCGAGGACGACTTCACGCTGTGGCAGAGCACAAAGTTGATGAATGTCAGTGGGCCCAGCGTGGCCGCTGCGTGGAGACAGTTTGCCGGCCAGGGTCGCTTTCAGGCCGAGGGGCAGACTCCGAGATTGGTCGTCGTGCATGACGAGCTGGAGTCTCCGCTAGGGAAAGTTTCGATAAAAGACGGAGCAAGCAGTCCGAGGGGTCATAATGGGTTGAAGAGCGTGCAGGCCAGCTTGGGAACTAGGGTCAAGTGGTGGAGGGTAGGGGTGGGGATTGGACGACCGGAGAGTAGGGAACCGAGTGTCGTGAGCAAATATGTGCTGAGGAAAATGACCGACAGGGAGGAGAGGGCCATGGATGCCGCGAGTTTGGGCGTCTTGGAGGCCTTGAGGAAGATTGCAGACGGGAAGGCCTAAGTCTGCTACCACGGTTGGGGCGAGCAAAAAAAAAAAAGAATCTTGTTGTATGATACTGTATGTCTATGGGTTGGATATTACGACCCCTTGCTCAGGGCATCGCATGTCGAGGAGTTGTTTGGCATTGTTTTTGAGATACCCACAAAGCTTATGCATCTGGATGGGGTGGATTTCGGGTCGTGGTTCATTGGATCTAGATGATGCCAGATAGATTGGTCGTCCTCAATTACCATTCAAACCTCATTCGCCAAACACAAGGGGAGCAGCATAGAGTTCATCGTGCCTTGGCATTAAACCAGCCACGGAGGGAGAAGCTCAATTCTCCAAATCATACAGCAAGCATCCCCCCGTCCTGAAATTATACACAAACGCCTTCCCCCCCTCCCCGCTCCGCGCCGTCCCGTCATTCAGCGCCTCCCGCCACCGGGCAGCGTACTTGGATAGAAGATCGTGCAACTCGTGTAGGTACTGCCGCTCATTCATGGGCACACTCTGAATCGCCCGTCGCCACCCATCGGGGTCGCTCAATCGCGTCTCTCTGATTAGATTCATCGTCTCATCTTTCGTCTCGATGGCCGCAATCGGGGCGCCTTGGAACGAGGACAACAGCTCGGCGGAGCGAGTCTGCGCGGCTTCGACGATGCTCCATTTGCTGGTCTTCTTGGAGCGGTGATGCGACATGAGAACATCGACGTTGGCTTTGGTGCCGACCGGCGACGAGCTGGAGGCTGGTGTAGCGCGGCTGTGTCGTTGGACAGCGCTTCCTTCCCTTGCTTCCCTGTCCCGAAGCTCGTTGCGGAGGTAGTTGAACAAGTCGCTAGAGCGAAGGTCCGTGTCCTCCTTCTTGACGATGCTTCTGACCTTCAAGTCCGGTTTATCAGAGGCGACACCGTGCCTGATGATGATGAGCCAGCTATGCCTATCGTCTCTGTAGTGTCTCATAAGGTCTTCGATGGTATGTGCCTGGACAGCCAACTCTGCAGTGTATCCATGTTCAATAAGATCCGCCACCATTCGAACGCCAGTCGACCTGAGAAGTGAAGCGTCAAAGCTCGCAACGAGGCAGTCACATCGACGAGGTACCCACGATAGAGCGGGATTCTCCTCTTCCGCATGCTTCTTCAGGAAAGCGGTTGGTGCCGTCTTCTCCGGTTTCTTTAGGAATCGGGCCATTGAATTCACAAGGCGATCCCAACCAAGGTTCATACCAACGCCATGATAGCCACCAGTTGGGTGCGCTTGACCTCCGACCCTCGGCCGGTACTCCTGAATCAGCTTGTCGTACCTCCCTCCTGCAGCGAGAACCTCCCGCTTCTTGGTGTCGAAAACGCACTGGAACAGTATGCCACCAGAGTAGAACTTCTCGTTGAAACTGCTCAACGCATTGATGTACACCTTCCGCTTTATATTCCAATGTTTCATGTAGGACACCACGGAGTTGAGATGAGCGAAGATGGCGTGCGTTCTATCAAGATACTTGGTGCCTTCGAATATCCGCCGCAGTTTCGAAAATGCTTTATCAGGTGTGTCTCTCCAGTCGAAACGCGCAAGGTCGTCTAGTGAAGTGGATGAAACTCCCACCTCCGGCGCACGTAGCTCATTCCGTATCTTTTGCCAGTTGAATTGTTGAATATTGAGCTTACTGAGCACCTCCTTTACTACCGGTCGCTGTGGGACATTGATCCGGCAGAACTCCATTATGATTTCTAGTAAATCAGAGTGGTTTAGATGGAAACACATCGTAGTCGAGGCGAGAGATGGGAACTCGTCAATGACCTCGTCGATGACTTTGAGGACCTCCGCTTCTTTCAAGGCTAGGTCCAAGGTGTCATAGGAGAGTATGTCAAAGTCGGCTTCGCCATTGCTCCGCGGGGCTCCGCCCGTGTAACTGTCTCGGTAAACAGAGCCTATTGTGAATGTCTTCTCCAGGAAGGTGGCACCGCGTCCAATGCTCCTCGCATATGGCAACGTGAGGTCATAAGGTAACTGCACGAGCGTACCCGATGGGTCGAAAAGCTTCACGACATTGTTGTTGGCGTAATGGCTCGACCATGGGATAAGTAGCTGCCGCTGCATTTCCACCGCGCCGTGGCCCCGGAATACGCTCGTGAGACGTTCCTTGACCATGGTTTGAAGCAGCACATCGTTCGCCTTGATGCCCTGCGCGGCGGGAGCGATCCCCATGTCCCACGCATAATCCTTCGCTTGGGTATCAGGCTTTTGCGAGAATAACGCTGCCATCATCTTCGCGTAGTGAGGAGAATCGCGATCCGACAAAGCCTTTAGAGCTTCCTTGACAGATTCATCTTCGATTTGCAGAGGGACCTTTCCGCTACGAAGCAGTTCCGCGCAGCTTGGGCGCTCGCTGGGCCGATGATTGATTAGCGATGTGATTATGCTTCCTTGAAGGGCCTTTTCAGGTGTCTCAAACTCGGCCGGCAATGTATGTTTGCGCTCTCGAAGTTGTCTTAGAACATGGTCGCGTTCCATGGCCGTTTTCAGCGGGTAGCACATCTCGAAGAAGATGATGCCCATAGAATACATGTCCACTTTATCGGTGTAGTTGCCGGAGACGTTGGAACGCAGTTCAGGCGCGACGTATAATGCAGTGCCGATGCTACGCGTCATGTCTCCGTCCGCCTGGCTCCCTGCAAGCATCTTCTTATCGGCGCGCTGATACTGACCACTCGTCGCCAGCCCAAAGTCGCCGATCTTGGGTATCTTGGCAACGTCGATGAAAATGTTGTCCGGCTTGAGGTCTCGATGGATTATCCCATGACTGTGGATGTGTGCAAGACCCTCCAACATTTGTCGGAAGAGCCGCCAGTACTCCTCTGAATCCTCGTAAAGGTCTCTCCTGATCAGGTCACGTAATGTTTGTTTCTCGCAGAACTCCATCTGGATATATAGTATTGTTCTGGTGGAACGTGTAGGATACGAGCTGGACTCAGTTCGCTTCCTTGCGAGGAGCGAATGCGAGTTTGGGCTACCTACTCCGTCCTCATCTTCTGTTCAGTGTTAATTGAGATTCCGTCCCGGTTACTGCTATCAACGTACCAGTATCAGAACCGAACACGACAGCTCCATCATCTTCGTCTTCCTCTTCATCATCGGAGCCGAACATGATTCTATGGGAATTGCTCACAAAATCGAGCCCTCCCGTGCTCCGTGTGAAACCGGCATCTCCATTCCCGGGCGATATCGCTGAGTCAGATTCCGAGTCGGATTCTCCTCCCGTGAAAGTCGAAGCGTCCTCTTCGGTTTCGGAGGCACCAGCATATTCTTCCTCAGGCCATGCCGTGTAGTAACGCACAACGCAAGGGTGGTTTAGCCGTGACAGAAGCATGACTTCGGACAAGACCTCAGTAAGAGCCGCAGCGGACTTTTGCCTGATCTTTTTGATGGCATAGACGCGACCGTCCAGCTTGTTTCGAGCTTTCACAACCTCACCATACCCACCCTTCCCAAGCCGGCCTGCCTCGACCCAATCGCTTGCATATCTGGAAAAGCCTCCTCCGATGCCTACTGACGATTCACGACGTTGGCGTCCAGCGGCGAGCGAGGTTGAGGAATGCCTGGAACGCATAGGGGTGAGTGGCTGTTCATAGACGGGGACGTCGTCTCGCAAGAACTCGGACGGAATCAGGTCGAAAGCGGAAGCTCGTTTCTTGGGGTCAGGCTTGAAGAACTTCCGCATGATTTCTTGTAGTGACTCGGAGCACCCAAGGGAATCCGATAGGTCTTTCGGCGAGTTGTACTTTTGAGGGGCATCGATACCGAACAACATCTGTAGAAATACGACGCCCAAGTCCCAAACGTCAGTTTTCCTCGTCTTTCGATTATCATGCGCAAGTTCTGGAGCGACCCAGAAAGCGGACCTGGACGTTGAATATGACAATTTGCCATGAGTCACATCCTGAAGACGATGTAGACTGTCCTGAAATCCGGCATCAGCAAGTTTGACCGACATGCCTCCTGTGGATGTCTTCCGCAACATAACATTGTTAGGATGAATCCTCTTGTGCACGACGCCGTTGCGGTGGTAGAAGTCTAGGGCTTCCAATAGTTCGATAGTCCAAGCCCTCGCCTTTGAGACGACAATGTGACCATCATCTTCCAGCTTCTCCCCCAGCGAGCCCTTGGTGAAGTACTCCGTAAGGATGTCAATCTCCCAGCTAAAGTCGGAAATCTGCTGGATCTTGAAATCGAAGACGAACATGATAGCGGGCTGGCGAAAGCGCTTGATATCTTCCATCTCCTCCTCAAACTCTGTTATCGCCTTCTTGAGCTGCGCCTGAAAAGTGGAGTTCTCGGCCTGTACAAGAGCTCGTTTCAAGACCAGGATGACGGAGTCGGAAGCGCTTACAGGCTTCACAAGGAACTCTTCCGTGACCGGACCTTTGCGAAACGGCAAAACACCCTCGACAGCAGTGCATTCGATATCTTTACCATCTTGTTGAACGGTAACGACCCTCTCAAAAGAGATACGGTCCGAAGATTGAGCCTCCGAAAAGTAAGAGGTAGGCGTGTGTCCGGCTTTACTTTTCCGCTTCGCCATGGCCTCCTTGCGGCGCACTTCTTCCTCCACCATTTGCTGCAATGCACGTTCCTCCTCAATCTTCTCCTCGTTTCGCTTCTTTTGCAACTCCTGTTCGTGCTGCTTTGCGAGCTCGGCAGCAGCAGCTTCCTGCACTGCGCGTTCGGCTTCGAGGTTCTCGAAAGCACCATCATTCTCACGGAGGGCGATGTCGTCTTCGAGGATGTCCTGTATGGAGGTAGCGATATCATGAATCATCACCTCGCCGACAAGCTCCTTAGGCCTTGTCTTCAGCACATCATTGAGCCTCTGGATCGTTTTCTGGCGCAACTTGTTCGTATCCTCTAGGGTAAGATTGGGCAAGGACTTGGGATACGTTGCAGTGAGTTTTGCACAGAGGGTCACTGACGTCTCCTCGCTCGAGAAGGATTTCAACTTCAGCCGTATTACACGATCCGTTGTTTTCTGAAGCTTGCATTAGTTTTGGGGCGCCAAATAAAAGCATAAGACTGAACGGGAAGGCGTACATGCCATGCGCCCTTGGCTTCGACCTCCTCAAAATCATCCATATAGATGGCCTTCAAGACCTCCAGCTCTTCCTCTTGGGCTTTGGCGTAGGTATCGGTAGGCATAGCAATCAGGGGGGTTCTGGCAGAGGGTTGGTCCCTCGGGGGAGGCCTACCCATGGGGGCGTGCGTGGCCTGCGGCGTGGATACATTGGTGGCATTCTTCTTGCGGGCAGGTGTTTTCGGCGGTGCCATAGTTGGTCGATGGTGGCTAACATGCCAACTGGAAATAGTTGACGGAGAGGGAGCAGCCGAAGCTGCCTGCCCCTTAGACTGCAGACATTCCGGTCACTATTTTATGAGAAGGCGTTGCGAGTGTGACATGGCAGGAGAAGGAAGTGCCTTTCACCGCCCGTCGTCAATTGGACAGCAAGTCATGGCGGGGCAGCCACAGCCCTCCAGGGCTGGAGCGGAAGAGGCGCTAAACCGTAGCGGGACTAGAGCTTCTGGCGACGCGAGTTGCATCAATGTATGCATAGGTCTATAGTTACATCTCAACCTCCAACAATAGCTGGTGAACACACAAAAAGCAGTGCCTGCGCGAACCTATAGAACGGCGCGTAATGGTCTGATGGTACACTTCTATGGACCCTTTCCTTTCGCACGTGCCGTCGTTCCCGCAAGTTCCAGACAACAGCTCGCATTCGCGGCTCCGAACGTAAACAACCCGTCCAAACAACAGCGGGACTCGCCGCCACAGCATACCTAGGGCCTGCGAATACCTGACGACCCTTTTCTGCGTGTCTCCGTCATTCTATCGGTTTGGACAGTGCCAATCGCTATGTTTTCCTGGCTCACAGGACCGCGCATCGCGAACTTAATCGAAGACATCGAGCCGGGTGCGTTCCTCTGCCACACCTGGAATCCTGTCAATGCGCGAAGCTGACAAGACCTCCCAGATCCCGCAAACGACACTACATTCATCGATCCTCCAGATACCCCCGCACCGCAATTCGCCGTCAAAGCATTCAAGCATGCTTTATTCGGCACGCCTGCGCCACAAGAAAGGGATACTGCTACGGCTACCAAGATTGAGCGGGAGAACGCGAAATCCGACACTAGTCAAGACGCCGCAAGGCCCAACCTACCGGCCCCGAAAGAGGACTCCGCGCCCACTTCGCCGTCCAAACGCAATGGCATCCTCATGACGCCTGGTACAGCGAGCAAGGGGAGGAAGACTGTCTCCTTCGGTGCACATGTGGTGGACAACGAAGGCAAGCGAGGCGGGACCCTCAGGAGCGGTGTCCCGAATGACTGTCCTGGGAAGTTTCCCAGCCCCTGGACTCCCGGCACAGAGCTGAAAGTCACGGACAAGGCGAAAGCGGAAACCGACAGCTCCAGCGGCACGAGACCTCGCACCAAGCTCACGGCAGCGCTCTACAACGCGCGTTCTGCCGAAAAGCCAACGACAAAGGCAGTTGAGCTGAAACCCAAAGCCAAAGACGACAGTGACATCACGCTCGATCTGGGCACGCCGCGCTCCGAGTCCGGGAAATACTGGAAGGAGCAATTCGAGAGCTATGCCGCGCGCAGCGAGAAGGAGATGAAGAAGCTCGTCACGAAACAGCAGCTAGCTAAGAACTACGCGAAAAAGAAGGATGCCGAAGCCATTGAAGCGCTGACGAGATTGGGCGAGGAGCGCAAGCGGTTTCGCTTGAAGGAACGGCAGTTGGAGCAGCAGAATAAGGGACTTCAAGAGCAGCTGCAGCAAACGGTGGCAGAGAAGGATGCGGCGAAGGTGGAGATTGCGGCACTGAAGCAAAGGTTAGCAGCTATGGAGAAGCGGCTCACGACATCGTCCTCGCAGGAAGCGGATGGTAAGGTCTCCTTGGAGATTTACGAAGACTCGATAAAGAATTCCAGCCTCCTCTATCAAGAGCAGGATCGTAAGCAGAAAGCCCTTGCAGCCGCGTCGGGGTGGCGGCACCCTCACAGTCCCACTGAGGACAAGGAAAACTCGCCGCCTGAGCATCTCGGTCATCGGAAGACGCTGTCAGAGAGCACAGCAGATATCAGCACGAATATTTCCAGGGTCAAATCGACGACCGACTCTGAAAAGCTGACCTTGCCAGCGCCAACATCTTCTCGTATTCCCCCCTCCCCGCTCCGCGTCCGCCGTATCCCACACAGCGAGAGTGAGATCTCAATAATAGAAAAGGCCATGCCACGCGACGCACCTACTCCAAAGTCACCCACAGTCCACCTGCCCTCGAGCCCCCTCCCGCAACCTTCGCCCGATCCCTGGACGATGGAAATGAACGACAGTCCTGCGCCGGCTATGGATCGAATGGCTCTGCCTATCTCGACTGGTGGAGGGTTCGGTGGCGGTGGGTACGAGCGGGCAAGTGTGTCGAGAACGTCGCGGTTGGCGATGAGGAATCGGGGAACTGGTAGAGGGCCGGTCGTTGGGCGTTCTACTCACAGGTCAGAGCCGCAGTTGAGGGGGGATGCAGCGAAGATGGCTAAGGCGACGACGGCGGCGGCAGTGGCACCACGGGGAAATTCTACGTCTTCCTCACAGCAGGGTCATGACGATGCAAAGACGGAGAATAGCGCGAAAACTACAATATCAGGGGTCGAAGGCTCCACCACGGCTACACCTACAGCTACTATGCAAAGGACGAACAGCAAGACCGAGCGCAGTACAGCAGGCGGAGCAAAGGTCGCAGTCAATGCCGTCGCACTCGAAGGGTCCACTTCCTTGGGTGCTTCAACGACAACGAAGGCCATGTCTTCCTCGTCCTTACCGTTGGACAGGAAAGAAGAAGCCAAGCGCAGGTTGCAGGAGAGGAAGGAGAGGAAGCAGCGGCAGTTGGCTGCGTCCAGGCTTTCTGAGGCTTAGATTGCGACGGGACACAGGCAGGTTGTAAGGTTCGAGGTGGTGGGAGGAGATGCGATTCTATGGTGCGTAGGGGGTATAGTGGAGGGTACCCTTCAACGCAGTGTCATTATGAACAAGCAGGGGAACGGCGTCTGACGGTTTGAAGCCATGGAGGGTTCTTCTTCTTTTTTCTTTTCCCGGCTGCTCGGGAAGGTGGGGTGTCAACTTTGCAGTGTTGGGCAAGGCGTGGTGATGATACCTCGAGGAATGGGTTTTGTCTTATTTCTGGTATTGGTACTGGTGTTTGGGTGTTGGTGGTAAAAGGCCATGGCTTGGTCTCAACTAAGTGGTATTCTTAGTCTAGGAGGTGCCTCGATTGGCACAAGTCTATGAAGGCGGAATAGCGCCGTCACATGCAAGCAGGAAATAACGCATGTATGCGTACCCCTCAGGTGTGCAGCCCGAATATAGTGGATTGGATGTATAGAATAACACACGAAGAAAGAAATGGGCCCCCATACGGGCCTCCCTGCCAATCACACGCCTCTAACACCAAGAAGCCCCTAACCTATTTTCCCCAATCGCATGCAGAGGAACCCTCGGCCAAACCTCGGTGGGAATAACGATGGAGGCGCCAATCTCCAAGGTCGTGGCGTCTTTGCGGGAGAGCAGAGAACTCGGCGAGAGCGTCATCGACCAAAAAGGAAACAGAATCTACCGGAGCACCGCGTTAACGATCCTCTGCCCACTCGTTTTCACGACGGATCTGGTCTTCCTCTTCGGGCGTGAAATCGTTCTGGATGTTGAACGTCTTCCGGATCTCCTCTGGCGACTTGCCCTTGATCATGTTTGCCACGGTCTTGCAGCCGACGTCGAGAAGAGCCTTGATGTCCAGGTAGTTTGCGGCCTGCGGACTTGTTAGTACTTGATGATGACAAGGGGGATTGGGAGGAGACATACCAGGATGATCTCGAACAGCATCTCTTGGTCCACCTGCATGAACTTTTGATCCCACTCGTCGATATCGGTCGACTTCTTACGGTTGTCCGTGTCGTCGTCCTGGGAGGCAGGGGGGTCGCCGCGGTGATGAGTGCACCACTCGATGACCTTCTTCATCACGGCCTCGTTGACCTGGCAAGCTATCAGCGAGGGCTCTGTGGGAGCAGGCAGCTCAACAATAGACTAACGTTGGGGATGGGGATCTTGTCGATTTCAGCGTCGGGACCGAAGTCATCGAGCAGATTCTTGATCAGGATAGATCGTTCGGCGACGTCGCGGTCTACTTCAATGTCGTGGTCATCGGAGGTGGTGAGGATCAGCTTCTGCTGCGACTTTGGCTGTTGGTCGGTGGAAGCCATGGCTCGTGTGGAGAATAATGGACGGGATGACGAGGTGTGTATGCGGGGTAGTGCGGAGTATTGTGCGGACAAAGAGCAGCGCTGGGAGGTTTCCAAGAGTGCGGCGATGGTTTGGGTGGATGGGTGAATCGGAGGGAGAGGCGAGCTTATATAGCCAGGCGGGAGATGGGCTGGCGTTTGTCGATGGGGGAGGCGTGAAGGTGAGAGTGAGTGAGAGAGAGAGTGTGGAGGCAGGCGCGAACCTTGGAAGGCAGCAAGCGGCGAAGCTCAACGCTAGTGCTACATGTGGGCTAGCGTGCGGCTAGCGGCTATCGAGACTTGGCAAGAACGAGCGTCTTCGTGAAAGGCTGCCCAGGTGATGAAGCTGAACAAAGAGGTGAAGTCCAAAGATGGAAAGTCAAGTTTTCTAGGAATGTACTCTGTATTCAACCAAAGCCATCATGTGTACAAGTAGAGTACAGAAGAGAACATCCGTCTGTAAACTTGATCCTGTGCCCCACAGCCCAGCAGCACAGCCTTCCAGCGGGGCATTTGTGCCGGCCATTGGAAATCCCAAGAGGTATTTGGTTATTTATGTGCTGTGTACCGTGTAGAAACGGGGGTACCTGCAGGTGTTTTGGACATGTTGCACAGAGTACGCCTTACATGTACACGTACCCGTACTGACGCGGAGGTACGGAATACTGACTGGCCGCGTCACCACGACCTTCACAAAAGGATTCTTCACATCAGTGCACTTGTTGGACGACACTCAAGACAGCTGTGGCAGACGGTGTGAGCCCTGGAGGGAGATCCATTTGTATATATCACGTGACTGCGCATGTTGCCAAGCATCCTGCCCTATCTGGCGTCTGGTCGTTTGCGGTAATATGCCCTTCGCAGAAGCTTGCGCAATCCACAATCCATCCACGCAGCTTGTTCTTATTCTTTATTTATATATACTCGCTGCTTGCACACAAACATGTAGTCCGCGACGTTGCCGCTGCTGTCCTTGATTTCTTCCTACCTGCCCTTCTTTCCTCTCCTTCTCCCCTGGCCCCAGCAAGCTGTACTCTGTCGCACCACCCCTTGGCCACGATTGCAACTCTGCTCTCACCTTCACCTTCGCTCCACCACCTCTGGGACCTGCGACAGCACCATGCTCCTGTGTGACCTCCGCTGCAAGCAGAGCACACCCATCTCACACACATCATGTGGCGGAGAAGCTACTTTCTGTTGATCCTGGTGCGCATCTACTTCGCCCTGTCTCCCAGCTATCTCCACCCCGATGAGAACTTCCAGGGCCCCGAGGTCGTCGCAGGTATGTACTCGGTTCACGCACGGCCACGGTCAGTGTGCGCTGGATTCCAGTCTGATAACCCCATTCAGGACGCGTCTTCTCCTACCCCGTACACCAGACGTGGGAGTTCACCTCGGACCACCCCATTCGCAGCACCTACCCGCTCTGGATCGCATACGGTTGGCCCATGTACCTCTTGCGCTGGCTCTGGGAAGGCTTTGGATATGGAGACGTCCCTCCATCCGTCGTATACTGGACTCTGCGCGTGCTGATGCTCACGCTGAGCTTCGTGCTGGAAGACTGGGCCATCCAGGAGCTCGTTCCCTCGCCGCGCACTCGCCGCATCGCCGTACTTCTCGTCGCCTCGTCCTATGTCACCTGGACCTTTCAGACACATACCTTCTCCAACAGCCTCGAGACGCTGCTGGTCATTTGGAGCCTGGTGCTAATCCAGCGGATCGTCCAAGACAAGGTAAAACGCGTGACAGCCACGAGGCCTGTCTATAGGTAACCCTGTGCAGATCTGATGCGCTAACACGGCAGCCAGAAGCGATCCAGCGTCTTAGCCTCCTCCATCTTGGGCATTCTCGCCGTCACGGGCATCTTCAACCGCATCACCTTTCCGGCCTTCTTGCTGCTCCCTTCCCTCCGTCTTCTGCCACATTTCCAGCGCAAGTACGTCGTATTGTTCTGCACCTTCCGCATCCTTGTTTAACTTGGTGTGCAGGCCATTCTCCCTCGTCTTCATCGTCATCTTCGCGTTGCTCACTGCCTATATTGCAATCAGCGTCGACACTGCCTTCTACACGTCCGAGGAGTTTGCATTTTCCAAAGTCTTCCAGGGTCCCGTCATCACTCCTCTCAATAACTTCCTGTACAACTCTCAGTCTTCAAACCTCGCTCAGCATGGCATCCACCCACGCTACCAACACTTCCTCGTCAATCTTCCCCAGCTTATCGGCCCTGCCTTCCCTCTTATCTTCCTCCCCGCTCTCCGCTCCTCCTACATGAGCCTCCCCATGCTCTCCGCTCTATCAGGCGTTGCTCTTCTTAGCGTCTTTCCTCACCAAGAAGCCCGCTTCCTTCTCCCCGCTGTCCCCTTGATCCTCTCATCCGTCCGCCTCCCCCGCCCTCCGCACGCAAAGCTTTGGATATCGGCATGGATCCTGTTCAACGCCGCCCTAGGCGTCCTCATGGGAGTATACCATCAAGGCGGCATCGTCCCCGTGCAAACCCACATCGCAAGGACCAACGAATCCGTCTCCCATGCCTTCTGGTGGAAGACCTACAGTCCGCCAACCTGGCTCCTGAACGGCAAGAACGAAGAACTCAAAACCATCGACCTGATGGGTATACCGGGCGCACAGATGCTCAAGCAGCTCGAGACCGCGCTTCCGCACTGCCGGACTCGCCGGCCTCCTTCCATAGCACACGAATCCGTGTATCTTGTTGCGCCTCGGTCGGCATATTTCCTGCAGAGGTTTGAAGATCCGAGGGGCGAGGAGGAGATAAGGCTCCAGGAGGTGTGGAGCTATCCCCGGCATATCAATCTGGATGATATGGATTTTGCGGAAGATGGAGTATGGAAGACGTTGGGGAGGGTGGTGGGGGATAGGGGGTTGGTGATCTGGCGGGCGACGAGGAATTGCTGGGGGAAGGCGCAGTCGTGAGGAAATCATTTGGTGATCCTTTGATCTGATGGGAGGGTGATGGTGGGGAAACAGAAAAGACTATTTGGCGTTTTATTCTGGGGGATATGGCGATATCGAGGCTCATATATTCCTGCACTTCTGGGATGGCTCATTTTCTGGAGCCTCAGGTTTTCCTTGTTTCCTTTGTCATTTCTCACTTTTGATACCCGACACATTTTTCTGCCTATGGGATGAGATGGCCAGTCAACCGGCCACCTTGATAAATCTAATTTTCTTCGGCTTTTTCGATGGCGGTGTTACTGAAGACAAGCGACAAGCTGTGGTGATGATGAGAGACGTGCGGGAGGGAGATGTCAATTATAGAACTTCCCATATACCAAGTGGCCAACTGGCAAAGAGTGAATACGCGCCTCGCACATGTGTGCAGATAAATCTTGCGTAATCATGCAAGGCACCGCAGTCGTGTTAGTTCCCAACCACGTACTCATCGTTTCTAGGAAACTATCTTCACTTCACGGATGTATTTTCATACAAGTAGATATGCCGCACTCAGGAAGGAGGCTTTGCCGAATGAGTCGTTCATTGCAATTCGGATTCTGCTTACAACCGTTGCCATCCATCGTATGGTTTTTCCACCTGTTTGAATATTTATGATGATACAGGCCTCACTCGTCGCAGAAAACCAAACTTAGTTGCTTGCACCACCAGAGCATCATCACATCGAAAGGGAAATAAACATCTCTTTCCCCTGATTGCGCCTTTTCATATTCCTCATATACAGATAGTGTTTGCTTTTATTAATCATAGCATTATTGGCATGTACTCTGGTTGTTTGGGTTACCCTTCGCTATTGACCTACCCGGCAACTTCCATCTGCCAAACTTCGCCTCCCAACACAACCCCGAAGTCTAATCCCTCAAGGCTCACAGCAAAAGACTTCTTCCACCTGCATCGTCATGCACCGTGCTACTCCATGTTGAGAGTACTCCATGTCGAGAGTGCTGCAAAATGCTAGAAGGCCTAAAACTCCGTGCTTCCAACTTAAGATGAAAGAACAAGACCGCCTGGGGCCTACAGCCACACGAATGGAAAGATGCATCATGCGAGCCATACCCTGACCAAAGTACTGTGTCAAACATACACGAACTCCCATACCACATCAATCACGCTTGAGGGACATCACATGGTATAGAACCGATCGCCAAAGTCTCCCAAGCCAGGGACAATGTAACTAGCATAACGTTAGCTGCGTGGAATAGAGTAAAACGGTCTTGCCTACTTCTTCTCATCCAGGCCCTGGTCCACAAAAGCTGTCACGACGCGGACCTTGGGGAACCGCTCTGCAAAGTTCACTGCTCCCTCCGGGCTCGCAATCAGATTGAGGAACAGAATGCGATCCTCCGGGACGCCCTTGGACTTGAGGACATCGACTGCCATGAGGGCGGAACCGCCTAGAAAACAATATCAACGAGGATTCAAGCCTATTATGGCTCTGGTATGCATACCTGTAGCGAGCATCGGATCAAGCAGCAGCACCCACCTGTCCGCGATATCTTCGGGCAGCTTCTCATAGTAGAGTTTCGGCTTCGACGTCTCCTCATCCCGCTGAATCAGGATCTTGCCAATCCTCACGGATCGGCAGCACTCGCGGAGCCCCTGCTCCATGGACTCGCCGGCTCGCATGATGGAGACGCCGCAGATCTTGCCCTCGAACTTGACGCCCGAGTAGGTCCGGCCTACGGGGGTGGTGACCTCATGCTCGACGACGGGGAGGTGGTTGAGGCCTTCCTCGACCAGGAGGCGGATGATGCGGTTCGAGTAGAAGATGAAGTCTGCCCGACCAGTGTTCTTATCGCGGATCATCCTGTCTTTGTTTCAACATCTAGCACTCCTAGATACAAGAAAGGTCGGAAATCTCACGTGAGTAACGAGAGCAGTTGCGGCGTAGATGGCAGGATTGTGACATTGCTGTGCGATAGGGAATTGGAGACGGTGGCCGTAGGTTTCTGGGTAACTGGCCGGTAGGAGGGCCCTACGGCTTCAGTGGGAGGCTGGGACTCGGTAGTATGTGAAGCCATGATACGGCTTCAAGGACGCAGGTTGACGATTTTGGAGACAGTCAGGTTGGTGAAGGGTTTTGCGGGTTCCCAAGTCCTGCAGGAAAGTGCACTTGAAGTGTTACTAAGTGAAAGGAGTAAAACAAGTCGTCCCCAGTGTCGCGTGCGTTTAAGTATATCCCCCTCGACGAGCTCCCATGCTTGGAGGAGATGTTGGATAGTCGCTGCACCTTACCCTTTCCGGTGTAGCACAGATCGGGCAGCCGCGGACCTTGCCCTGCCCAGGTGGAAATCCCTTGGCATTTATTTGCGCCACAGCTGTCAACCCGTGCCTATTTTCGACATCCCCAGCCAAACCACGAACAATCACTCCAACTTTCACGGAACCCGACACACCCAGTAAAGCGCGAACTTCACCTTCACCCATCCACGCGCGCACCCTGGCGACCGATCCTCTACGACATGCGACCAACCTAAACTCGAGTCGAAAGATCACCATCTTCCTTTCATGGCGAATTCCATCTCTCCCGCATTTACCACGGCGCATCGGCGCAAGCGAAACGCTACTTACGGGAAAGCCTCGCGTTCCCTGATAAAGACGACTTGGAATGATGACGTGCCTTCTCCCGAACGACCGCGTAGACACGTCGACACATCGGCCAGCATTACGCAAACAAGGTTGGATTCATTGAAATCACACAGCAGTATAAACGGGAGCAAAGCGACTACCTCGCCAAAGGATGACATTTTCAATGTACCTTCCGACGATGAACTGCCCTCGCGGTCGACCCCGGCAGCTGCGAGGAAGTTGTCAAAGAAGCCCGCACAAGCTGATCTCTTTGATGTCCCGGAATCGGATGACGACGTCGCTCAGCCTCAACATCGGCGCACAAAGACACCACAGGCATTGCACAGAGCGGAGACTCGCACATTGAAACCAGACGTCCCACCACCGCCGAATCGCAACAACATGAAGCTATCCACTTCGGCGACGTCGAGCCCGCCTCTGAAATCGACAACCTCACAAGCACGCGAAAAGAAGGGTTATGAGCGAAACCATTCGAACGCGAAACCAAGCCGCATGGCCGCCTCAGCCGCAGCAGCATCAAATGTGCATCCACGCGTTGTTGTGGGGAATCGGAAACGAGCCGACAAGTCAGATTTTCTAGCATCGAGCAAGCCCCCTTCTAAAGCTGCCGCCGATCACGATATTTATGACGTACCCTCCTCTGGCGATGAAGCTACCATCGTTTCTCCCCCGAGACGGAAACCGGCGCCAATTGGCCGTTCGCAAGTCCAGATACCGCCGTCCAAACAACCACTGTCCCCGATCTCGAGTTTAGGTGAGCTTAGCGATTCTGGAACGAGAAAGCGTAAGAGAAACGACGAAGCGCTCTCACACAGACTGGAGAGGAGCACGGATGTTGGGCGCAAAGTTAGGCAGTGCTCCAAAGGCCCGGAGCATGGGACGAATTCCAGCAAGACTAGCGGCCCTATGAGCAAGAGAGGGGAGAATGATGTGCTCCCTAAGCAAATAATTGACGCCGTGTGGTCCACGAACCCTGTAAACAAGCCTAAACGGACACGCTTGAGAACGGTCCCAGATGGTACGCGGCCATTGCTGGCCAAGGCTCCATCGTCTCCTGCAAAGCTGCGCGGCATGCTCGCTATGGGATTTTCGCACGAACCGTCGATGGGGGAATATGTGCCGGTTACCAACGGCGAGGATGAGATGATGTATGATATACCGGAGCCTTCAACGCCCCCTACCACAAGACCAAACCACCTCGCTGCTGGTTCTCTAACACCTCGTCAAAAGAATATCCTAAGCGCTCTCGTTTCAGATGCAGATGCTACAAGTACTGGCATGCCGAGCATTAGACGGCTGCAGCTTTCGGAGCGGAGACCCGGCTTACCTCGTTCAGCTTCGGACATTCCACAATCGGCCTGCACTCGTAGGACGAGGCTTATTGACTCTCTAAAGCAAGCTGCCTCTGTTTCCGACGAGGATACCGAGAGCGACCGCGAGAGTGAGAGGGCCTCGGAGCATGCGCCTGCGCCGGCTTCTCCGCAAGAAGCCAATGTAGAATCGAACCAATTCGAAGTCGATCAGCATATTGACCCTCTCGACGTAGACGTCGACGCCATTGTTCCCGGCCACTCACAACCCTCTCAGAACACAGAGAGCAGGGTGACGTATGCGAGACAACGATCGTACCGCCAAGAAGCGAACCCAGAGGACGATTTACTTCTCGCAATGGACATGGATGATTTCTTGGGCTACAACGAAGATGGCCGGAATCGCGGGCAGGAATCCTCTTCTGAAGACGAAGGAGATCCCGCAAGTCAAATGCGGGGCCTACATGCGTTGCGCAGAGAGGGCGAAGACCAGCGGTTTCGTATGGAGGCCCAAACGGCCGTGGATGACATCGCGGACAAGGCCGGGCTGGGCAAATCGGTTCGCCGCAGTGCGATGTTGGATTTCTGCTCCCGAATGGCAGACAAGACATTTCTTGGACAACTTCTCGAATCCGCCTTGCTTGAGCAATTCCTCGGAGGTGTGGGATACGCAGGGGAAGTCATCTTCGACTTTGCCGCCATTGTGGCGGTGGGCTTCGTTTTGGAAGCTGGGCCCAATGTTGCGATACTGGAAGAGACCTGGAAGTGCGGGATTCTGAAGACATTGGAGCACCACCTGGACCTCGATACGGATATCAACAGAATCGCCAGGGAGCGGAAGACGAACCTGTCCATGATCGGACGCGAATCGGTGCGCAATTTCCGGACCATGGTACAGAGGTCTACACTCTGGTCATCTGGGACGCCCGAAAAGGTTACACCGCAGGTCGTGGCATTGAGGACTTTGGAACTTCTCGTGCTGGGCCTCCGTAAGGCTGGTAATACACAGGCTCTCGTCTCTGAGGAGGTTGTACACAAACTTCTTCATGTGGCAGCCGCGTCCAGCAAAGGGACGGCACAGGATCTTCTGAGCCAGAACATGGCCTTCTCAATCATGGAAGGCTTGTCGATCTCGGGGAATAATCATACTGCGTGGACGAATGGCGTGCTTGAACGACTGGCGGACGCGACTGCGACTTTGTACGAGGCAGGGGACGAGTCTCCAGTCAAGCTCGCGACGCGCCTATGCATTCTACTTACGAACAACAAGCCGAAAGCTTGCGAGGTCTTCGCGCGAGAGAGCTTCATCGCATCACTGGTCGGATTCATCATTCGTCTGTTTCAGCGGTTGGCCGATGCGGCCGCTGATGAAGAGTTGGAGGCGAGGGAGAACCTCATCCTCTGCCTTGGGGCGATGATCAACATTGCCGAGTTCAGCAATCAGGCAAGGCTCAACGTCGTGGCCAACGGGGATGGATCGATTGACGCTCTTGTGAACACTTTCCTCGAGGGGTCAGAAAGAGCGGCACGGGTAGGTCTCCGGATTGTTATAACAGAACTGCAGGCACGTTACTGACCCCCGAACAGGCCGATTCAGTGGAAGAATCACAGGCCAATATCCCCATTGGCTATTTGACGGTCCTGCTCGGGAACCTGTGCTTGAGTGATGTAGTACGAAGGAAGATACGGTCCCGTCTTCCGGGTCAACGACTCGACGTCCTGATTGAGAAGGTCAAGGAGTTTGTCAGCTTCCACGAACGGGTCGATCGCATGACGGACCGGTTCGAAGGCGACGAGGGACGACAAGTGTCCCAGACGTATACGAAGCGACTGATGCAGGTGGTCAGGAGATTGGAGTTGGCAGACTCATAAATGGGTTGATGGGCGATGAGCAGTTGGTGTTGTTCACCGCATGTCGATGTGTGCGTTTGGAAACTGGGAAGCGCCCATGGCCAGGTGTTCGTCATGGGTCAGGAACAGGGCGTTTGGGCTGGCATGCTTGTTTATTCTCGAAAGATATCCCGGATTTTCTCTCTCGGTTTCCCGACCTTTTCTGATTACGGCTCCCGACGGAACAGGCAGTTTCGGGTTTGGATGAAGCGGGGAAGTTGGTTGGCGTTCAGTGTTGGGGGGATTGTTTAGGCTTTTCAAGGGGGTAATTATGTATAGAGTCGTGTTCTCGTATTGGAGCTAGACGTCTTGGTCGATGCAGAGGAATGCACCGGAGGACCGAGAAGGCCAGCTGCAGGCAGGTATGGCATATGGCTAAACAGTGCAATATATCATCGGGCCCTGATGTAGGGCTGAATGTCTGACTACCATGACTAGAAAATCCCAGCTGTGCGGTTGTCGCTGTACGAGTGATGGGGTTGCATTATTCTGCCTCGAGGCTAGCATGTACAGTAGGTAGAAGGGCTTCTGGTGGGCTTCGATGCAGGTTCCGCAATCTACTTTTCCAGCGAGTCGCGACGGAGCCATAGCGGTGACATGTTTGGAGTGGAGCGGTCAGCATGTGAAGGCGAACCCTTGGATATCGGCGAGTCTCATATACACAACTAGTTGGTACTCGTTGCTGTATACAGTATACAGCACTACCTGCTCTGGGTTCGGGTAAAAATAATAAAGCAATCGGAAGGACGGGAGGAAGGCCTGAGGGAGGGACTGGAAGTGTGTGTGTGTGTGCGTGTGCAGGCATTACGTACAGTGAATGGTGGGCAGCCCAACCAAAATGGAGGTTGATGAAGGGAGCCCAGGATCAGACCATGACGGCATACTGTATTCTTGTTAGCGTTCTGTTCCTTTCCTTTCCTCATCCTCGTCCTCTCCCCTCTGCTGCCTTTTCACTTTTTTCTTTTCCAACTGGTGAGCCCGTGTGCTGCTGCTCTCTTTGTCGGTGTATCTACGGTACTTGTCTCCCACTGTGTACTGGGCATCGACTAGTAGCAGACAACATCCCCACCATCCCGACGCCCAAAGGAAGGTATTCCGGGCGCATTCTCGTCCGACTCTGGGGAAAGCGCCCAGAACTCTTCGAAGCTCTACGAATCTCAGCTAGACTACTTGTACTTCCTTAGGCCCCCGATTGGGTCCTTGGGAGTCCCCACCCATCATTATTGTCCGAGGGCCCGAGTCCGCTCTCCTAGCCATCAGCACCTTCCTACCGACCACAGCACTGACCCCTCGGCGAACGACGTACATTCACTCACTCCTCGTTATCCTTTTGGATAGTTCATAATTCGCCAAGTTGTAACGAAAAAAAAAGCTTCCATCAGTATCAACATGCCTGCGCCCAAGCAGCGCAAGATGGCCATTGTCGGCAGCAGAGCCGTCGGTACGTCACCACCACCAGCTCCACCAGCGCAGCCCTTCCGACAGCAAAACAAACACCCAATTCCATTTCTCACCAATCATCCTCTTCACGGGTCGCTAATGCAGCATCGTTGTCGGAACAGGGAAATCAAGCCTCACGGTCCAATTCGTCGACGGCCACTTTGTCGAGAGCTACTACCCCACCATCGAGAATACTTTCAGCAAGGTAATCCGGTTCAAGAACCAAGAGTTTGCGACCGAGATTATCGATACCGCGGGACAGGTGAGTCAAGATACGGGTTGAGCTCTCGTCCCAAGCTGAGGACCCCCGCCGCCATGAGGAACGAGCCACTGACTCCGTCTCCTCTTTCCAGGATGAATACAGCATTCTCAACTCGAAGCACTTCATCGGCATCCACGGCTACATGATTGTCTACTCGGTCGCCTCCAAGCAGAGCTTCGAGATGGCCAGGATCATCCGTGATAAGATTCTGAATCATTTGGTTCGTACTATTCACCCTCCCTTGCTCGGATCGAGAAGGACCTTGATGGCTAATGCCGTTCGATGCAGGGCACCGAATGGGTCCCCATCGTCATCGTAGGCAACAAATCCGACCTCAACCCCGCCCAGCGCCAAGTCACCGCCGCCGACGGCAAAGCCCTCGCCGAGGAGTTCAAGTGCGCCTGGACCGAGGCGAGCGCACGGTACAACGAGAACGTGCAGAAGGCGTTTGATCTCATGATTGCCGAGATTGAGAAGAGCCAGAATCCCGGGGAGCCCGCCGGCGGGAGCAAGTGCCTCGTCATGTAGGGAAAGGATGATGTTGAGGAAGAGATTGAAGGACAAGAGGATGTTGTGATGATGCGATGTATAATGGTAACAAAGGGAGTTGGGTATGCGCATCGGCACGAGAATGAGGATGACGGCGACTCCTACGGGGTCATTGTGGCGCTTTGCAGGCGGCATTTCACACACATCTCCCTCTGGATCTAGACGGCAGGGGGCGGACGTACAAGCAGATATAGACGGAAGACGGCAGGCCGACTTGGATACGTTTCGGAAGATTCGGAAGATTTCGTACGTGGCGCATGGGGGTGGGATGGATTTGCTTCTTTTTCATAGAGCCGCCGTGGGAGCTGCCACTGGGCTTGAAGGCGTAATGGTGGGACGTTGGGGTCACGGATTACGGCCGAATGTTGGATTCCTTGCTACGGTTTCCGTGGAGAGGCGGGATCGAGGGAGTGGGGTTTCATAACCTTACATACATAGACGGGGTATATCTGGGTAATGGTCAATGGGGAATTCTTGAGAGTGCACTTTGTGGTAGGTCACAGATCGCTGATGCTCGGGTTTCCGTAGATATGATGCATTGCATGACTAGTCCGACAACCATTGCCCTTCAGAACAGGGTCGCATAACTAACTCCGTTATATCAAATGTAGTAGATATATCCTGAGCCCCGATGCATGGCGCTGACCGCCGGCCTTCCTAACGGGCCCTCGATGCCAACGTAACCTGAACGCCGTCTCGAACCCAGAGCCCCTCAACCCGTATACTGAAAGCCCTAGGCATCCCGAAGCCCCAACCCCCAATGTTATACAGTCCTCGCACGTCATACCATCCTACTCGTCGTCATCCCCGTAGTCGGCTTCCGCATCCGCTTCGTCGTTCTCGATGAACCCATCCAGGTCGTCCTCTGCGCCAGCTCCTCCCATGGCAGCAGCAGCAGCGGCCCTCGGCGGCCCTCCAATCCGATTCTCCGACTTCCCCGTCGCCGTCCGCTTTGCGACATCCTCGCAGGCATCGATCCAATCCGCGTAGACGTCGACGGGAGCCGTGAGCACGCTTATGGGGGTCTGGAAGTCCTGGCCGCAGACCTTGCAATGCAGGTTCCCGACCGACGACTTCTTCTCCAGATGCACGACGACGCTATTCTCGTGGTTGCAGAACAGACACTGGAAGGTGGTGGATAGCTTCTCCTTCTGTTTTTATATTGTGTGTGAGCGGCTCGATTCTCGTTTAGGAGACCGGGGTTTCTTTCGAACCTTCTTGGGGCCCTGGGGTTTCTTGGCCGCCTTCTTGCGTTTGCCCTGTCGACGGGTGTGAGCATAGGCGACTGCTTGGTGGCTGGTTCGTCTGTACCCACCATTTCTGATCAATAATAGAAACGACTCGAAACTTGGGTTTTAGGAGAGCGGGGGTTGCGCGATTCAAGGACGGAAAGGTGAAGAGGGAGATGTCGCCTTCTCGCGTGAGCAGAAATGTGGCCTTTGTCGCTTTGTGTCAGAAGAGTTGTTTCTATCGGTTCGAAGCTTGAAAGACGTGACGTTTGACGGAGGTGGACCGGGGTGCGGGGAGCCCCGACGCCAAGCACCTTCACCGCCCGCGGCTTCCCAATCGGGCGATAAGCTCTGGCCAATCATCGTCCTCCCCGCAAGTCACCATCATCACCCATCTCTCTCCACCACCTGTCGTGGACCATCGCTGCTTCACGCCTCTGCCACGCAACACGTAGGCCTTTTGTGAAGCCCATATTCACCTTGGAGAGCTTATTCTTCCTCCTAGACAGCAATTATATCTTGATCCGACTCCCTCTTCACGACTTCTTATATACCATTATCGTCTAGCCGCACCCAGCTTTCCTTTATCCAGCAACAAGCTCACAAGCCTCGACTTATTATTGCTAGACTTCCGCAAGCAACTCTCTTTGTTTTCCTTGCACACGGGATTGCGAGCAAGCAACAAGCATGGCGGAGACAAACTCAAGCGATGCTCTCCTCAAAGACATCTTGGACGGCATGAATGCCCTGCGCAAGGAGAACGCCCAGCTCGCAACCGCAATAGACGCTATCAACGGCCGAGTGAATATGCTCGCAGGAGTCAAGCAGCTCCAGGACGACGCCGTCAATGGCACCGCCAAAGACGCCTCCTCTTCCTCCAGCAAGGAGAGGGCGAAGGAGGAAGCCGAGGCCCAGAAGTCCGTCGAAGCCGTCAGCCAGCAGTACGAGGCACCGCCTACCAATGTAGAAGCTCCCCCTCGCCGTGCAAGCGTTTCGAAAACGTCAAAGATCATTTTGACGTCCTATCCCGGGCAGGCAGGTGTGGATCCTCTGCCCATGGATTGGGGCCATAGAGACCCCGCCATCAGAGGCCCTGTGGTTGTGTCTAGACATCCAAGCACTATCCGTAGACGTAATGGTATGCGCTCCTCCTACATTCATCATGGCCTTGTACACCGGTGACTGAACAGTCTATAGCTATCGGCGCACATGGCGGTTCATATAGCATATACCACGCCCTCGCCGTCGCCAGCAAGAACCTCGACGTGGATCATAAACCGGACTTCACCAATACCGAACCTGCTGCGAACATTGGGCCCTTCCCGCAATGGAGCGACAGGAAGAAGATTGTGGCCATGGATCCTTTTGGCCATCTGGCTCCGTGGCTCTACAAGGACATTATCGACAAGCAGAACATCGAGATTAGACCCACGATTGCGATTACCCGAGCGCACATGAAGCTGCCCGAGCTGGAAGCAAGTGTCCGAGAAGGGCGCCTTGCCCCTGATGGGAGGATATGCCTGAATGAGACTGGCGAATTGGCAGTAACGAAGATCGCCGTGGAGCCTGTATGGTATCTACCCGGTGTTGCTGAGAGGTTTGGCATCGGTCAGTGTCGGATTCATCTTCCCAGATATGGCCAGCCTGCTGACTTCTTGATAGATGAGGGAACGCTGAGACGGACTTTATTCGAAGAGACAGGCGGCTCATATCCCGAACTCATCACGCGCTCCGACATCAAACTCTTCCTTCCCCCTATCGGTGGCCTGACCGTATACATCTTCGGCGACCCCGCCAAGATGGCGGATCCGAACGTCCGGCTCGCCCTCCGCGTGCACGACGAATGCAACGGTAGCGATGTCTTCGGCTCCGACATCTGCACGTGCCGACCCTACCTCATCTTCGGCGTCGAGGAGGCAGTCAAAGAGGCTCAAAAGGGCGGTAGCGGCGTTGTCATCTACTTCCGCAAGGAAGGCAGGGCCCTCGGCGAGGTGACCAAGTATCTTGTGTATAATGCGCGGAAGCGGAGCGAGGATCGAGCGAGCGAGTACTTCAAGCGTACGGAGAACATTGCCGGTGTGAAGGACATGCGGTTCCAAGCGCTGATGCCTGACGTAAGTTTATGATGTCGAGTTTGTGTCTGGCGGAGCATGGGCTGACTGTCACACCCTACAGATTCTCCATTGGTTAGGCATCACCAAAATCGACCGCATGCTCAGCATGTCCAAGTAAGTCCAGTCCCCTCCAACTGCGACCGTGGCCTCCGATGCGGACACGAAAGCGGTGCTCGGAACATTCCAGTCGTTCGGTTGCTAATGATGGTCGTGTAGCATGAAGCACGACGCTATCGTCGAACAGGGCATTCCGATCCTAGAACGTGTACCCATCCCCGACGACATGATTCCGGCAGATAGTCGCGTGGAAATTGACGCTAAGATCCAGGCTGGTTACTGTAAGTCTCTAGTCTTTGGGTTTAGGTTGGCTGCTGTGCTTTCGTCTAGGAGTATCACGTGATGAGCTCCTTTTCTCACCGATGCTGGCTTCCGATGGTTCTTTTGATTTGATGTCGCTCCTGCTAAGCGGATGTGTGCTGACGAGAGTTCTTGCTGCAGTTACGACAGGTAAAGTGATGACGGTGGAGGAGTTGGCGAACGTCAAAGGCCGTGGTTGGGAGGACATTGACGTATGTGACCTCCACTCTCCCTATGATTGCTCAAAAGTCGTGATAGCTGACTCCAATCGTAGCATTGAGCGGTTGCGTTTATTGCAGCGTTGTTGGCGACCTGGGAGATCTTGCTGGTGGGCGCTCATGGTCATGTGGACGCAACTGTGTTTCTACGTGGCGCTTGTTGTGTAGTCGCCTGGAGCGTGTTTCCACGCAGTTGGTCCAACTTGGTAATCCGCTCGGGAAGAAAGGCTGTTCGTGGGCACGGTCAGTTTTGGCCCTTCTCGTCTCCTCTGACAGGTTGCATGATTTGCAGTACACCAGCGTCGGTTGGTTGATCTATGTGTCTTTCTGCTGAGAAGCGACTATTTGATTATACAGTGGAATGAATAGACCAATGTCAATGAAAGGCAAAAAACAACTCCATGGACTCTCTCCTGTTTCTGCACCCCACGCCCATGCAGGTGAGCGATATACAGTATCATCTTGCTGTCCTTTTAGTGGCTGTCCCCATTTGGTTCTTTTGCTTTTTTCGACAACCAAGGAACACAACGAGGGTGGGTGGGCGACACGACTTCCTATCTACTAATGTACTATTACATACAGGGGGTTAGTACTGCATTCGCGTCATGGGGAAGGGACGCCAGAGAGTCGGTTCCTGAGGACTGTTGGGGTACAGGAATGCGTCTGCGTCACTACGTACATGGTACATCTCAGCCTATCACGTCATCTAGCCGTGGTGTCCAGTGACGGTTGGTCTGCAGAGGTAGAAGAAGAAGCAGGGCTGAACGTCGATGGGCCCTCGTCCTGTAGCATATCGCAATCTCCAATCTTATCATGGTGATTGGTGACTCCCACACCCTGGGGCACCGCTGCGACTGCAATGCGCGATGGCGAACTGGCGAGACAACACGGGAAACATGGAACAGGATTGACACGGCAGGTGGGTGGGTGCGTTATCGTGGGGAAAGGTGTTCTCTGTACCACCCCGGAGTGTGGTGTGGGTCGTTGAGGTAGGGGAGACGGGGATGGGCTGAGTTGCAAGCGCTTGAATGGGAACGTTTTCTAGCACTCTCGTTGTCTGTGGAGAGGAGAGAAGAGAAGGGTATGCATAGGGTAGGGAATGGAAGTGCTGTCTATGGAATGTCTCCATCAGTGCTACTGCTCGTGCTGGGATACCTACAGCACACTGGACAGTATAGTAAGGTGACGCTGACTCACTCTTGTATTCGATCGGGACCCAGTTTCGCTGATATATTGGGTATTTGGATGTGGTTCCATTGCGAGATGACGGTGAGTGTCAACATGTGCAGGAATGATGGTTGCACGCAGACTCACCGATTACCTGGACTTGGTGCACTTTGGTGTTCGCCGTTGTACACCATACAGAGTGACTAGTAGGATACTGCCATACATCTAGAGTGTGTTACGTGCAACGTACATGGTGCTGTGTGAGAAGGGAATGTTTACGGTGAGTGATTCTCGGTCTCAAGTCTGTGCAATTCAATGTCCATGTCTCCTCTAAGTATACAATATTATCTCGACGCCTTTACTTGGTTCAGTTAAGGAGGGTCTCAGTTCGCTATAGTGGTCTCGTCTCATTGAGTCATTATAAAATCAAAGGTGGTGCGTTTCAGGAACAATACGGCGTTGTGACTGTCGCTCAAGGCTATGAAAGTCTAGCGTATCTACAGTATTAGGCACATAACTTCTACATGACGCGTACGTAAAATCCAAAACAGCTCCTTCTCCCCTCGTCTTCCATGTCCTTGATTCTCTCACCGTCCGCTCAGTGGTCTAGTGCACACGCATCCGGATAAAACTCAAAAGGTTGGACCGCTGGTAGCTTTAATACGAACGCGTCGGAGACTAGTGGCTTAGTGCGGCTTACATATATTTGTTGGGATCGAAGTTGGAACCTGTCGAGGTAGGCTGGAAGAGAGGGGTTGTTAGGCTTCCACGGTGGAGAAGGGTGTGAATACGCAGTACATAGTAGCCCACTCTCCGCGAATAATCTGGTGGTGGTGGTGGCGCGAAGAAGTGTGGCGTGGGCGGAGCTAACAACCTCTGAACTCAAGCACAAGATTGTGTGCCCCTTGCCCCCGTCACGATTATCACTAATCAGCACCAAAGAAAAAGGCGGGGAATTCCAAAGATATCAATACTGTACGAGTAATAATCGAGCGCATGAGGTGAGATGACTACCGAGCATCCCAGAGAACTGTGTCGACTACGTACACAAGTACCGCAGGCTGCAACGTAGTATTGGCTGGAGCTGGATAGGGGATCGGCGAGAGGGGCATGCGCAAGCAGCCCAACTGTTGAGGCAACCTCAAGGTTCGAGAACGCTGGATTTACTCGGAGCGGGATCGATCGGCAAGGTCGCAGTTGTTGCTGGTCGAGGGGCTGTTTTGCTATTCTTGGTATCCCTTCACGAGAAGCTGGAGTCGGTGGATGGGTATACGTACACAGTACACAGTGGGAGAGGCGCACAGCTGTATGTATTTGCACTTCGTACAAGCTCGACAGCTGTCATCGAGGATATAACCCGGAAGACGATACGCGCACAGTATCTGGACGCGGTGATTGAACTGAGCCATGTAGTAATCATGGGAGGGTGCGAGCTGGGCGGCATGGCATATCTAGCTCGGGTTGCCGAAAGGCCTCCGGGAGGAGATACGGAGCACATACAAGTATGCGGGACTGCAGGCAGTCGGCATGACTGCAGTGCTTTTGATGTGCCTAGCCTGGACACAATAACTTGAGACGCTGCATAAGTATGATGTGTCAAGATTAGGGGAGGGCATGTGATGAGGGCGATGAAAGTCTATCCACACTGGAACAACGAACCATGGAGGATGAAACCTATGCAACTGCTATTATTGCCCTCAAGTCAGCGCTGAAGCACAAGTGGGGCTGGTCGAATAGGTACCTAACACAGTAGACCAAACGACGCAACAAGTCGCATTATTGGACTACACAGTACTGTTGTCGCGTGGGAGGCTAGAGCTCCCACATCTCGGCCACCGACTGACTGGTCAGATGGCGACAAGGCGGAAGTGGCTTTCAGGTAGTCCGTACGTGGCCGCCGTTTAATCGTCGTCGACCGCTCTCTAACACTTCCTAGGACACTCTCTTGAGTGGTATGAATAAGGGGTGAGAATAATGGGCTTGGGGTCATGTCCAGCAGTGTCATGGGAATGGAGAATGTTGGTACACACCGTTCGGCAGAAAGGGGGCTTGTTCGTCTCATCGTTTTCTGACGTCTTTGTTAACAAATAGTTCGTCCAGAAACCTTGATACCTCCCGGTAGATGAATGATCCTCCGTCATGACAAGGGGGTTGGGGAAGGGGAACATGGAGCCGGCTCGGCGCCAGGTACACGCCCTGATTGACTTTGTCGCATCCCCTTTGGCATCTCAACCTGCGAGGGCCTTGACACAGTAGATTTGGCATGGCCGAATAACAACCCTGGGGAATCAAACAGCATAAGAAATCACCACAGGACATAGTACTTTATAAAACATCGTCACAAAGGCCGCCCGGAATAACCCAGCTGACTCGCACGCGGCTCGGAAAAGATTGCAAAAGCACCCCCGCTACCGATAAAGGACTCCAAGTTCCCTTCTGTGGGTGGTGTCTCGTGTGGGCTCTCCTCTTCCAAGGCAAACCCCCTCCCCCAAACCTCGGCGCCCCCCCTTGCCAGCTCCAACAGGAACAGACAAGCGCCCTGACCATCGAGGTTTCTGGCGCCGTTCTGGTGCCACACGCGTCCATGACGACCATGCAGATGGGGTTTTGTTGAATGCCCAGCTTACCGTATGCATGGCCGCATCGATTTGGTGGCACACCTGCACAACCCCCGCCGCCCTGAATCCCGCACTCCCGAACTCGAGGTCCTGTTTACTCCGGACTATGCTTACGGGAGAGAGGAGAGAGATGTGCCACTCCGGTTTCCGCCATCAATCGTGACTAGAGACTAGTCCAGAATTGACGGACAATGTCGAGGCGAGCCAACACATAGTACCTACAGACATCAACTGACGCCTATAGCAGAAGCGCCATCCGAAACGATGAAGAGAGAATGGTGAGTTGTTCGAATAATGGTGTGTCGGCTGAGGCCGAGTCAGGACGTATCAAGGGATGACAGCGCAGCCCACCTGCTGCAACCAAGTCCAAACGGTCCACGTTTTTCGGTGGCCGCCTGCATGCAACATGGACAAACATGGGCGAGACCGTAGACGTCAGGACAACAAGACCGTTAATCATCTGGAGTGGGGAGCTCCGGCTTGCTGATGCACACCTGGCAGTGACCAGGGGCCCTGGACCAGGCAGAGGCGTTTTCGATCGACCATGGCATGACTTGTCGAATGGGGGTGAATGGCGTCCGAGCGGTCCTATGTCTGCTTTGTTATTATTACCACCAGCTCCTCCCTCAGTCCAACGTCAATTCAGCTCTCCCAATTCCCATTCTCTCCGTCCAGTTCCCCCGATTCGAAACGCCTTTCTTCCCTGCGGACAACACCCACGCCGCCAATTCATCATGGCAGACACCACCAAATCCTACTATTCCCTCCCCACACAGGCACCCCAGCAGCACAGATCAGGCAGCCGTCGTCCACCGCTGACCCCATCGACCGTTTCCTCGCCCTGCCTCAGCACACATGCTCCCATTGCAACCCGCAGAGACTCTGGTTCCGGTAGCCCAACCAAGGCCTCAGCCTTGCTCGCAAAGGTCGCTTCCAATCCCTTGTCACCCAGAGGAGAAACCCCGGGAACGAGTCCAATGCCGTCACCCGCTCCCAGAGCCGCCGAGATGCATTCAAGTCCACTGTACACACCGGAAAGGCCAGGCGTCTGGAGGACCGAGAGCGCTCGCTATGTCAGGCAGCACAGACAGCAGGGTATGGCATCCTGGATCTCATTCCCCTGGGCACCGCTGGCTGCTGACAATGGTCCAGATGGCTATGTTAGCTTCCCTGACTTCGAGAAGTTTTGCCAATCCCCTAGTCCTTGCGAAAATCAGCACCGCGAGCATCATGCCGTTAAAACGTGACTGCAGGATCCGTTGGGGAAGTGGTTGAGAAGGGGCTAGCGAAAGGAGGCATTCCTCATCAAGATGAAAGCCCAACCTCGGTGATTTCATGCACCACTACCGCATCTATGCCACACGGCACCGCTCCATTACTGCCCAGCGGACACTGGTCGCCTCAGCATAAGCAGCAACCGCGAAGATGAGCCTCTACTGGACTAGGATCAGACCGTCAAGTGACTTTTGGCACATCGAGGTCGTTGAGCCATCGCAGGAGGGTGGGTCAGAGAGGGTGGTCCAGTCCAGCGCCGGCCGAAGAATGAGGCGCAGCACGTTGCCGGCGAACGCCAAATTTGGTGACATCGCCACCCAGCAGCAGCCTGCTGAAAGCTCAAGATTGCGTGGGACTGTGACGGGTGCATCTTGGAGAGTTTGGAGCGTCGGAGGATGGTAGCGCGGCACCGTGTGGCACTGTTTTCTGTCTTGTAGGAGACGAGATGGGATGATTATGGGGAACGCAATCCGACAGGAGATGGGCGTGGAACCATCTAGCTTTCCCTTTTCCTCTAGTCAGCATAATCATAATAATAATAGTAATCCTCCCATGACTTCTGATGCCTCTTTCACGTGAATATCCCGCATATTGGAATACCTCAAGCAGTCCCCTCACAGGTCTCTACGGGGAGAAGAACATGGAGCGCAACCTGTTGTGGGCGTGCGGCCAAATCTCGGGGAAGCCGCCGGTTCCTTGGCGCACGTGACAATGGGCCCGTGCGTCCACACTCAGCCTAAGCGAATTTGCTCCACGTCCCATCAGCTCGATTTTATTGCAACGACGACCACGACCAAGTCAGCCCTTCCGACAGCGACCCTCCAGCATCTGAGTCGCAATCATGGCTGTCGGCAAGAACAAGCGCCTTTCCAAGGGGAAGAAGGGTCTCAAGAAGAAGACGGACACGTTCGCGAAGAAGGTACCAAAGACCGCCGAGAAAGCATATAGCAATGCTTCAAACGCTCTCTTCAATCATATGGCTAACAATTCTTGCAGGACTGGTACAACATTAAAGCGCCGGGAACCTTCCAGATCCGCGAGTAAGAGACCCCTCCGCTGCGGCGAGCTTCGTCAAATTTCAGATGGAATATCAATCTAACGGATATGTTTCTCCAGCGTCGGCAAGACCCTCGTCAACCGCACCACCGGTCTCAAGAACGCAAACGACGCTCTCAAGGGCCGGATATTCGAGGTCTCGCTCGCCGATCTCCAGAAGGATGAGGACCACGCATTCCGCAAGGTCAAGCTCCGGGTGGACGAGGTCCAGGGCAAGAACTGTCTGACCAACTTCCACGGCCTCGACTTCACCTCCGACAAGCTCCGCTCCCTCGTCCGCAAGTGGCAAACCCTCATCGAGGCCAACGTGGTTGTCAAGACCACCGACGACTACCTCCTCCGCCTCTTCGCCATCGCCTTCACCAAGCGGAGGCCGAACCAGATCAAGAAGACCACCTACGCCGCTTCGTCGCAAATCAGGGCCATCCGCAAGAAGATGACCGAGATCATTACCCGCGAGGCCTCCTCATGCACATTGGCCCAGCTCACCCAGAAGCTCATCCCCGAGGTCATCGGCCGCGAGATTGAGAAGTCCACCCAGGGCATCTACCCTCTCCAGAACGTATGTGGATGAATGGCATAGCAAAGAAGACATGGGCGCTAATGTGGTTCAGGTCCACGTACGTAAGGTTAAGCTTCTCAAGCAGCCGAAGTTCGATCTGGGTGCTCTCCTCGGCCTCCACGGCGAGTCCAGCCAGGATGACTCTGGCCAGAAGGTGAGGGATCATTAAGGATTCGCACGTATTTCGGGATACTGATTGCGCAACTAGGTCGAGCGGGAGTTCAAGGAGCAGGTCCTCGAGAGCGTGTAAACGGTCATGGTTGAGGGGTTTCTCGGTTCTTTCAACTTCTTCGACATGATATGGGCATCCAAAAGGTGTTTATGTTTACGATAATGGATAAGCATAACCCTTACGTCTCCGGTGACTGTGACGGCGTGCATGGGTGCAATGGTCCACATCTCGGTGTACATGTGGCAGCGCGGAAAAGTGCAAAACACGATATCAATGGATAGTCTCTTTACAGCAGCCTCTGCGCCGAAGTGACTTGCAGTTGTTGGATATCCGGGACTACAATGGTAAAACATGAAGTGCTGGGAATTGTCCTCCCTTTGCTGGATGACCTTGTTCCACTGCATTGCATCTCCGCGCCGCAGCCAATGTTTGTTCGTGATCATGTCATCTTCGAGCAGGTGGGGTTATATGTGCGATGCGATTCGCGTTCAACCCCCTATCAAACCTTCCATTTCTGCGCTTGATTAGTCGGCGTCAATTCCCGACGGCAACCCTTACATATTGTGTATGCAGAGCCAACGATGCGTAAAAGACCCTGGAGAGCATATTTTGCGCTGAATGAGCCATATCCGGTTCCGAGACTGATCCGTTCTCAGTTCTGTTGTGCGTGATTGTCTCTGGACCCGACCGGTGGTAGATGCAGTGCATAGTCCGAGATTGCCGGGGGATAGCAATAGGATGCTTGATGATAGGCATTCACGTTTAGCATCGCTGTTGTGGGAGGTTTGCAGAGACCATCGTGCTGCTCACGACCTACTGAGTACATCATGAAAGGTATACTGTAGAATACCTAATTTTTGAGGAGGGTATGTGGTTCTGTCAATATCGGTCATGACATGCTGATCGGAGCGGTATTTTCTGTCGTTGCGATCGCCAACAAGTTAAATAATTCTCGCTGCAGTAAGATCCCTAGGCCGGACGGAGGAGGGACTTCTGTTTGGTGGATTATATGGTACGCCGCAAATGATCGAGGCGATTGATTTCTCGGGTAATAGCCTTGTAAGTATCTTATGTGCATCAGTTATCCCTGTGTACACAGCGCCGTGGATACTACCGTCTCGCTCCCATCGATATGCATATCCGCATCTCTAGACTGGCAGAACACACGTCTTCCACCTCAGCTTTTCATGGCATCAGGCACCCTCATAAACTCCGCAAGTGTTCCACATCCAAGGAGGCTCAGGAGAACTTCCCAGCAGGACCAGCAACGACGACATCTCATACATGATAAACTCCAGAGACGTGGACTTTCCGAGATCCGACTCTCGGTCTAGGTATGTAACTACTGTGGTATTACTTTGTCCAGTACCTAGTCAACGTCTTACACAACACAACAAGTTTCTCTATGTCCAAGGCGGGGAGATTAGGTATGCAGCTTCTAGACTCCATGATCATCCTTGTGTAGACTAATAAGGTCGCACATCGAACTTGGAGCGTTTGTTTAAACTTTACACCGCTACTTTAGCGAGGCCGATGACATGGAGGAGGATCGTCGATGCGAGGGTACACGTGAGTCTCTACAGGTACTCCGTACCACCTCCTGGAAACTCGGAAATACAGGGGTGGGAAATGGGTGCGAAGTAGAATCAGGAGGGCCGGATGACGTGTGCACAACTGGGGTTGGAGTTGGGAAGTTATGGTGACGTTATGTACTCTGGGTTTGCCAAAGGGAAGGGTAACGAGAGGAAGATGGATGTTTGACATGATGACTTGGGTTTTGACTTGCTAATATTCTAATACAAAGCCCAGATTGGATGTGGAGATCCTTGTGTGCTTCCATCTTCCATCATGAAGATGTCGTTTGTTGTACAACTGCGGATAGAGAAAGTCATGGTGGGAAGTTGCTGGGTAGCTCATTCCCATGGCCAATCCTACATTCCCCAACCGAGCTGCTCCTACTCAAAATACTCTTTCAATCTCCAGCATCAAGCCATATATCCCACTGCAGTAGCTGCAGTCGAGGAATTCCCCTACATCCCCCTCCTCTTCCTTTCCAATCCCTCCCTCCGCCTAACCCTCACCCTCACATCCCCCTTCGGAATCATCACGCTCCCCCCATCCACCGCTCCAGGAACCACCCAAACACCCTCTTTCCGCTTCCCACCTTTTCCCTTCCCCCCTTCACCGCTAGCCTCCGCCTGCTTCTCCATGACCTCCTCCCACAACCCCCTCTTCGGCGCCACCCCAATCTCCCACAATTGACACACGCCCGCCACGAACGGGAGCAGCATCGCCGTAACCAGTTCCTCCGAGTCGTCAAAGACGGTCGCGGATAGAGGGACCGGCGCCTGAGAGTGCGCGAACGTGGAGCGCGAGGGGTTCCACTCATCAGGCGAGAGGTACTCTGCTGTGGAAATGTTGATGAGGCGTTGGGAGAGGCCGATGTCAAGGTGTGTGTGAGGCTCGAGCTCGAATGGTGCTCCTCCTCCGGCGCTGGTGCTGCTGGGATCGGTGACGATGATGGGTTTGGTGATTTTGGCCGTGGTGATGGAGGCGTTGTACAGCCGTCGGGATTCGAAGAGGCAGGCCCTGAGGTAGGGAAGCGAGGAGGGGTTGAAGCAAGGTGACAGCGAGGAGAAGGATATTGCCGGGGGAGCGGGGAAGGAGGGATGGATGGAAGGGGGTTGGATGGCTTGTGCCCAGGTGGAGGTCTCGGTGCGGATGGTCTGGAGAGGCGTTGATTGTTCGTCGGAGGAGGATTGGCGGTAGATGTGTAGAAGCGTCCAAAAAGCTAGGGGAACTGCTTTTGACATGATCCTGTGAAGAAGTTCCAAAGTGATGGCCGCGCGTGCTTGCATGGGGAGGTCATGTTGAGAGAAGAGATCGTTCAAAGCCGTGAGCGGCGTCGGCGTATCTGCATCCGTCTCCTCTCCGCTTGCACTTTCGTCGTCTGCAATCTCCCTCTTCGGGGGAGGGGTCGTCAAATCCTTACACAACCGGGACAAATTCTGCAGCAGCCTCTTCTTCGCTAAGCTCGCTCCGGGAAGACCAGGAAGCGGGAAAAACCTGGGAAGTCCCAAGGAGAGTGCGTAGAAATACCGATTCAGGACCGCGAGGTCTGTCGCTAGGAGATCGTAGGATTCCGGGAACTGTGGTCCCGTGATCAAGGGGATGATGACCTTGCAAAGGAACTCATTGGTGAGAGCGAAGAGGTCGCATTCTACTTCTTCGGTACCGTCTGTGAGTTCGACATTCGCCACTCTCTCCCATTGCAATTGGTCCACAAGGGACGAGTTGAACGTGATGAAGTCGGGAAGAGCTTCGGACACACTTCGTAGGAAAGTCGAGGTGAGCTCCGTAAGCTTCACGCCTTTGAAGACTTCAGTTTCGCAGACCTCGGCGATCGCTGAATGGATTTGAAAATATTTGCTCTTCACATTTTGCGGCAAACCAAATGCGTTGTGCATAAGTGTCCATTTAATGAGATCGGCCTCTTCGAGGGATGCAGAAGCACCTAATATCAGATCCAAGAAAGGAGCCGAAAGGACGATGTTGTGCTTCATTCCAGACGGACTATACGCTACAACATTGGTGATGGAAGTCTCTCTCGAAATAGTTAGCGGATAGGACGTTTAAATGGCAGATGAGTATATTACCTAACACTCTTCAACCAAGTCTCGCCTCCGAATACCAGATTACCCCAGTGCCTGAAGCCTGGGATCCAGAATGGTAGGAGTTGTACCCGCCTCTTCCCGTCGATCTTACCAAGCCCACTATTAGACCCTGATATGATCCTCGTAGCAAGCAGTACGGCAATGATGGCAATGAAAACCTGTGGCCAAATATCCGGAGTCTTATAGTCCTCCGGTACGTGTTCAAGGATCTGTTGATCCAGCCGATAATGCCTCAGAGCGAGCAACGCAAAAGGACTGAAGAGGAGAAGGTGGCACAGCGGCAGGAATAGATTCCTTATTATACCATTGGAGGTATGCACGCCCAAGAACAGAGTCTTTGACGATATCATGATCGTTGCTCGATCCGTTTCCCCTGCGTGAAGCCGGAGCTACCAATGTTTCCAGTACTGCAGCTATCGGAAAGGTGTGAACCCCTGGTGTGAATGGTATCCTGGAGATAGCACGCTTGTAGATACCAGCAAGGCACCAGTTCACGAAACCAAGGTCTGAACGGTAAGAGAAAGTCGGATTGTATGCCTAGGAGTGCATGCGCATCTGGGAAACGGATGGCTGTTGTCATTGAACATCTTTGCTGGCTGTGCTGCAGGGCTCGAAGTGTGGCGGTGCAGCGCTGCAGTGATGCTAGTCTTCGTTAAGCATTCCATGTTGGGCGTCAGCCTCATGGAGCGCAAAACAACTCTCCGCTTGCTTGGACTGGGACTGCATTCTATCTCATAGGGAAAATCTAAAGTAGAGATTTTCACGGCTGCGTATAATTGTGCAGCTTGCTGTACCTTCAGTCCTTCTTTGACCGCTGTCACGGGTGCTGGCGAGAGAATTCCATCCTGGGTTAGTGAAGCCCCTTCTTCAACATGGAAAGCGCCCTTTTTGCTGTCTGAAGTTTCCGAATTCCGCATTTCAGAGTCACAGAGCGGGATTGGACATTTAAGATTATCAAGCGCGGAACTGTTTTTTTTCTTATCGCTGAATATATCAGATGCTGACCTCGCTGAGTTTGTAAGGCAACTCAACGATTCATATCCACCGCCCTGAAACTCTACACAACCTAACGAAGAGGAAAAGAGCTAGTTATCGGCCTCGAAGAGGGACACGCTAAACCGAGGAACTGCCAGTCATTGAACTCTCGACGCAATACATATCAACTCCAATTCGAAAACGTTTAATGCGTACACGACACGCCATGGCTTCCCAAGATCAAACACCATCCACGGCCACCGTGCCAAAGCACCTCAACTTCATCACGGGCAACAAGAACAAACTCGCCGAAGTCCAAGCCATCCTCTCGGGCGTCATCGAGCTCCGCTCCCAATCCCTCGACCTCGTCGAGATCCAAGGTACCGTCGAGGAAGTCACGCGCGACAAGTGCCGGCGGGCGGCTGAGGCTGTGAGAAATCCTCTCTTCTCGAGTGAAGTTTTTTTAGAAGGACAAGTAACAGCTAATTCGATACATGGCTTGATAGGTCCAAGGCCCCGTGCTGGTGGAAGATACATGTCTCTGTTTCCGCGCCATGAACGAGCTCCCCGGGCCGTACATGTACGTCTCGTCTCTCCCTTTCTCCCCTCACCCCACCTCCACTCAACGAACGCTAACATGGAAAACTGTAAAAGAAAATGGTTCATGCAATCCCTCGGCCCACACCAGCTGCACAAGCTCCTCGCGGGCTTCGACGACAAATCTGCCACCGCCGTCTGCACGTTCGGCTACAGTGCCGGTCCTGGCGCAGAACCCATCTTGTTCCAGGGACGCACCGAGGGGAGACTGGTGGAGAGCAGGGGGAGTACAGTGTTCGGTCAGTATGATTCGTTTTCACAATTGTCTGCAGTCGAGACCGAATCGAGAAGGAAAGATGAAGTGAAGATGACTGGCCAGAGACTGACATGTTCTGCAACCAGGCTGGGACTCGTGCTTCGAATACGAGGGCAAGACGTACGCCGAGATGGAGAAGAGCGAGAAGAACGCCATCTCGCACCGGGGCAAGGCGCTGGAGAAGCTCAAGACGTGGCTGGCGCAGAAGGTAGACGGCGAGGCCGTATAAGCGGTAGCCGGTGAAGAATAAAACAAAATGCAGATTCCACCATGGTATCAAGATTCCAACAGCCCCATGCACCCGCCTCTTGCAGACAGAACGCCCAAACACCATTCCATGCAGTTCCCCCCCATCGCTCTCTCCGAAGGCTTCTTAACTCTAACTCTCCTCCCCATCTACATCATCCCTATGGTCCTCCCTCCACTGCTCCACCCACCGCTCGACCCTCTCGACATTCTCCTCCAAATCCCGCGTCCCCTCGCTCCTCAGCTCCACCACCACCTCCTCTCTGTAAGCCTCCCTCGCCTCGTCGAGCAACACCTGCATAATCTCGGCATCCATATTCTCCTCCAGTTTTTTCCCCGTGTAGCCCCTCGCCGTCAGCCGGTCGTACAGCATGGTGGAGTCGCACCGCAGCACGATGACGAGGTCGATCCAGCGCTCGGGGAAGAGATCGCAGGCGTGCCAGTCGAGTATGTAGCCGCCCGTCGTGTGCAGCGGGAGCGCTTCGAGGTAGTCGAGCAGCTGGCCATCATCATTAGTCCATCAATCTTTTGATATAGCACCTTTCATTCTTCTTTTTCCCCTTCCCGCCACTCCTCCTCCAAGGATGATCGCATACGAGAAAAGAGAGAAACACACCTTATCCTCATCCACGAACCAGCTCCCCGTCTCCTCGTCCCGCCCCTCGTGGAAGCCCTCATCCTTGACAATCTGGTTCACCGACAGGTGCGTGAAGCCCAGGTTCCGCGCCAGCTCCTCGGCATGCGTCGTCTTGCCCACTCCCGGCGTCCCCGTGATGACGATGTTGGGGTTCTTGCGGCCCATTTCTCCGTGTGCTTATTATGGATATTTGAGGAGACTGCTTGGTCCGCTAGACTGCCCGTCTGTGTCGGAAACTATCGGGTCTATGTTCAAGCTCTCGCACCTCGCTCTTGACCAAGAATGTGGAGTAGATCGTCCACAGCAGGAAGATTCCTGGGCAAAGATGTCGAGAGTAAATACTCCACAAAGCCCAATATTCCCTTAAAGAAAGAACGAATCGAAACGAAAAGTCGTTGTTGGGCGCATACCTAGGTAGCTAGCTACATACTCTTCCTCTGGACGTCCAAAAATTTCCCAGAGCCTTCCGAGGATTCCCCGACCCCGCCATCCATGCCTCTCCAGAGACAGTCATTAGACGCCGTTGGCGCTTCCGCAAGGTCTTCCAGATTTGGACCATCTCCACAATAGTATACTAATAAAATAAGATAGTGAAGGAGACCAATGGCTACCAGGTCGAAGGCCCACGGCCATATGTAGCACACCCATAGTTCGAGAGTCCATGAATCCGCACGTCAAGGGCACCCATTACAAGCGGTCTAACTATACTCGATACATGAGGCTCAATCAATCGCAATGAAGTCTTATTCTAACCCAGCAGCCGCCACGCTCCCAAACTTTTATCAGGGGTAAAAGGAGTGAATAGCTACGTTCAGATACTAACTCTGCAGATGCACCCCCCGTACTGAACCCATGAAAGCACATGACCCACCCATCACGTAGAAAGCAGGAACACACAGAGAACCCTTTCCTTTTACGCCAATCCGTCTTAATCCCGTGGCTCAGAGACTACGCGCGTGCTGTGGTGTAACGGATCGGGCTGGAGTATGCTCAAACAGTCGGCGAAGTAAAATCTGGCTTCATGCGTACTTGACTAGTCAAGGCGTCCGAATAGTGAGTCGTGCAATGGTACGCCAGTCGGAAACGTCAACAAGACTCCGTGGTGAGACGGAGAAGTGAGGAACGTGATGATTAGAGGAAAAACGCCAGGTCGAGAAAGTACCTGATAGCCTTGAAGCCACCGAATACATCTTGATGTCGGCATCTAGACGACAGGGCACTCCCATTCCGCGCTAATGACCGGAGACGCCTCCATCAGAGGGAGCGCGCTCAGCTCTGCTTGCACTCCGCAGTCTCCTGCTTCGGCTTGGAACCGTCGTTCTGTCATGCGTTAGTTGCCTTTCCTTAGATAGAACCTCTGCAGAAGCTTACGTCTTCGTCTGAGTCATCCTCGTCATCGTCGCGATCATCGCTGAGTTCGTCCTCCTCCTCCTCATCGTCCTCGTCCTCGAAATCGCCCTCCTCAAAGTCGTCAATATTCTCAAACTGAAGAGCCTCGCCGGTGAACCAATCGATGGCTCGGGGGATGATCTTCTCCTTGATGTCCTCACCGAGCTGGTAGTCGAGCTCAAGGCGATCCTCAATCTCGGGATCAGCATCCTCGTCGTCCTCCGTGGGGGGCTTGGGCGGGTCGAAGAAGTTGAAGAAGGACTCAACAGGGACCGTCTTTTTGACGACACGGGTCTGCTTGGTGGCTGGAACGCGTTAGCTTGCTGGCACATGCGACGGATGAGAAATACATACTCTTGTTGCGCTGCTTCTTGCTCTCGATCTTGACGGTCAGGTCCTTGCTGGGCTTCCAGTTGATCTTCTCACCCTCGGCGTGGTCATAGATGAAGTCGCCGCCGTAGCCGTTCTCCTCCTGGTAGTAGTACGTCTTGCTCAGAGTCTTGTTCTCAAAGTACTCGTTCTCCTCAAACTCGAAGATGAGGCGGAATCCAGGTCTGTCGAGATACTCCATGCGGATATCGGTCAGGTGCTTCAGGGCGCCCTCGTCTCGGTCGGTGATCATCTCGGCAACAGAGGGGTGGTTCTTCATGGCGCTCAACCAGAACTCGGGAATGCCCTTGATATCGGCGCCCTCGTCCTTGTTGACTTCCTGCTCGGCGCTCTGCTCCTCCTCCTCCTCCTCTTCATCCTTCTGCTCACCCACCTTGACCTGCTCTTCGGTGGGCTCGGTAGCTCCGTTGACAATCTTGGCACGCGTCTCATAGAGGGGAGAGAACTTGGCGAAGTACTTCTTCTCCAGCTGCAGAACCTCTTCCTGGAACTCGGCTTCGAGCTTGGAGTGCTCCTTCTGGATACCCTTCAGGCCGGCAACGCGACGGCGGACGGAGGCGGGCAGCGATTCGATGTATCCGCTCGAGCGGCCAACCAGGCTTCCTAGTTTGGCCTGCATCATGGAAACCAGGGCGGGATTTGCTGCGAAGAGAGCAGCAGCGTCCATTTCCTCTGTTCGCCAGCGAAGGCGGGTTAGCGGTCGGTCGTCGGATGGCATAGGCTAGGGAGGCGGGGCACTGGGTGGCAGAGGCGAAACTGTTCCGACGACTTACCCTCCTTGATGCTGGTCACACCGGGCTGCTGTGCACGCGATGATATGGGAGCGGCATTTGCGGGCGTGTTCTGCGGCGTACTGTATATAGGCGTTTGTAGTCAGTGGCGTTGAAAAGGAGCCATGGCATGGATGTACATGAGGAGCAGGGCAGAAAAACAGAGCGGGGAAGCAGGGGCGAGACTTACGGAGCCGTGATGTTGTCGAGCTTCTTGTTGCGAATAGGCTCGGACATGGTGTCGAATGTGTAGAGCTGCGGGAATGGGGGGAATTAGGGGACGGGGTGGGAGTGGGCGGAGAGGTTGAGGAGGGAGAGAGAAGGAGAGTGTCTGGAAGAATTATTCGGCGGGTGAGAAGAAGAAGGCGCGCTAGGTCGCCCCTCCCCTTCCCAGAAAGACGTAACCAGATGGGGATTAGCGCGATTGGAGCTGATGTAAACACCTGGGCACCTTGGACGGGTCCATCGGAGGAGGGGCAAAAGGCCCTCAACCTTGGAACTATCGGATACATATCCAACTACCAACTTGCCAGCACGGCGACCCCCGAGAAGGGCGCGAGACTCCAAGTTAAGCGTACCATTTTTTCCCTTTGGCCGGTGTGGGGAAAGAGCATCGACTGGCGACGTGACGGGCTTACTTGGGTTAGGTAGGGTTGCGGTGTATTCCTTATGGCGCTTGGCGGGGGCTCGGAAAAGCAGTTGAAGAGTCATTAATAAGCGTCAAACTGTGAATATTCATCCTTAGACATATATTCTGTTAGGAATCTGTTAATGACCTGTTAGCAGCTAGTCCTGCAGGATTCTAGTAATTGCTTAATTCCGTTAGATCGTAACATCTATCAGGTAAGGAAAGCGCATAAACAGACAGTTACCCGCAACTTCTATCCCTACAAGAAGAACCTCGCAGCAGGCACCATATCTAGTCAGATTTCATCAACGCTAGATTTTTATTAGGATTCAACGCCTATCTAACTTCTATCTGCCTGAGCTACAGGCCTGTAGCTGGAGAGGTGCTCTTGGCAGGCTTCGGATGCTCTTTGGATGCCCTCTCACGCGTTACGCCTCAGCGCCTAAAGGCTGCAACCTGCATAGAAAGGTGCAGCAGCGTTACAATCTATATACAGGCGCCTGCCTGCCTACCTGCCTTCCTGCTTGCAGTCTAGATGCTGGCGTAGATAGATAGGTAGGCAGCCTAAAGGAGGTGTTAAAACTAGAGGTGTTAAAACAGGAGGAAGGAGCGTGCCTGCCTCCCCCCTACGCTAAGGAGCTATCTAACGTTAATCACGGTTAATGGAAGTCGAAATCTGATGAAATTACGTGCCTGATGGAATCAGGTTAGACAGGTTATCCAGGCTAACTACATCAGGCGCGTAATGTCATCTAAGGTAGGATTTTATCTGTTTCTGACTGCTACCAAGTCAACTAATCGAATTCTAATTACATCAAAGGGCGGATGACTCATCGATCATACATTCACTGGCCATCCGACCCCCCGCCAAGCGCCATAAGGTTGTCATCCACTTTCTCTAGCCTCCCGCCCTTCTCCTTACCGCTCTTTTGTGTGCTCCTGAACAGCGACGACACGTGCAGCCACCGGCTTCGCGACACGACACTGCGGCTCTGCGTGCCACGACTGTACAGACACATCACCACACGGTGCGCCAGCTCATGTTCGCCGAGGCGATTGAGGATTTGAGATGCACATGGACACGAAAAGGATTCAGTACGGTGCTAGACGACCGACGGTACATGCACGTGTGCCCTCTTCACCATCTAGTCCCCATCTCCGTACTCCTGGTATCTTTGAAGGGAAATGCACAATGCCAAATTTCGCCCAACCTTCCATCAACCGGAATCAGCAGCGATGAAACCGAAAGCAGAAAACAGCAAAAGGAAAGGCCAGCGTGACCGCCGATTTCAAACCCAAGCAAGAACCACACGCATCTAAGTCTTGCCGCAATACTTGTATTACTTGTATTCCTGGGCCGCTCCGACACCGTCGTCTATCCCTCACTCTGAAGACGCTTCAGCTTCCTGGTCGAGAATGCCGCCACGGCTGCCGACAGTGCTCCGATGAACAGGCAGACGGCGATGGCGTTCGGTCCCTCTGCCGCATGTTGCTTGAGCTCTTCCGGGCCCGCTTCTTTCGCAAGCTCCGGGCTCTTGCCTGGTTCCAGAAGGGAGAAGACTGCCCAGGAGATGAACGTCCCTACGAACTGAGGCAATGTCGTGTAGAGGTTCATGATTCCCAAGTACGCCCCAGAGCTGGCACCGGTGGAGCCGTGCGACTCATCGGGGCCGTGGTTGAGGTGGAGTTGCACAGGCGATTCCAGTTCGATCGAATTGCGCGTCATGTGTCCGTATGGGCGATGATTGTGTTGGGATAGGCGATTGATCTCGACGCCCAGGAACGTGAACGGCGCCCAACAGCTTATTGCCCAGGAACTATCCAGATTTAGTTTCTGACAGAGCCGATGATGATCATGTAGTATCAGACTTACATCCCGCACAGAGCCACTATGATTGTAGCTCCCCTCAGTGACTGCACAAAAGGAGCCATGATCATAGACCCCGCGAAAATACAATGAGACGCCGTCCAAGTCGTGAGCAGCGAGGGCTTATACTTCTCCATCTCAAACACGAAAGATGCAATGCTGGCTGGCGGGCGTGGAGTGAAGTCCGGTACCTCGTCCTCGGGACTCTTGACGAACCACGGAAGGATGACAGACATGAGAAAGGTGATGATCGAAAATGCAATGAGCGCCGTGCTGCCTATGCGGCCCACTTGGCCGGTTATGTCCTCGGATGCCTTCGCGTCTACCGGGGCATCGTAGCGAAGGTAAATTTCGCCCACCCAAGTGGTGCTGTAGAACAGAAATGGGAACCATCCTAGCAGAAACATCAGCCACGATACGTCCAAATGCTAGAGGTGTGCTCACCGATCCATGCCCAGAACTGGACGTGGCAGATCGCCGCAATGCCTCTGGGCAAGTTCATTGCGTTGTGGGCAATGGTGGACAGTACCTCCATCGCCCCAATCTGACCCTCGTCCTCTTTTCCATCACTGACCAGGACTCTCTCGGTAACCGCATAGGACGTGAGCCCCACCGTGACACAGAGCGTGATAGCCGCCACGGCGGTCAGTTGCTTGAACTGGGTGTCTCCCAGCATGGGACCGAAGATGGCACCAAGGTCCACAGCACCCGCAGCGTATCCCACCAAAGACCCAACAGCGACCATCCTGCTGGCCCAGCTGCTTCCCAGTTGTTGCTTGGAGATGGGAAGGGTATCCACTATCAACCCCCTACAGCTCCCCTGCACAGCGTTGATGGCGAAATCGATTCCATAGATACTCAACACGGCCACGACAATTGTCGCTTGCCTGACCGCCTCTTTCTCCTTGAGGAAGAACCGCACAAACTCCTTTGTCCAGCCCAGCAGCAGCAGAAACATGGAGACCAGCACCGTTCCGCCCAACATGAAGGGTCTCCGACGCCCCCACCGACTCTTCGACCGGTCCGCTATCACACCGACAATGGGCTGCATGATCAGTCCGGACAGCGGACCCGCGATCCACACGAGCGAGATCTTCGACTTGGTGAGCCCGAGCTCAAGCAGGTACGGCGTGCAATAGGTCATCTCAACATTCCAAGTGAACCTAGAAAGGGAGCACCGTCAGGGACCACGAGCAACGAGGCGCGGGAATGGATGGGGGTCAGCAAGCGCATACTGCAGTCCGATAAGGGATGCTGTGAGCAGAGCCATTCGCATCGACTCCGAGGAGCCCTTGATTGAGGGTGTACCCGTCCATTGTGCGGGATTTGGCATCCTCCGCCCTATCGTCGAGTAGTTGACAGCTGTCGCGTGTGGGAGTTGGGTTGGGATGAACTGCTGCTACCCCGAAACGTGGCGATGCGGCCTATGGCAGGTGCATTGGGCGGTGCTTCTTGCCGAGGGGTGTGATATGGCAGAGGCGATAGGGGATACTGTGTAGATGGGCGTTGAGGGGAATTCTGTTACATGTCCGGAGTGCTGAGTATGGATTTGTCTGCGGAGATGATGATCAGATATGCTGGGCAGAGATGTGACGCTGCTTGCGAATAATCCAATTTTAGCGCGAGCGGCAGCACGGGCCATTGCCAATGGCGCTGATGCATGGGAGGTGCATGTGAAAGGAGAACAAGTACGCCAAGAGCACGTCTTGTCCGTTTTTATGTGTACCTAGGTAGTATGTCTATCTCGATCTCTGAATACAATGAGTTGGTGGGTATGTTTGTTTGGTGTTGAGTTCACCTCGTTCCACATTACCCGTCATGAAGGGCACCGGTCCAAAGAAGGCCTAGATATTAGGTGTACGCGTCTGCTACCGAAAAGGTACAGAATAGTCTCCACCCTATCTCTCTGGGCGCCGGGAATTTCATAAGACCGGCTCAGTGCCAAGAGTTTTCCGACGAACAGAAACGCTTTCCCTTGATATATTATGTAAGCCTTAGGTAAACTGCTCTGAATATGAGACCATAAAAGCCCGCTGAGTAAAAGCAACGACGCTTTGGGTATCATGCATGCATGCTATGAGAGGGAAAGAGAAAGTGTCCATGGCCGGATGTCACGCAGGGGAACAGTTAGTCCTTTTCCCCTATGCCAAACTCCTCCTGTACTTCCACAATCCTGACACCCCGTTGATCGGCTATCAAGCCCATCAAGCCCTGTCCTACATCCTTGATCTCGTTGTACTCGTGAAGCAGCTTGATGTGCTTCTTGACGACCTGGTTCGCAGCAGTCATGACATCCGCATCAGTAGGCCCAGAGTCCAAAGGGGCTGATGCAGTTGACGAAGTGTCGTTATCATTGTTCTCAACGATGATTTCCTGTATGCTGGGGATCGCGGCAAGGGCGGCAATGAGGGCGCTTCTCTGAGCTTTCAGCTCTGCGACTGTGACCTCTTGGGATGTCTTTGCGGGGCCTTTGACAGAACTGGGAAGTATACGACCAGGCGTGGTTGATGATTTTAATGTTTCCTGTGGAGGTTGGATGGGCTGATGCGCATGGTCACCTTCCTGAGAGACTGTGGGCTGTGGAACGTTTGACACACCCGCGGTGGACTCCCTTGGAGGAAGCGCGGAAGGGTCTGGCGAGATGGTGATGCTTATTTCCATGGCACCCGCCGACGTATTCGTTAGGGAAACATTAGGAGCAGAAGGCGGTTCGGTAGAAGCAATTCCGGTCGTAGCGGTAGTCCCTGTCAAGGGCCCTTTGGTGGGAACCGGCTCACCCGGAAGTGAATGTTCAGTGCCCTGGTGTTTACTCATGGACTCTGGCTCATTGAGTCCCTGTTGCAGTCGAGACATATCCTCCTTTTCCTGCCCGTCATTAATGACGGGTTGCTCCTCTGTTTCGACCTTCAAAACCTTCTCACTGGCAGCAGAAGCAACATGCGGACATCCACTATCATGATGATCCTCTGGCTGTTTGGCGTGCAGAAGTGCATTGCCTTGCCAATCGACTTCAGCAGTTTGGGCTGAATTCGGCGGCTGACAAGCGACGAGGGGCTCCACTGTCACCGAAGTCTGCTCAATGTCTTGGACGTTCTGGGCTTCTTCTTTCGCACCTCCAGTTGGTGGCCTCGGTCCTTCTTCAACATCATGTTCCGGAGTAGCAACTTGATGACCGCTTGAGACAATCTCTTCGACCGGCGTGCACTCGTTGGAAGATTTGACTGCCGCTTCCACTTTTGATGCACTTTGCACTGGAGCTTGGATATTCGGTCTGGGCTCTGTTGTCTTGCTGTGCTGGCTGCGGTTAATTTCCTGAGCGTCAGTGGGATCATTCGTCTCCACAGTATCCAGCACCTGTGAGGGGATATTCTGATTCTGGTTGGCGAATACGCCTTCATCTGTTGATGCTGGTATTCCCGGACGGGCGGCCGGTGGAGGTGATGCTTGAGAAGGAGGCCACTGAACATTGGATCTTGCCTCAATGGGAGACGACGAGAAGGGCTCGTCCTCGGAGTCTGGCACCTCAGCAACCCGGCGTGTGAAAGCCATACTGGGCTCCCATCACCACCGCGAGCGCAAGTTGTCGAGGACGATGTTCGTGTGTGTCTGTGGTGTTTGAGGCAGGAACCCCGGCCAGCCGCGCCATCCATGGTCCGTCATCTCGGCACGGCTTGGCCTTATTCGTTCCACATTCGGTAAAGGCTGATCTGACCATCCTTCGGTCCCGAGATTCCATGAAAGAGGCCGACGAACGGTTCACCACGCTGCAAGCTACTCTTGAGGTCGTCGACGAGCACGGCATCCTCATGCGTGCACGGGGATAGCGAGATTGGTATTTTGGAGCCTACTGCGCCGTCCGCCAAGTCCGAGCCAGGTGCCATTCCAGACTCCGGAGGGACGCTGCCACTATGAAGACTGCAAGATTGGGAAGGGCGCCTGGGATGGGAGGCATAGGAATAACTCTTGCGGTGGCGGTGGTCGGATTTGCAGCAGCAGCGAGGGCACATGAGCATCATGGGGAAGGCATACCAGAGGGGAAGTTCATCTCTGACGACCCGATCGTAAGTTTTCCATTAGCTACACTTTCCCAACCTCAACATCGATACATGCTAACACGCGCCTCAGGACTCAATACTATGGACGCATATCCTGATCCAAATCGTAGCCTGGGGTATTCTCTTCCCCACCGGTATGGTCCTCGGCGTACGTCCTCTCTAGAACATCTTTCCACACTCCTAAACTCACCCATCCCGCAGATAATCCGCTCAAGATGGCACGTCCCCGTCCAAACCACCGGCGCCGTCCTCGCCATCCTCGCCTACTTCCTCGGCCACGCCCATAAAGGCCGCCAATTCGCGCCCAACATGCACGCCAAATTCGCCTCGGCAATGATGCTTGTCCTGCTCTCCCAAGTCGGCCTGGGCATCTACCTGAAACTGCACCTGGAGCGCGGCTTCAACGGCCGCATCCGTCCATACATCGTCAAAGCGCACGGCATCGTAGGGAAAATCATGCCCGTCCTGATCTGGACGCAATTCGTCTTTGGGGGTTTCGCGGCCTTGGGATTCTGCTTCGGAGACCACACGGGCCAGTGTCTGGCGCATTTCATCATGGGCGGCGCCTTCATCGCCTACGGCGTCATTCTCACCATCTTGCTGCTGGTGGGCCAACTGTGGCTCCGGAGAACGGGGCGGAGTCAGGAATTCTTCGACTCCCTCGTCATCGCCGCCTGGGGCTGCGTCAACACCTTCACCGAGCACCGCTGGGGCGGCGAGTGGGTGGGCAATGACCTGCAGCACACGTCCATGGGGGTGATATGGTGGTGCGCGGGACTGGTGGGCATTTGGCTGAGCCGCAGGAGGGACGGATCACCGAAGCGGAACCTGATTCCTGCACTTGTGATTATCCTCACGGGATTCGGCATGTCGGCGCATCCGCAGCACTTGGAGCTGTCAAATCACGTGCATACCATGTTTGGGTACACGCTCATGGCGGCGGGATTTACGCGCATCATTGAGATTTCGATTCTGCTGAGGGATAAGGGGGCGACGACCAGGGATGGTTCCGACCCGAATAGTTTCCAGTACCTGCCTCCTTTTGTAAGTTTCCACCGTCATTCTCTTCCCATGCACCCCTACGTAACTATATCTAGATCCGTGAAAAGAAAAGTTAACGGAAATGGCAGCTCCTCTACGCCTCAGGCTTCCTCTTCATGGGCGCCACCGAGGAGCAAATGAAGCTCCTCTCGGACGCGCACGTCACGCACGTCTCGTACATACTCCTCCTCTACAGCATCGCCTTCGTCCTCTTCCTGTTCGTCAACATGCTCGTCCACCTGTACGCCGTGCATGCTTTCCCTCTTGGTCCTGTCCACAAGGACGCGGATGCTGCAGGGGTGGAAGCGAATGGGGGGTTGGCTGGGAATGGGCATCTGAGGGGGGATAGGAGGGTGAGGGATGCGGAGGAGTTTGAGCTCGAGGGTCTGATTTCCGAGGATGAGAGGGCGGAGGACGAGGACGAGGATGAGGAGGGGAAGGTGAGGAGGAATGGTGCGGCAAGGGCTTGAAGCGGTTGGATGATGTGATGATGTTTTGATTCGGTGTTGGAATTAGAAGGGAGGCGTTTCGTTATGGACAGGCATTAAGCCCAGTTGGCTTTGCCATCTTTTATTGTTATTGTTTATGCTGTTGGGTACGTAATCAATTCAAATATCATGACTCCGAGATCCAATTTCCTGATGCCACCTCTGCGGTTAGAGTGTTATTTTGTTATAATCGCGATGAGCCGATCATCACAGGGTAACGGTGTGCTCAACAGCATCTCCGCTCTTGACTTCAAACAGGAGAATATCACCGCAAGTGAGACCCAGAAAACTCAAAGTCGTTCATGTCGTTGATCCTGAACAGAATCATGATGGATTTGATTTTGCCATTGTTGTGTGTCATGGGAGGGCTTTTCCGAAACACAATGGACACCGTTAACCAGCCAGAACATGCCATGTGAATGAAACCGAGCGCGAGCATGGCGATCAAGCTCTCCTGCTCACATCCCGCCGTCCAGCTGCCGGATCTATACGCCGTGACTACCCGCCATGTTGTTCCCCATCATCCGCCTCCCTTGTTCCCTCGCTCGTCCTGTCCACCCGCTGGAAGAAATTATATCGACGAAGGGTAAAGCATGACACGGACGGAAGCACCCTGGACGATAGTTAGGATTGCTGGCGAATGAGGCGAGACACGGGGACATACGAAGCTCTTGGGGGGAAGGTTGGACCTGAACTTGGCGCGCACGACACCGCTGTTGCCTACAACACTGCGTCAGTGTATGTTTTCCCCTTCAGCGCCCGAAACTACGAACCGTGTGGGCGGGTGATCTTGCCCCAGATGACCCGGATCTTGGAACCCCGTACGGACCGCTGGGCGCGGTAGACGTAAGCTACACGCTTGCCGGTGTAGAACTGTGCCGCCGCGGTATCATCGACGCCCTCGAGCTTGAGAAGAGACGTTCCAGGGTTGGTGTTGCGCTTTCCCCGCTGGTAGGAAATGTGCTTTCCCCTAGAGGTGGAGATGTTAGTCTCTGAATTTTCTCATCATTCCCATCACCCGTCTCGAGCCCGCAACTCCAGTCCCTTCCCATCCTCGCAGATCATGTTATACACATTGTTCAATATTCAAAATTCCTCGTGTCGTGGTATCGTTCGGAGCAAGGATGGCATTCGCGAATGGTTGTCGACAACGGCTTTTACGAGACGAGGAAGGTAGAGTGGAAATGAACTTACTTCACGTAGACTAGATAGGCGCAAAGTCAGCACTGAATTACAACGTTGTGCAGGGTCGCGATTCGTTTGGTGTACGCAATGGTGATAGCGAGCCATGCGCACAATGGGACAAGAAATCAGCGGGTTGGACTTACGGCGGTGGGACTTGTCAGACATGGCGAAGGATTCCTGGCCTCGTGGGGATATGTTGAAAGAATGTCGAGACCGTGGCGTGGGCTGCTGTGTTAGTTGTCGTCGTCGGGGATGCGGTTGTTGGGAATGTCAAAATGGAGACTTTGGCGAGTGTGGGTTGCACGTGATTGGGAGCCTTGGCAGAGACTCAACGCAGCCGTATCGGATCTAGCGCTCATGCGCCACAGTTCTTCAGCCACAATTCCCATGGCCCTACTCCGTACGTCTCGTGCTTTTGTCCCTATCTCCCACAGTGCACTCCGGCCTTTGGGTGTATCAGACGGTGTTGCCAATGAAGCCCGCCGGTGTTATCCCATCGACCGCTCTTGATGGTTCTAAGAAGAATATGGCCGTTGCTGCATTTATGAGCTCGAAACCGAGCATTGGAACTTTTGCCCTATAGGTACTAAGTGTGTACTGTTTATGGCCGGGGGGAATTGGTGGGGGTTTCGACACCAAGGACTGCAGGGCTCATGGAATACTCGAAAGGGCTGAACGGGGCTTCAATTTCGCTGTGTCACCACTTACTGTGGTAGGAGACGGCACCCACTCTTTACCTGCCCGAAGTGCGGAGAGGCCCTGACAAAGTGGGATTATTGAGCACCGGAAAAGGGAGGCATCTCCTCGGGGCACACGTACACAGGATGTCCGTATCCCAGCAGGTGCGCTCAGCTTCGGCCCTCAGCAATCCCAGCAGGTCCCTTACGAGGACTCCACAGGAGTCGGCCAATTCCTGCACAGGAAACCGACCGATGAAAGATCCGACCCAGATGGGTGCACAAAGAATGCCAACCGTGTGAAAGCGAAGACTACCGGTACCCCTAATGATAATCGAATTCTCCATCATCTCTTCATGGAGCTTCTCCAAGCACACATCCATAATCATCATCATCGAATGGAGGGGTACAACCGTCTGTGCGCCGAGTCCTCTCCAGGGCTCTCATTCATGTTTGCTGTCGGGGTTAGCAGCTCTTACTCCCGCTGGCCTTCGGTTCGTGATTCGTGGATGTGCCGGAGATGCAGTGCGACTACTACGGAGGTAGTGGAGTGGTGGTACTGGTGGTATTGGCCGCGGACTTGGTGCTTAGTGATGCTTGATGACCCTTTTTTTTCTTCTTTTATAATCGCCGGCCCCAGGCGCCCACCCACGGTAACTCGGTCGAGCGTCGAGGGAGTTGTAAAAGGGAAAAAGGGCCTGCAGCCCGCATACTTGTACATCTATTTATCATTTTATCCTGTTGCCAAGCCCCTCCTCCCACCTCCCACCACAAGCAACCTTCGTCACCGCCCGCCCATCGCTAAAACCACCAAGCTGCCCCACCAACCACCAACCGGCCGACCTCTTCGCTTTCATCTGGAGCTACCTCCGTCCACCTTGGGTCCCTTTCTCTCCACCGCTACAGGCCCATTGTTGATTAGACTGCAATCTTAAAGACACTTTCACTTCCAACCAGAATCAGCACCATGGCCGGCAATGTCGACCTGCGAGACGCTGGCCACGACGATGTTGGGTGTGTGCACGTTTTCCTCATCTCAACTACTTCGGGACACTGCTGACCACCCCTGCCATATCAGAACCGTCGAGCTCAAGAATAATACCGTCATAGTCGTCCTCGGTGCGTCTGGCGACCTGGCCAAAAAGAAGACTGTGAGTATCGATGCGCAGAGCTTCAACATACATTGCGCGCGCGTGCTGACATGCTGCAGTTCCCCGCCTTGTTCGGCCTTGTAAGCTCGGAGCCCATTGTCTTCCCCCTCCCCTGCCCCAATTGACCCAAACCAGTATCGAAACAACTACCTTCCCAACGATGTAAAGATTGTCGGCTACGCACGGACAAAGATGGACCACGACGAGTACCTCAGGCGCGTCCGGTCACACATCAAGACCCCAACCAAGGAGATAGAGAAGCAGCTCGACGATTTCTGCCGCTTCTGCACGTACATCGCTGGCCAGTATGACAAGGATGAATCCTTCATTGAGCTACGGAAGCACATCGAGGAGCTGGAGAACGGCAGGAAAGAGACCAATCGCGTCTTCTACATGGCGCTCCCCCCCAGTGTCTTCATCTCCGTCTCGCAGCACTTGAAGCGCAACTGCTATCCCAAGAATGGCATCGCCCGTGTCATCGTACGTCGTCCTTCCCCACACCAACTCAACACTGCTAATTCCTCCGGACACAGGTCGAAAAGCCGTTCGGCAAAGATCTTGCAAGTTCAAGACAGCTCCAGCGCGCGCTGGCGCCCGACTGGAAAGAGGACGAAATCTTCCGCATCGATCACTATCTCGGCAAGGAGATGGTCAAGAACATATTGATTCTGAGGTTCGGTAACGAATTCTTCGGTGCCACCTGGAATCGGAACCACATAGACAACGTTCAGGTACATAGGAGTCGCACTGCACAAGTTTGGACATTTCACTAACAAGGCACTAGATCTCTTTCAAGGAACCTTTTGGTACTGAGGGGCGTGGAGGATACTTCGATGAGTTTGGTATCATCCGTGACGTCATGCAGAACCGTCAGTGAAACATTGCACGACCATGTGGGGATTTTGGCGCTGACCTTCTCTCAGATTTGTTGCAGGTACTCACACTTCTCACGATGGAGAGGCCAATCTCCTTCTCCGCCGAGGATATCCGTGACGAGAAGGTCCGCGTCCTGCGCGCAATGCCCGCCATTGAGCCTAGGAACGTGATCATTGGACAGTATGGGAAATCCCTCGATGGCACCAAGCCTTCGTACAAGGACGACGACTCGGTCCCCAACGACTCGCGCTGCCCGACGTTCGCATCCATGGTCGCCTATATCAAGAACGAGAGATGGGATGGCGTTCCCTTCATCCTGAAGGCAGGAAAAGCACTGAATGAGCAGAAGACCGAGGTCCGCATACAATTCAAGGACGTCACGTCCGGAATCTTTAAGGATATTCCGCGTAACGAACTAGTCATCCGTGTCCAGCCCAACGAGAGCGTCTACATCAAGATGAACTCGAAGTTGCCCGGCCTGAGCATGCAGACGGTTGTCACGGAGCTCGACCTTACCTACCGTAGGCGGTTCTCGGACTTGAAGATTCCCGAAGCCTACGAGTCCCTGATCCTTGACGCGCTCAAGGGCGATCACTCCAACTTTGTCAGAGACGACGAGTTGGACGCCAGCTGGAGGATCTTTACACCGCTCCTGCACTATCTGGATGACAACAAGGAGATCATTCCCATGGAGTATCCCTATGGTAGGTGTGGCGTGTAATGTACCTTGTGTCGGCCGCTAACATGATGAAGGATCCCGTGGCCCGGCCATTCTGGACGACTTCACAGCATCCTTTGGCTACAAGTTCAGTGACGCTTCCGGTTCGTATCCCCCCTGAAGCTCTATTCTCTATCCTCATGCTAACATGTTCACGCAGGCTACCAGTGGCCTGTGGCCACCATCGGCAATGAAAAGCTGTAACTGCTGTATGCCACTGCACCTTTATGGTTACGGGAAATGTACCAACAGGTGAAGTCATGAATTCAGACCTGCCTTGTGGACTCTGGTAAGGACACGCGTGGAAGTACCGCAGCTACTCATGGCAAAAGAATCAAAATCTTTACAAAATCTCACTGCAAGTTATCTTCTGCGTGTTGTTTCCATTTGTCACTTTCAAGAATATTTCGTGACCAACATGCTGATCGGATAAATGTTCGTACGCATCGACTCTAAAATTATAAATCATCCGCCCGGCAAAACTGAGCGGAATGTCCAAGTTGGTGAGCGAGACCGGAGTCGGAGTCGGAGTTTTCAGCGGGGGTTTCTGTTGTGGCGCAGGTCTTTCAAAGCCTTTTGATTTCACAGCCACAGGACGCGGGGCTCCAGCGGTCCCTAATCCCTAGTGCATTGCATCATTTCCCTTTATTCCCCGTTACGATTTTTTTTGATCTCCTCGACCGCCCAGTCCTTTGAGTCAACCCCCATTTGCAACGCTACGCTACGCTCGGCCCGGAATCGTACGACTAAAAAATAATCAAAACTGGTCGTCTATTGCAAGATCGCTCGCACGGCTTTTTGGTTTTCTGTCATCGCTTTCATCAGAATTACAGTGGGAATCCGTTATCTATTAAACCCCCGCCACGTCCCGCATTCGACGCCCAAGACGCAACGCATCTACCACCAACACCCCGATCTTGAGCACAGCGTACGAAACTACACGAATTAAAACACATTTCCGCCCACCTCCTCGAGATGACCCCTCCGAAGGATATCCCAGGCTCTACGCTGCGAACCGTCTCCACCACGCTGCCCATCAGCACGAGTCCGACGCTGTCCTTCCACAGTCGTTCTGCGAGCTTCCAGTCCCGCTCTGCGCGAGGAAGTTTTGCGGATGGCGGATCAGGTAGTTTTGGCTCACAAGCTCCGACCGTCGCTTCGAAATTGAAGCCCTTCGATACCAAGGACATCAAGGTGCTCTTGCTGGAGAACGTCAACCAGTCTGGTGTCAGCCTGCTGAAGGACCAAGGATATCAGGTGGAGACGTTCAAGGGAAGCCTGCCCGAAGACGAGCTCATCGAGAGGATCCGCGACGTACACGTCATTGGCATCCGCTCCAAGACCAAGCTAACGGAGCGTGTCCTCTCCCAGGCCAGGAACCTCATTGTCATCGGCTGCTTCTGCATTGGGACCAACCAAGTGGACCTGGAATATGCCGCGTCAAAGGGTATTGCCGTCTTCAATTCGCCTTTCAGCAACTCGAGAAGTGTCGCCGAGTTGGTCATTGGCGAGATTATCATGCTGGCTCGACAGCTGGGGGACCGGTCGATGGAGTTGCACAACGGGACCTGGAACAAGGTCAGCAAAGGTTGCTGGGAGATTCGCGGCAAGACCCTGGGCATTGTCGGATATGGCCATATCGGCAGCCAGTTGTCCGTGCTGGCAGAGTCCATGGGCATGAATGTCATTTACTACGACATCTTGACCATGATGGCTCTAGGTACGGCTCAGCAGGTGAAGACTCTGGATGAGCTGCTTGAGCAGGCCGACTTTGTCTCGCTGCACGTACCCGAGACTCCAGAGACGAAGAACTTGATCGGGAAGAAGGAGCTCGACAAGATGAAGACAGGGAGCTACTTGATAAACAATGCCCGTGGTAGCGTCGTGGATATTGCAGCTCTCGTGGAAGTGATGAAGGACGGAAAACTGGCGGGCGCCGCCTTGGACGTATATCCCAACGAGCCCGCAGGGAACGGCGACTACTTCAACAACGAGCTCAACCCCTGGACCAAGGACCTGCAGAGCCTGAAGAACGTCATCCTAACTCCGCACATTGGCGGCAGCACAGAGGAAGCGCAAAGCGCCATTGGATCCGAAGTGGGCCAGGCTCTCCTTCGCTATGTCAACGAGGGCATTACGCTAGGCGCCGTCAACCTGCCCGAGGTGAACCTCCGCTCGGCCGTGACCGAAGAGCCCAACTCGCTGCGAGTTGTCTACATACACAAGAACGTTCCTGGTGTTCTCCGACAAGGTGAGTGGCAGGCGGCAGCATTGACGCGCACTGAGCTAATCTTTCTTAGTTAACGGCATTTTGAGTGAACACAACGTCGACAAGCAAATGTCCGATTCGAGAGGTGATGTCGCGTATCTCATGGCGGATATCAGCAACGTGAGGGAAGACGAGATCAGAAAGCTCTACCAGTCGCTCGAGGATTTGCCATGTAAGTCACCCTCCTGTACCCCTTCTGGGTTCGTAGGTCTGGTCACTAACCCCTGTAATAGCATGTATTCGGACAAGACTACTGTACTAGCAGGGCAGCTCTTCGAAAGCATGGTTTTACTGGCGTTTTTATATATCTTGGAATATAGCAAGACGGCGTTATTTGTGTAAAGAAACTTACAAGGAAAAAGAGGTTGCATTGGATTGTTATCAAGAAAACGGGAGACATTTTCAACCTTGTCTCTGCCTCGTGAAGGATCACAGGCTTCTTCAACTTGGTCCTCTTTCGCATAGTCTAGTGGTGTTGCAACTCTATATCTTTTCAATTTGTATTCAAGACTGTTCTCGAGTTCGGCATAGGTGAGGGCCGATTTACCAAACGGTTTCGATGGTGAAACGTAGCGTGCCCACCAGGAAATACACAGTACGCACGATGATTCAACTTGGCAAATTGCGCTGAGTGATCTCTGAATAATTGTAAGAAGGAAAACGTGTAAGATTGCACTTGGGTACGGTGGATGCGGGAATGCTTCCCAGCACTAGGGAAGTGTCTGAACGGGCGTTCAATGTTGCGAACACCGTCACATGCCCAAGGGAGAGTGGGGGATATGCCTTGCGTATACTCGGGAGCGTAACGACTTGTTGGAGGGAGCACGAGCATGCAAAGGGGATAAATGATAATGCAGGGCTCCGCGCCGATGAAACACGAAACACGACCTGCGGGATTTGGATCCATGGATGGCGAGCGGATGGGCAGGTAACCAGGTTGGTTTGCAACTTTTGACCCCTGAGACTACGGTCGGTCTGGGTAGGCGGTGAGCCTGTGACGCTAAACCCCATGCGGAAACCTGGACTGCGTGAAAGTAGTCCAACGTCGGCCATGCCCTCGTCTGCCATTCCACACCCGCCAGCGCTCCCTTTGCACTTCCTTTCTCCCACGCTCTTTGTGTGCAGCGGGATGCACCATCGTCCTCTGTGACGCCCGTTTATTCCTAGAGAAAAGGAGGATCAAGCACCCCACCGCGACGCTGGGAGCTGGTCGAGGCGCATTCCCGAGCCCTCCGCCCGCGCATAAAGGGAGCACCGCGCTGCTCAACACACGTAGTCGAGGCCCGGACAGGGGAAGGACACCATGTCGCACATCTATGACGTGGGTACGAGGGCGTGGCAGCCCGATGAGAAGGAGGGCTGGGTGGCATCCGAGATTGAGGAGAAGCTGGTTGATGGGGAGAAGGTCAAGCTTGTCTTCCGGCTTCAGAATGGCGAGGTAGGGACACCACTCCGGCTGGAACCATTGGAAATACGGCACGCCGCAGTACGCATCTCGCTAACGCCGTTTTTCGACAGCGCAAAACGATTGAGACGACGCTGGATGCCATCCGTGACGGCAATGACCCCAACCTACCCCCCTTGATGAACCCGGCCATGCTGGAGGCCAGCGACGACCTTACGAATCTCTCACATCTTAATGAGCCGGCTGGTATGCGATTCCCAACTCCATCTGGGCGGGACAATGGCTGACAGCGAGCGCAGTACTCCAGGCCATCAAGCTGCGGTATGCGCAGAAGGAGATTTACACATACTCGGGTATCGTCCTGATTGCAACGAATCCTTTCGCTCGGGTGGACTCTCTCTATGTACCGGGCATGGTGCAGGTGTATGCTGGCAAGCAGCGGTCATACGGTGCGCCGCATTTGTTTGCTATTGCTGAAGAAGCTTTTGCGTAGGTGTCTTCCCTTCCACGCCACTTCTACCTGCCATTGTTTCTGCGTCTCAGATCTCCGTGATGATGAGCCAGCTAATCGTTCACCAGAGACATGTTGCGAGACCAGAAGAACCAAACCATCGTCGTCTCCGGTGAATCCGGTGCCGGCAAGACTGTCAGCGCCAAATACATTATGCGGTACTTCGCGACGAGAGAATCGCCCGATAACCCGGGAAAGCGGAAAGGCAGAGCGGACGCCATGAGCGAGACCGAAGAGCAGATTCTGGCCACGAATCCCATCATGGAGGCCTTCGGAAACGCAAAAACCACCCGCAACGACAACTCCTCTCGTTTTGGAAAATATATCGAGATTATGTTCAATAAGCAAACAGATATCATTGGTGCGAAGATAAGAGTTTATTTGCTGGAGCGGTCGAGATTGGTGTTTCAGCCTTTGAAGGAGAGGAATTACCACATTTTCTACCAGCTCATCGCGGGCGCCACTGATGCTGAGCGCGCAGAGCTGGGTTTGAAGTCCGTCGAGGAGTTTGATTATCTCAATCAGGGAAGCTCGCCGACGATTGAAGGCGTCGATGACAAGGCCGAATTCGATGCCACTCGGAATTCCCTGACTACAATTGGCGTTTCTACAGAAACTCAGGCAGAAATTTTCCGCCTGCTGGCTGCTCTGCTGCATCTCGGAGACATCAAGATCAAGGCGACCCGCACAGATTCGTCACTGGATCCGGACGAACCTGCCCTCGTCAAGGCTTGCAAGCTGCTTGGGATTGACGCCAGCAGCTTTGCGAAGTGGACAGTCAAGAAACAGCTTATAACACGAGGAGAAAAGATTGTGTCGAACCTGACCCAGCAACAGGCCGTGGTTGTACGAGACTCCGTTGCCAAATTCATTTATTCCAGCTTATTCGACTGGTTGGTGGACCGCATCAACCGGGGCCTCGCGACAGAGGAGGTCCTTACGCACGCGCATTCCTTCATTGGCGTCCTCGATATCTACGGTTTCGAACATTTTGCAAAGAACTCTTTCGAACAGTTTTGTATCAACTACGCAAACGAGAAGCTGCAGCAAGAGTTTAACCAGCATGTCTTCAAGCTCGAGCAGGAGGAGTATCTGCGGGAACAGATCGATTGGACGTTTATTGACTTCGCAGATAACCAACCTTGTATAGATCTCATCGAAGGCAAGCTCGGTATTTTATCCCTGCTGGATGAGGAGTCTCGCCTACCGATGGGTTCTGACGAGCAGTTTGTCACGAAGCTGCACCACAATTTTGCGGCAGATAAGCAGAAGTTTTATAAGAAGCCCCGGTTCGGGAAATCGGCGTTTACCGTTTGCCATTATGCCGTCGACGTCACATACGAGTCCGACGGCTTCATAGAAAAGAATAGGGATACCGTGCCCGATGAGCATATGGAGGTTCTGAAGAAATCGACGAATAAGTTCCTCGGCGAAGTCCTGGATGTGGCTGCCTCAATCCGCGAGAAGGAGACCGCCGCGACCGCGTCGTCGAAACCGGGAGCTGCGATATCGGCTGGGCGAAGGATCGCGGTGAACAGAAAACCTACTCTTGGTGGCATCTTCAAGTCATCTCTGATCGAGCTGATGCAGACGATCAATTCGACGGATGTGCACTATATCCGATGTATCAAGCCCAACGAGGCGAAGGAGGCATGGAAGTTTGAAGGTCCCATGGTTCTCAGCCAGCTCCGGGCTTGTGGCGTTCTTGAGACTGTCCGCATCAGTTGCGCCGGCTACCCGACCAGATGGACGTATGAGGAGTTCGCTCTTCGCTACTATATGTTGGTACCGTCATCCTCATGGACTCCGGAAATCCGTGATATGGCAACTGCGATTCTGAAAAAGGCTCTTGGCACTAGCAAGAATGACGGCCGCGACAAATATCAGATGGGTCTTACGAAGATCTTCTTCCGGGCTGGTATGCTTGCGTTCCTTGAGAACCTTCGGACTGCCAGGCTGAACGAAGCCGCGATTATGATCCAGAAGAATCTGCGTGCGAAGTACTACCGACGCATTTATCTCGAAATGCGCGAATCTATCATTCATCTCCAGTCTTTGGCGAGGGGATATATGACTCGGGAGCGTGCAGAGGAAGCAAGGCAGATCAAGGCTGCAACTACCATTCAAAGAGTCTGGCGCGGATCGAAAGACCGGAAGAGGTTCCACATGGTCCGGAATTCGGTCATCCTGTTCCAAGCAGCTGCGAAGGGCTATCTGTGCCGTAAGCGCATTCTGGATTCCCGGTTGGGCAACGCTGCCAGGATCATTCAGCGCAACTGGCGGTCACAACGATCACTCAAGGCATGGAGGCAGTACAGGAAGAAGATTGTCATCATCCAGAACCTGTGGAGAGGAAAGAAAGCTCGTCGCGAGTACAAGGTTCTCCGTGCCGAGGCTCGCGATCTCAAGAATATCTCGTACAAGCTGGAGAACAAGGTTGTCGAGCTTACACAGTCGCTGGGTACCATGAAGTCGCAGAACAAGGCTCTGCAGTCGCAGGTTGAGAATTACGAGGGCCAGATCAAGTCATACAAGGAGAGAAGCCGGACCTTGGAGGCGAGACAGAAGGAGCTTCAGGCCGAAGCCAACCAGGCTGGTATCACGGCTGCGAGGTTGAGCGCTATGGAGGAAGACTTCAAGAAGCTGCAAGCTAGCTACGATGAAAGCACTGCCAAGATGCGTCATTTGCAAGAGGAGGAGAAGCAACTACGTGCTACACTCAAGAAGACTACCGATGAGCTTGAGCAGGCGAAGAGGAGAAGTAACATCAGCGAATCGGAGAAGATGACTCTTCGACAGCAGCTCGCCGAGCTGCAGGACCAGGTCGAGATGTTGAAGCGTTCAGGCCCCATTCCGGAGATCACAAATGGTCATCCTGTCCTTGGAGCCAGCAGCCTGATCAACCTGGTCAGCTCCAAGAAGCCGAAGAGGCGCAGTGCTGGACCGGACACGCGCGACCTAGACCGCTTCAGTCTGACATACAGCCCCAGACCTGTCTCTATGGCCGTCGGCTCCACCGTCCACCGGCAGAATCTCTCTGGCTCGACGTTCAACCCCAACCTGGATAACGTGGAACTGGAGCTTGAGAACATCCTGGCCGATGAGGATGGCCTGAACGACGAGGTTACACTTGGCCTCATCAGAAACCTGAGAATCCCGTCGCCCACTACTACTCCTCCTCCGACCGATAAGGAGGTCCTCTTCCCCGCCTACCTCATCAACCTCGTCACCTCTGAGATGTGGAATAATGGATTTGTCAAGGAGTCTGAACGTTTCCTTGCCAACGTGATGCAGTCCATCCAACAGGAAGTCATGCAGCACGACGGCGACGAGGCTATCAACCCCGGCGCCTTCTGGCTGTCCAACGTCCACGAGATGCTGTCCTTCGTCTTCCTTGCCGAGGACTGGTATGAGCAGCAGAAGACCGACAACTACGAGTACGACAGGCTGTTGGAGATTGTCAAGCATGATCTCGAAAGCCTGGAGTTCAACATTTACCACACGTGGATGAAGGTTCTTAAGAAGAAGATGCATAAGATGATTGTGCCTGCAATCATCGAGTCCCAGTCTCTGCCTGGTTTCGTCACGAACGAAAGCAACCGCTTCCTTGGTAAGCTCTTGCAGACCAGCAATGCACCGGCCTTCAGCATGGACAATCTCCTCAGCTTGTTGAACAATGTATACAAGGCCATGAAGGCGTACTACCTTGAGGACTCGATCATCACCCAGACGGTCACAGAGTTGCTTCGTCTTGTGGGCGTCACCGCTTTCAATGACCTTCTCATGAGACGCAACTTCCTCTCCTGGAAACGCGGCCTCCAGATCAACTACAACATCACTCGCATCGAAGAATGGTGCAAATCCCACGACATGCCCGAAGGCACCCTCCAGCTCGAGCACCTCATGCAGGCCACCAAACTGTTGCAACTCAAGAAGGCTACCCTCAATGACATTGAAATCATCCAGGACATCTGCTGGATGCTGTCGCCGAACCAGATCCAGAAGCTGTTGAACCAGTACCTCGTGGCGGACTATGAGCAGCCGATCAACGGGGAGATTATGAAGGCGGTGGCCAGTCGAGTGACGGAGAAGAGCGATGTCTTGCTCCTGACGGCGGTGGATATGGAGGATTCGGGCCCGTACGAGATTGCGGAGCCCAGGGTTATCACGGCGTTGGAGACGTATACGCCTTCTTGTAAGTGCCTCTCTTCCAAAATCCGCTGCTCAGGGAAGCGGGACCCGCGCAGTGCAGACAGTTTAACTGACATGATGGAATAGGGCTGCAAACTCCGCGCCTCAAGCGCCTAGCGGAAATCGTCTCCCAGCAGGCCATCGCTCAGCAGGAGAAGATGGAGTATGCCGAGGGCGACGGCGGCCAGGGGGAAGGAGGCGCTGATGGCGATGCCGACGCGAATGACGGCGGATATAATGGCAGCAGGAGTGGGGTCAATGGGCAGACGTTGGCGCTTCTGGAGGAGGAGGCGACGGCGTGATGATTTTTAGATAGTGGTTGGTTGGTGGGGGTCCTTGTTTTGGATGTTTGTATTCAGCGGAAATAGGAGAAATGGTAGATTAGTGTTGAGGGCCTCTTTGTCTTTTGGATTGTGCGTTGGACTTGGTTGCGTGTGTATGTTTCAAGGTGGGGTTGGGCGTGTGTCCTACTCTTCCCCCTGTTGAAAAGGGTGGTTAAGTTGGAGAGGAGTGTACTGCCTCTGTTCACATCCGACTGAACACGACCGTGCGCGTAGGGGTCATTGACCTTCCAATTGGCCCTTTCTGCGCCTCCCTCCAGGTATAACCAGTCTTAAAACACCGTGCTCTAGTGGCGTAAACCAGACTGTGGCCAATTGAAATGGTTGAATTAGGTGATCTAACTCAGAGCAGCCGTACAAGGGGCTGTTCAGTCGGATGTGAGAGAGCGCAGTAGAGAGAATGAGGATGGGGTTCTCGGCATGCTACGTAGTTGAAATGTGACAGCGAACTTGGTGTTGGAAGGATGAGAGAGTGACGCGGCAGAGGCAGGAATTGCCGACACGGCTAGGCTCGCCAGTCTCGGCCGAGGCGGTCACGTCTATTGCTTCACCGTCTCTTCACCATCTGCCATCACCATAGTAGCCTACTCTTCACTGTCGCTTTTTCTTGAAAAAAAATTGATCATACTACGCGTCTTTCATTTAAATTTACGCCCCTTGGCAGTTCATGATACTATCCTCTTTCATTTACCACCTTCAGAAAGTATCAGGAAACAAGAATTATAGGTACATGTCAAGTCCACCCCAGAGCGCTGCTGCATCATCAGGCCCTTCTTTTGAAGAACCCTTACCAGATTGGATGAATCACGGTTTTGGTGTAGCCAGCAGCCGCTGAAACACTGGAAAAGCCGGGCTCGTCGTTTGCCTGGAATGGACGCTGGCATCCGCTGTTTGCAATCGACGCAGCGGGACTGAGACACCCTTAGTCAATCACCCGTTGGGAGTGAGAGTGACCTGGTCTTGCGCTCTTCTGTTCGCGGTTGGCCATCATAGCCAACAGTGGCTACCACGTACCCTACGGTGAACGCTCCTCACTCCGCCGCTGAAACAGACGATTTCCAAACCGAGAGCCCAGCAGTTCCTCCCTGTCCATCTGCCTTGGGCCTTTCATCGAACACCTGGCTGGCTGGCTTGAGTGGCTTTGAAGATGGACATGGATTTGCTGGAATGCCCGCTCTGCCCTTTCTCCGTCCTCAAGAAAGACAATTATGTTTTGCAACTGCACTTCGAGCAGATTCACACCGAGGATAGCCCTTTCCGAATAGAGAATGACCCAGAACCGCTACCACCTGCTGTCGTGCCAGAAAAGCCGTCCCCAACTTCCTCAAACGACGGGGACACGCCTTCCGACCTTGAAGACGAAAACAGTGTGCTATGTCCCGAGCCCGACTGCCGCGAGGTCATCCTCCTTTCCGACTTCAACACCCATCTCGACTTGCACGCCGCAGCAACCTTATCATTTGACGAGACTACCGGAAAGTATCATTCTCAGCCACCGGCCAGCAGCAGTATGCAATCATCATCGAACAAGCACATCAACATCACTCTTAAGTCAGGTACGAAAGCACCTTCATTCCTAACGCGGAACCTCGGCAATGCCACTCCGTCGAGCCCGTCTCGCCGCGCCGACGAGGATGCGCGCAAGCTGAAGAAGAAGTCTCCGAAGAGTAGGGGCAACTCTACTGGGAGCGAGAAGAGTACGCTGTCGAGGAGTATTGCCGCTTTTAATCCGTTCACCAAGGCGCATTCGGTCAGAGCTTCGCAGAATACGGCTCGTCTGGGGGTAGGTCTAGTCCCGCATGTTCCTCTTGATTGCCTTTTCTTACCTTACCCGCAGAGAGCAGAGCTGGGCCCTCACGCTTGGGAAGATCGCATGCCGAAGTGGTTACACGATCAGCTTGCGAATGGCCCTAAGATCACCATTGTCAACCGCATCGGTCGCGATGGCCGCCTCATCAAGCAGGAGCACGTCCAGAACGAGACGCCCGGTATCATCCCCATCCTCGCGCAGCTGTCCGCCCTGGACCGCACAGTTAAGCAGGCGTATTACTGTCATCCGTCTACCCTCCATATCGGCAAGACTCCCAAGGAAGGCGGCTTCTGCGGCTATCGGAATATCCAGATGCTCATCTCGTATATTCAGGGGGCGCGTGCGCAGGGTCTAGAAGAGTTCCCTGGTCGTACGCCGGGTGTGCTGAAGCTTCAGGACATGATTGAGAGGGCCTGGGATAAAGGTATCAATGAGATTGGTCGCCAGCAGACAGGTGGTATCCGAGATACCAGGAAGTATATTGGCACTCCAGAGGTATTATGCCATCACTCGTTCAAACGGGGCTCGGGACCACTGACGGTTTGCAGGCTCAGGCTTTATTCCTCAGTTGTCAGATTGACTGCGCCGTTGAGCTGTTTACCGACTCGCCCGACGGCCATATTGAGGCCCATGAACAACTTCTCTATGCCATCGAGTCATACTTCAAGCAAGCCCCCGTCCGGTCTGACGGCTCCAACGTCTGCAAGACGCTGCTCCCGCCTATCTATCTTCAACAGCCCGGTCATTCAGTCACCATCATCGGTTTCGAACGCCGCAAGGACGGGTCTACTAACCTAGTTGTGTTTGACCCGATGTATCAGACTAGTCCCGCGATGCATGCTTTGCTCGGACGAAGGAATATAAAGACCCCACGACCGGAAGTCCTGCAGGCGTATCGGCGGGGCACGAGACAGCTGGGGAAGCATGCTGCTTTCGAGTGTCTGATGTGCGTGTAAATGCCTTGCCGTTTAATACTGCCCATTTACTGATTTACATGTAGGCTTACGGCGTTTCCACCACTGTTCCCCGCTTGGGATGTATGATACTCATCCTCTGCACCTGACTTTTTTCTTTTTCCCTCCGTCATTGCACGCATATACCCTTGCACTCTGCTATCTAGATGAATATATACCTTGTGCCTATGATGCACAGCACACATACATGCCTTCTCTCACGCCCCTGCCGCTGGAGGGTTCGAGGCATCATTTTGGATTGCTAAACATATCTGAGTAGGTTCTCCGCCAATTCCCTGACTGTCGCTATGTCTACGCTTTCTTCCGCTCCAAGACTCTCGGCTACGACGTATATCCCGAAGACCATTTCCTGCGTAACTTTCCCTGGCAGCAATACGGCGGGCTTTGGATCATTGACGATGCCCGCTTCGCGCGAGCTGAGAAGATGAATCCTCTGGTCGCTCAAGCACTTCGGCGCATTACTAGCGAGGGCGCTCTGTCTCCGGTCAGTGCATATACTACCAGCAGCGGATCTTTGAGCAGCGGCTCTGTGCATCATACCCTGGGCCAGTTTACGGCGAATATGCATGGAATGGGGGCATCTACAATGCCCAGCAATCAGTTATCCGGGTCAACGTTGTTATCCTTCTCGGATGGCACGCAGAGCCACACACAGAGTGCTGAGAGCAAGGAGGTGCTCAACATGGTCGGCATGCATCCAGCGCCAACGATACCGGCACCAGAAATGTTCGTTCAGGGTCCTCAGTTCTCACAGCGTTACCCTGGCTATCCATTCCCGGCTTCTCCCACCCCCACTGCGAAGGGCTGGTATCCCTCTCCAACTTCTGGAAGCAGGCCCCTTTCACCGTTGACACAAGCTAGCCCGCTGAGTGCGAATGAGTCCGATATTGGTGATCCGTTGGAAGGAAGCACATCTCCTAGCTGCAAGCACCCGTGCGACTCTCAGGTCAAGCGCCACGACTCTATCCATTCACGCGGGCAGTTGAACAATATCGTCAACCGGGCTGTCGAGTATGTAGCAGCTGCCAAAATGGGCGGAACAAGCATTGCGTCGCCACCCCGTTCCGGCTCACCATCCCCGAAGAGCCCAGGAAGTCCTCCGCGCCCGGTCTCTCCTCGCACAACGATGCTCAAGAACATGATGGGAAAACTTAACTTTCGAGACCTCGGTCTGAACTCCTCGCTTTTCTCGCAACCAGGTCAGCCTTTCGTCGACCCCGCAACATATATTAGGGGCGCAGGAGAGCTCTCGACGATGGCCCTGCCCAGTGGGTCCGCGTCCTCTGCATCTCCACCCGTCATTGAGATTGCGAACGGTATCGAGGTGTCAGAAGTTTCTCCAATCTCGCCGGCGGGAACAATGCTCAGGTATACCAGCCATCGGCCGGTGGATTCGGGTTTGTTGGCGCTGCGGCCTCTGTCTGAGGCGCAGGTTGCCGAGTACAGATTCTGGAGGCCTTGCGGAAGAAGGGTTTGTGCTTTTGGATGTGGGAGTGCGAATGAGGGAGAGGTCATGGCTGCCAGGAGGTTGTTTCGAGATGCGGAGGAAGTTGTTCCTGACGATGAGGAAAAGGTGGCTTGAGAGCATCTGGCCTCAGAAGAGGGATGGCTGAGGCTAGGTGCGCAGGTTTTGCTTGCGTCTATTGTTTCTTTTGTTTCTTTTGCTTTTCTCTTGATTGGTTATGTTTATGGAGGGAAGGGGCAGAACGGGTGAGGACGGTGCTTTTGGATAGAGGAAGGGGATTAGAGGGGGTGGATATGCTGTGGCTGGCTTGGTCCATTGATACACATTCTTTAGGTTTCTGCTTTGCTTGACGAATCAATCAGTCAAACGTGCCCTTTTGGCAAAACAGTTGAGCAGTGAGTGTACTACGTCTGGTGGCGATGTCGGGGGGAGGTTACGAGGCTCTCATAGCTCGGAAAGATAGGAGAAGTTGTTGTCGTAGGAGTAGAATTCCCTTTTACAGAGGGGGAGACGCTGCCCTCGAGGAGGATGTGTATAGCCAGTGGGAAGGTGGTTTGGGCCCGTGTTAGACTCCCTAAGCCTTCCGAATGGCAACGCGGAAGGTAGATATCTATACAGATATGATGGCAATGCTCACTACGACGTCGGTTGCAAAATGGCAAATGGTGTGCCGTACGGTGCAGGAAATCAAGGCACTTGCTCCTTGTGGTCACAAGCTGCGCGTTTCCTGAAGCTGGTTGCCGAACTATATCTTATACCCAGGGGTATCCAACGTTTTCAACCAGACGCCAAACACCCTAACCTCTCTTTGTAACTAGTGCTATGTTGGAAATCCCTGATGCAATGACCCAGATGGTCCATATGCATCTGTATATGTCGCATAAACTTTTCAGTCACTGTCATCGTCGCTTCCGTAGCCGACTAGCGGTCCACTTGCGGGTGCCGCCTTTGGTGCCGCGGATGTAGCCTTGAACCCCCTCAACGCGGCGAGCGTGGAGCTGGATAGGATGCCATTCCCATTCTCCTGCTGTTGGGCCTGCTGCTGCTGCTGAGGCATCGGCGTCGTATATTCTTCCTCCTCCTCCACCTCCTCCTCATTCCCTTCCCCGCCTTGGGCCCCTTCGATCATCAGCCTCTCCCCAACTCCTTCCACCCTCTCCGGCCCAAAACTTCCCTCCACCTTCCTCCTCTTGCGCTGCTCAGGCACGCGGCCCTCAATCTCGGCGACGTAGGCTGCGGGTAAAGCTTTGCGAATCGCCTCGGCGGCCTGCTCCTCAAGACGGCGGGCTTCGCGTTTCTGGGCGGCCGGGTTGGGATCGACGGTGGCCCAGCGGACGTTGAGAATCTCCGAGTGGTCGAGGGCTTGGTGGTCCATTGCTTCTTTGGCGAACTGGGAGTTTGCTGTAAGAAAGAGAAGAAATGGGTTAGCGAAATGACAAAATCCCAAAAGTGGGGGAAATTCATGAAACTCACCCTCGTTCATGTACGTCACGAACGCCACTCCTCGCGCCGTCAGCACTCGGATCCTCTCAATCTGGCCCCACTCCTGGAAATGCCTCGCAACAATCTCCTCAATGTCGTCCGTGACGTGGATCCGCCCGACATACAGCGTCCGATTCTGCCTCTGGAAGCTCCCCACGCCGCCCATGTCATCGCGGTAATCGCTAAACTTGTCCCGCCCGAAACAATCCACGTTGCTGGGGAAAATGTCCGTCACCGTGGGCAGCCGATGCAGGTACTCGCAATCCACGCCCCGGGGACACAGGCCCCGCGCGAAGTGCAGGCAGAAGTAGGAACCCGGGATGGAGTCAGCCTTCGTGTACCCGCTGTCCCGCGCGATGACGCATCGGCCCTGCGCGGCCGTCTGGTTCAGGTAGCTGTCCTCGCGGTCGCCGCCGCTCCACTTGTTGTACCAGATGTTGAAGATTGTGCCCGTCGGGGGCGGTGTGGCGGGCTTGAAGGTCGCCGGGTCGACTTGTGGGCGGGCCGGCCGGCGTTTGCGGCGGATTATTACTTTTTTCTTCTTGGGCTCCGTGGTCGTGGTGAGGGCTTGCGCGTCGGATGACGGGGGGTCGTTGGTGAGGTCCATGGTTTGTTGTTGTTGATGCTGTTGTTGCTCGGCTTCGGAGGTTGTGTCTACGGGTGCGGAGGTGGTGGTAGTCGCAGGAGGAGTGTCGACTTCGGCCATGGTGGTGGGAGGCGCGAAGCGGCGCGAGATGGGATGGGACTGGAATGGAAACCGGGTGTGCAACGGGAGATATTCCGCCGTAGGAGCAAGATTCGGTATGGGAGTGAGAGAGAGCTGGGGGTGTGCTTGGTTCACGCTGGATGTTGTTGAAAGATGAAGCTTTCGATGTCGGACGTTTAGGATGCGGACTTGGCGACCACCAGATTGCGCCACAGGTGGCTGGCATATGCAGATGACTAAGCACTTTATTTCTAACGTGTTTGATCACTCATCCGGCCAGATCACTCATCCGGCCAGCCCACCAAAACGCTCGTGTTTTCTTGTACAATAGCTCTACGCCACTACGATAAAATATATAGTAAATAGATCTATTAGATGCGCGCTATCTAGCAGTACATTGAGTTCTTCTATGACCTTGTTCATGGCATTTGCTGCAGGTTGGTGGTGCTCGAGGCCTACTTGGCTGCCCCACCTGCTCTACCTGCTGGAGCACCCTTTCTGCCTCTGCAGCAAGCAATTGACCTTGCTCTGCCCGTAGAGCTCCTCCACAGGCTATATACTGTCGGTGCTGCTGCTCCTTACGCTGCCAGCGCTGACTAGCCTGTCGAAGCTTTCTATTCTTCTCTGCAAGGATCGTTACTGAATTCATTGCAAATTGACAACCTTTGACAAGCTGGCGGATAGCCTGAGTAGTAGGACTCTGAGAAGGCCGATGAAGGTGGTCCTGGATAAGTCGAGCCTGCTGCTCTAGCTGAGCAATAGTATGTGGTATCTCTGCTATCCATGCGACCTCAGCATTGGCCGCTGTCCCTGGTGGAGACGGCATCCTGATCACTGTTAGTGATGACAAGACACGTTCTGGATAGGCTGGGACTAGCTCTGTCGCCCGGAAGCCAGCCTGGATATTCTGCTCTGAGAAGACTGTCGTTCTGATACCTGGATATATCTGTAGAAAGTCCTGCTTGTCAATATGGAAGATGTCTTGTCATGCAAGCTCAGAGACCTGATGGCCATATGCACACTTGAGAGGTGAGAAACAGCCAACATCAAGTGGCTGTAGGAGGTGCGATATATGTGGTGGTATATAGAGCATGATAATTTTGTTCTCTTTGCAGAACTGGTCAAACTCAGGTGTTGCGTGGCTGCTGTGGCCATCGAGGATAAGCAAGTGGTAGATGCCTACTACGTAAGGCCCTGTATGTCGATAGAAGTACTTTACCCACTTAAAGCCAAGCTCATCAGTCATCCAGCCATTGTCGCTAACAGCGATAACTCACTCAGGTAGGAGGCCTTCATACCAGCTAGCCTGGTGGAGCTTTCCAAGCAGAATGATGAAGGGTGGGATAGACCAGCCAGACGTATTGATATACTCGATTGTCATTACCCACTCTCGATCACCTGGCTGTATAGTCACTGCCCGGCCGACTGCCTCAGAGCTTGTAATGACTTTTGATGTCGCAGCGATCCCCATCATAAAGCCAATCTCGTCAAAGTTGTAGATATCTATGTCTAAGATGCCATACGACTGACACGTCTCCTCTACAAGCTCGAACCATGCGCGGATCATGACTGGGTCCTCAGATCTTGTACGCTGTGAGTGGAACTTGCGATTCCACCTTGTCTGGAGCTCTGCCTGGCGGTTAATGAAGCGGGACACCCACTTCTGGCTGACTGGTGGGGGAGGAGGTTCCTGGCCATGCGCAGCGAGTAGATTGTCTGCCATTCGTCATACATCGATAATCTGGGGCAGAAATCCTCATCAATCAAGGTCTAGGATCCAATCTACTAGAGACTGCTCCTCTGTAGGGTGTAGCTTTCGTTTCTGTGCGTTGACAAGAGCTTGCGGGAGGGAGCCGTTGATGCGATCTTGGAGAGTAGACCGAGGGATACTATACAACCTAGCTAGCCTGCGCTGGCTTAATTTTTGGCTTATTTGAAAGGCCTGTTTCGCAAGAGCAAGCCTACCCTCTTTTTGAGCTTGCTGGGTGCGCTGGGTGGGTGGCATCGCGAGTGTTGTGAGAAGACGCGTCGCGTTTTTGGTGGGCTGGCCGGATGAGTGATCTGGCCGGATGAGTGATCAAACACGTTACTTCGGACTTCAAGTGAACGCGTCGTACTTCATCGATCGACCTGTGATTGAATTCGGGCTTCGCTGGCATATTCGATCGATGACCCTTGCAATACGCTTCACATTGTCTCACTCACATCTGCAGCCTTGTGCGAGACGACACTGGGAACAAAGTAGCACAAGTCATGCGAAAATGAGGCAAAGCACAGATCCAGATTGGCGATCTTGAAATAATGTTCTAGAAGATGGAAAGGTGTCCTGGGTTGCGCCGTGACAGCGGCCTTCCCTAAATCTGCAATTCTATTGTGTAATGAGTTAGGCCACCAGAAGGGAGCCTCTTGGTAGTGCAGAGGAAGAAAAGGCCAGATAGACTCCGTGAGGGATCGGTAACGAACACGAGTCTCCAATACCTAGTCGGAGCCCGCAAACCAAGGGTGTGCCAACGCCTGGTGCGCCGTGATCCGCTTCATAGGGTCCAGATTCATCATTCCCTGAATGAGATCTTTGAACGCTCGTCGTCAATGTCTGGCCAATTCGAAAATGGTTCGTACGGGATGCAGTCCTCGTTTCGGTCTTCCCAAAGCATCTGCAGGATCTGGCAATTCACTTCCTCGTCGCCGACGTGCTCTATGAGCCCATTCAATCCTTCTTGGTCGCCAAAATACGAAACTTGACGCTGCAAGTGAATGAAATCAGGCTCTACACCCTGCGCTTGATGTTTTCGAAAATCGTCGTCAACCCCGAATATAACACGTCCGAGCATAGCATAGATGCACTAAGGATGTCAGCGAGGAACTCTATCCGGGTCAAACACACTTACGACAGCTCCAAACGCGAATATGTCAGCCGGTCTGTTGAGCTCGCCACAGAAATGCGCCTCTGGACCGCGCCAATTGTCATTTCCGAGCAGCATCCCCTTAATGCACCTGTCTATTGGCAGGTAGGCCGCATCTTCAATGTCAGCCACCTGCGCCTGTTCCATGATGGTCTCTCCATTGATGTTGTGGCAGTTAACCAAGATATTGTTGGGTTTGAAATCTAAGAATGATTAGCTTTGCACAATGACCTCGTGAAAAGCAACAAGTTGCTTAGTTTACCTAGATGGACGATATCTCGGTCGTGCAATTCGACAATCCCTCGCAGACTGCCCTTTAGAATTTGTTTCCTCGCATGCATCGGAATCTGCTTCCTAACAAGGCTCAGAAAGTCATCGGTCAGGTATTGTATACAAGTATGCAGTTGCCGGGGAATATGTTCTTATTGAAGTATGTTAACATGGCTGGAGGAATATCTTTCAAGACAAATTTATCATGCCCCGATCTGAAATATCATCAGTTCACGCGTTGAATGATGCGGGTGCAAAGGATGATCGGGCGTTGCCAACCGGACGCGAACCACGTGCTGTCTCACTTGGATCAACTGTTTGAAGATATACCGACGTCCGGTAGCACCAACTAATCCCTTAGTGGCCGATGCCACCTTGACGCTCGTTTGTAGCATGCTGTTGTTGATGATGGCTGATCAGACTTCCCATTGCTGAATGCCTTGTGAGCTGGGTGGAGACGAGAGCCTCGAAGATACTGCTTTGACGCGTAGTGTAGCCGGCCGCCACTGGGCGTCACGTACTTGAGCTAACCAACAGATCAAACAGAAATAACTCCAAGCATCATACCCCGCGTGTCTATCCCCTAGCAACCTAACAGCCCCATATGTATAGCGTCCATGTGGCTGTTGACCTACAAATTAAATCTCCATCAACACCTCAAAAGTACCGGATTGGATTGTTTATCAAGCACTCCTGGATCCCCCACTAGTGGCAGGCACATAGTAATCATAACTGCGTCGGGCAGCACCCTGCTGATCAGAATCATACTCGCCGGAACCACGCTGAGCAGGACCATACTGACCAGAACAAGGATGAAACTCCCCAGGAAAAGAATTCTGCCACTGGTTTGCGCCACCGCCATTGGAAGCCCAATGTTGTTTTGATGAACACGGTGTCATTGTGACCACCCACACCTTGTCATTTATTGAAGCCGCTGTTAGAGCTCCTACATATTTTAGGCAGAAAATAATGCTATCCTTTGACGCTTTTCCGCCTTCTGCGTCTCTACCTTTATCTGCTATCCTTTTTTCCCTCTCATTTTCACGGCGTTTGAAGTTGTTACCCCAGCGAAGTTTTCTAGGAGCAGAATGTTAAGTGTGCGCCTTGCTTTCTGTATTCACGCGGACACGCAGAATATACGCCTGTTAGATATGCAACTACCAAACCGTGCTACGATTAGATGTCGCAAAATATTACTCAAAGCGGACGGGAGTTCCCAAATCATGTTATTATATAATTTAGATTGGACGTACTAAGCTTAACAAGTTATGGGCCTACTGGATTGCGCCGTGCATACATAAGCAGTCACCTGGTGAATTGTGATTCCGGTAAAGCTCCAATTCCCCGGCATGCCCACTACTTATTACCGCTGTGCTGTCCAAAACGGTCCCTGCCACATTCCAATCTAATCATCGGTCAAGTCTATGGATTGTGGCATCGCATGCCATGGGTAGCCTATCACTCATGGGTCACCCGCCGACCGGTGCGATCGACGACGACATGAGGCTGTCGATGGTCTTGGACACTGACTTCCCAAGGTCGTCTTTGTTGACCGATAACACGAGGTTGCCTAGACGGCTGAACAAAAACTTGGGACTCCCTATCCTCAGCAACGGTAGCGCGTGGTGGATTCCGTGATTGTGCGAAGATTATGTTGCTAGCGAGTTCTGCCCTCGCACGAACCTCACCGAAGAAATGCATAAGATCTTCTCTAGAATGTCCCGATTGAGCGAGAAATGCGCTGAAACAAAGTTCCACGAGCTGATCTGACAGAGCCCGTAGTCTTGCCAGGTAGGAAGTTGACTTCCGTTCATCCACCTTGCGCGCCGCAGGCACAGCCGTGAAAATCAGAAGTCTGATATGGTCGAAGTCCAATCCTGGATATCGACGGGGCAACATTTCAGGGTGCTGATCCGGGTGATCTCCCAACCATAGGGAGATAATTCGGCTTCCTTCGCGACTATATCCCAATGTACCCGTCCCGCGCGCCTGTTTGAGCAACGTGTACATTGGATCACTCTGGATTTCATTCCCGATTCTTTCCACACCTTCCTGAATGGAGTCCAACGCCACCTTAATGGGGTCCTGGGCACGCTGAAGTGAACGGCGTCCTACAGATTGCAACGACATCGTGTGCCGTAACCGGATGAAGGATGGTCGAGCGCTTATTGATGCTAATGTTAATCGTTCAGTGGTTTGCTCTCTGAGTATTAGCAGAGATGTAAAGTTGATAGTAAGAAAAGTCCTGTACGTAGAACGCGCAAGAAATATATACCCCTGGGGTAACTGTGACGTTTTCTACATTTCCCAAAGTGACGCATAGTTTATAATCGGGGGATTCAAACGCTGGCAGTGAAAATCCACGACTAGGTTCTGGTGAATGTCACTGTTGAGTTATGCCATTATCATTTAAACACATTGAAGTGTCAAGTGAAACCTACCAAGACACGATCATGTCTTCAGCGTTCGATCGGGGGCAGGTACTACGTGATTGAAGGGGTTATCAAGGCCTTGGTGAATTTTTTGAGATGAATTCGAAAAGTCAAGTTCTGGTGCGTTCCAGTGGATGATCACTCGCTGTGGTGTAGTGCCGTATTTTAGTTGCCGTTCCCGTTAAATCCAGAAATGCCCCATTTCACGTCCGACTGAACAGCAAGGGGCCGCAGGGGTGTAGCAGACGCTGTGATCGGCTTCATAGCGCCGCGATCCAGGTATAATCAGCCCTAAAACAGCGTGCTTCAGTGGCTTACTTAAAATGTGACCAGTTGAACTGTTTGTAGTGGGCAATCTAGCTTGGAGGACAGGGAGATGTTCAGTCGGATGTGAAAAGGTGCAGTAAGCTCTACTCGAATTTGAGTGTATTGACAGCAATGAACGGCTGCGATTCACCAAAGCTCCAGTCGCGCGTGATGCTGACATTGAGGCCGCGAATGTATCATTCTTCAAAGGACTTATTCTACACTTACCCACATTCCGAGCGCGAAAGTTGGGTGCTAGTCATATGACCTATTTTTGATTCACAACATCCTGTCAATCAAGTGAAGGCATTGGAAGGTATTCATAGAATTACACAACTACTTTACAGCGGTGCTAACGAGCAGATGGCCGTCCTTTGCAATTCTGCGCATTGCTAATCGCAATCATTTCAGGAAACTTCCTTTCGCCATTTTCCTTTTTTTTTTTTCCTTTTTTTTTTTTTTTTCCTTTCCTTTTTCTGTTTTTCCTTTGGGAAGAAAACGAGAGTTAAGAACAGAAGGGCCGGACGGCTCGAATAGAAGCGAAATCGAAAAGAGACAGAACAAGAAAAGAAAAGAAAGAGAGCAAGTCTGGTCTTGATCTCTGGGGCATGATCAACTGTAATGTTCATACACAACGCACCCTCTCGTCCACCGATCATTCCTTACTCCCCCTCCCCCCCGACTCCAATGGCATAGATATTCAAGCACCGTCCACAGAGAGGGAGTATCCGTCCACATAGAAACTGTCGTCCGCGTTTGGGGCGGGTTCCTCGGCCTCAGTAGGGTCATGCACACCTTGATCTCCCGCCTGCTGCAACTCGAGTGTTTGCATTTCCCAGCTCGGAACTGCGAGGGCGGAGACGGGCTGCGGCGGTTCATTGAAAAGCTCCGAGAGCGCTCTAGACTGAGGCGTCGTGTTACCGAGAAGAGCCGGTGTATCACCGAAAATTCCATCGTGATAGTCGCTTCCACGGGCATTTCCGGACTGACACTGCCGGAACTTGAAAGGGCAGCCCAAGTTGGAAACGCCAGTGTTGAAAGCCTGGGATGCTGGGCTGGAGGTAGACATGAAAGCATGATGGGGTGCATGAGCCTTGTTAGCTTCGAATGTCGGCACACGTTCTCCGGCGGCGCCTCCATTCATCCGTGAAGAGTAGGCTGCCATAAGAGCCGCTTCCGGGTTGACGAAGGACGGAGCTTTTTCGGTGGTTTCATCTGGAGATACGAGCTGTTGCTTGGAGTCGTCGTCGGAAGGGGAGCCAACTCTGCCAGGCTGCTGTCCATTCGTGTAGCGGACGAGCTGACTGTCCATGGTCAGCGCATTGCGTGCAACCAGAGAGTCGTGATTATCTCTAATTCCCGAAATACCGTTGATAGGGCACAGGGAATGATATTGGTGAGCAAGCCGATTCCTCATGACAGGCTTATGGCTCTGTAGAGGGTCCTTGCTTCGCGGAGTTCCATTGTTTTGCGAAGGCTCAATGCTATTGACGGGATCATTTTGATCCCTAGTATGAACCAGATTATTGTTGGCAAAGTTCATGTAATAGTCGTCGATGCCGTGAGGATGGAAACTACCCGTGGCAGTCATCGTGGGCTGAATACTGGGAAGGTGATAGTACTGGTTGTAACCAGCGAAAGTTGTGTTTTCATTATTCGTGCTCCCCTCCGGGACAGCTTGAGCTTGATTATCGGGAAAACCGCTATAGTCCCGCATATCCGTATCCTGTGCTGCAAGGCCTCCGAAAATTGGAGGCTGGGTCCAGCGAGAGTCAGTGACATAACTGGCCATAGATTTCCCATGAGAGTCCATTGAGACATTTTGCGTTGGTTGCGAGGTTATGGAAGAGACGCAATGTTGAACATTGTTGCCAATATTGTTTTGCTGGCGACGTCGGCGAGAATTCATGCGTACTTCTGGATCAGACTCAGTCGGCTTCACTGGCAAATGATTCGCGGACATGGATCGTCGAACGTTTCCGATTCGAGTGGGGGTCTCTTGGACACCAGACTCTGGGTTCGCCCGGTGATCGCCGGGGGAATGTGTGGCCAGTGAAACTTTGACTGTGCAGATACTCGTCTGCACTTCCTGATCTTTTGTTGGCTTGCGCCGAGGAGTGCGCCACACTACCTTGACTTTTTCCTGTTCATTGAGGTTCGTGGTGGTGCCGCCGCTGTTACCTTCACCAGTATTCAGAGGAGAAGTGGCGCTGACGGTGTTGTTATCGTCGTCCTTCTTACTCCAGCGCATTTTTAAGACCGGAACTTCATATCCTTCATCAGTCATCCTTGTACGGAGCTTAAGAAGCGCTTGTTGGAAGGCAGTTCCTGTGAGGTTCTCATTGATAGACCTGGCTACCTTCTCGAACGGAATAGCGATTCCAACCTCGCCGCAAACGCCGATAAGAGAGAGTACAGCCCGCCTCCAGTCCGCATCATTCCATCTCATGAGCTTCGGACGAGGTTCACGTTCTTTTCGCGGTTGACCCGATTTGTTGATACTGCGCCCGCGCGGAGATCCAGTCATTACTCCAGGGCTCACTCCAGGATCACTCGGGCTGAGCGCATAGGTCGAATCGGACTGGAATCGAGAAGTCTGCACAGCTCCTGCCTTCGGGGTGGGAGTTTTTGGAGTTGTGGGCAAACAAAGTCTGGATTTCTTGGGAATCGGCGTCGATGGACCTTCAGACATATGGCCGCTAGATCTTTTGCGACTATCCTGCTTAGAATTTTTCTGCTTCTTCTTCTTCTTCTCGTCAGGAGATTCGACGTAGTCGCTATCGCTATCATCTTGGGCGGCAATGTCCATGTTCCCTTGGGAACTGGTGAGCTCAAGATCGCCATCCTGGTCACTACCTTGAGCAATATCGTCGTCCTGAGTGCCGTCTAAGGACATCGCGTTCGAGCCAGGTGCGGCAATCTTTTCCTCCCCGGAGGTGACAGCTTGTGGTTCTCCTTCAATATCGGAATGAGAATATACGCCGTCCTGGAAGCAGACAGTGCTCTGTGCTTCGTGTTGTGTGTTCTTGTGGAGGCCGATATCATTGGCTCGTATGTCGCGGATGATTTTTCGGGAGTGTTCCTGCGGCTGTCTCTCAAACTTGGGAGCATATTCGGACTTGTTTGGGGAACTTGGCGTAGTAATTTCGTGGTGGTTGAGGTCGTTCTCATGGGGTTGAACATTCTGAGATCCGTTGCATTTTGAATCGCTGTCGCAGAACCGAACCGTTGAGCGGCCGTCATCCCATGTTTCCAGTTGTGGCCCGGGATAGTTTGCCAGGGGATTGTGGACACAATCACCGCCGTGATCAAGATCGGTTTTCGGTGCGGCAGATTCTGACGTCTCTCGTGTACGCTGCTGTATCGTGGTGTTCGACTGATCCTGTTCCTCGCGCGATGCATGGGTGGCCAAATCGTCGCGTTTGACACCAGGATTTTCTGTCAGGACAGGTACGATAGGTAGGCCTTGTGCAACGTCTGCCATGCGTGCCGATAGCTGGCCATATGCTGGCACATGGCTCTGCTCATACCGGTCGTGTGTGTTGGCGTCCCGGAGTGCAGCTCTTGTGACGGTATTGACGGCCTCGCCAGCCCCATCGCCCACCTCATATAGGCCACTATTTACCAGCCTAAATTGTATGTCCAAGTGTCTAGGTCCCCGTCCTCTAGTCGCGAGAGAACCGTTGCCACGGATGAACGAGGAGATGAGATCATACGTGTGGGCGGCGAGGAGGAGATCATCCTCCTCCTCGCGAGGCCCTGGGCGACGCGTCATGGACGAGCAATAAAGAGAGATACGCGGAGAAGAGACGACCGGGAAGAGGAGCGTGTGGGGGTTGCTATTGTTCTTATTGTCCCAAAGGTAAGAGAAAGAGCGGTGGGGAGGGAGAGTGGCAGAAGAGGAGCCTGAGGGCTCAAGAAGACCAGGCGGAGACAACTTTGGAAAAGCGGTAAACAAGAGCCGTTGTTTACTGCGGCAAGAGCCTGAAACGAGATAGGAGACTAGTACTTCCTCATGGCGATCTCCGCGCACGGGCCTATGGACCAGTAATCCTAGAGGCTGATGGGTACTGGGTAGGTTTGTAACGATAGTTGAGCTAGTACACCGCCTGTTCTCGCGGGGAAAGCAATCAAAAGTCTTCAAGAGAGACGACTGCCACACCGCTCAACAAGAGCCGGAAAGAAGGAGATGGGCTTGCGAGATTGCCGAGCGGCGGTGACGCTACGGGCAGTCGTTGAACTGAAACACAAGGTATGGCCGCAATAAGGTCCCTAGTAGGAATTGACTGTCACCGGGATATCTTGGATTATGCGGAATACCTCTGGCGGCCTGGGATGGATGGTCTCAGCTATGCCACGAGGCCGATTCCATCGAGACCAAGCGTGTATGGATTGATAATCGCTACGCGGAGACCCTTGGACAAGACTGGAAACGTCTGCATAGGAGAGAACCAATGCCACAGGACGATCTCACAGTTCCTCTCTGACGGAAATATGGGACGATGGGCGCTGAGCCCTAGGGCGCAAGTCGATGGTGCATGGCGGCGGCTCCTCTTCGCCGGTGCCCAAAGGTCTGTGATAACCACCAAGGGGTCACTGCAAACTGTCGAGATCTATCGAACGCCGTAAAGAAGATATATGGGAGGGTCCTTTCCGGAAGGAATGTTGTGACAATGGCCAAGCGGCAATGATAGCCGGTCCTAGTCGATGTCCCATAAGGACTAGGTGGCCGCAGGAAAGGATCTTAACAGTGAGGCTGAAAACAGAGCAAATAGTGACTTCAAGGAAAACGCTATGAGATTGGCAGGACAAGGAAATCTCGCACCGTTTGTAACCACAATGTCGTTTTGTAAGATACCGAGGTATAAATCGGGAAAGAGGCGCCACCGGTAGCGTTAAGACATGCGGCGACGGACGATATCAACGCCGAGCGCGTAGATAGAACCCAATCATAGAAGCCGCTCTGGGGTATGGCCCGAAGAGCGCAGGCGCCTCAACATGATTGCGCCGAAAGAGAAATGGGATTTATGGCGCAAGCTCAGGTCGGAATAAAATCCCCAGTTGAACGATTTTAACGGTTTTTGAAGGTTAAATGTATGATATGCATTCCCAATAGACACTCAGTAGGCGTCTGCGAACTGGTATAATCAAGGGCCATCAGGCGTCTTATGCGCTGGCCGCAAATAAAAAAGCTCCTTGTGCCGAAATCATCTTCTGAATATTGTAGGTTTTAACGCTGCAATTGGGTTCGTTTCTTGGTGGCGAACATGCGTCGTTCTGTCGCCGACGTCGATTTTGAGTTCCAGTGGGACAGGATGCTTTCCCTCTTGTGGCTTAGAGCATGCTTCAGCGGATGCTTGGCCCCTGAATCCCGGGACGTCTGCTGAGCCAATTTCAACCACATCCCTTGGTAGACACAGTGTGTCTGTAATCACAAAGGCCGCATGACGACAATGAAAGCGCAGGTGATGCGGCTGGACGCTTGGACTTGGAGGCTGGCAGGCCATTCCCAACCTTGACCTTGGATTCGAGTATCTCTTCCCTTTCATCCCGCCTCTGAGTGGCTATGCAGCAACAACCCAGCCTTCATCAAATATGCGGCGCTCCGGTCTCAGAACGTCTCCATATACGGTGCATTTAAGCTGGAGGGCTCTATTCCTCGGCATCCCTTTGCCTAAATACGCATAGCAGCACTAGTGCGGCATTGGGGCTTGATCTTTGAGTACCGGACAAGCGTTTTGGACCTCGAGGCTCAAAGGGGGGGCGTGGCCGTTCCTCAAATTTGCTCATCCTGACTTGTTCCGGGGTTTCCGGTTGATGTTGCGGTAATGCGGTCCGAGTGCCTAGACGGTTTTCACCCCTTTGACGCCCAACATCGCCACACCAAACAAGCCCAACCTCGACCCTCCCGCTTGACACCGCAACATCCAGCATAGCTGCGACACAGGCGGACTGAAAGATTCAGCATCGGTAACTGGGCGCGTTCGTCTCTGCCCATGAACCCTCGGTTGCCACGTACACGAGCGGCGGTCCGTTGACAGCAGGCCAGATGCCTACTCGTCGGCGCAGTCGTAATGGGATCGCTCAGCCTCGAAAGGTCTCATTAAGCCCCATATTTGCCGACAGGGCTCCAGCAGCCACGGTGCAGAAAACAAAGCATTCCGAACTTATAACCAGGAGGGAGCATGGGCCTTGGCGACGTTCAGCTCAGCTCAGCTCTGGCTGCCAGCGCTCGTACTCGAAGTCTCGCCGGCCACACCACCCTCGAAACCTTCCGAAACGAGATGCAACGACGCGACCTCGACGACGAACTGGCAGAGGCGCACCACCGGAGGAGGGTTCGGATCATGCGGAAACAGAATCCTTGGTTGGAACTTGCAAGTTCAACGAGGTACCCGGGACCCCAGGAGCATCTGCAACACGGCGGCTCCATCTTGTACAAGTCTTCCCAGCATGTATGGCAGCGTCAATCGAGAGTTGAAGTTCAGGACCACAAATCTGGGCTCAAATCCGGAGAGACTATGTCCCAATGATACCAGGGGGAAGCTAGGTGAAACATGCGGCCATGTCCCAAGCCAGTGCGGGCTTTCCCCTTCTCTAACTATCAGGTATTGCACCTAATCATCTTCCTTTTTGCTGGGCGCTCCCCGGAATGGCAGTCTGATGTCCGAACAGAGGACGCTGACAAGAGAATATAGAAACGGCATTCAAGCTCGGCCAACTCCGTGTTTCCGGCCTACTTCGATAACGATCGGGCGCCGGCTCTAACATGGCTCGTCTCCTCCCCCTGGCCAGGTTCTTCTGCGAAGTTACGACCTTTTGGAACATACGGCACATTCGCTACCGTGAGACTGATCCCCAGCGGCCAGTTGCAGTGACTAGGGTATGGAGATTTGTCTGACCAGGACAATGGGGTTAATCCCGGGCATGAGCTCCAGTCCACGATTTTCCTCAGGCGACTTTCGACTTGATATCCTGTTTGGAAAAGGCCCCTCCATAAACCGACGTCGCCATTCTCGACTTCGCGCGAACAACTCAGAGAGGTCACGTGATCGACCCTCCCCAACGTGCAGGGCTTGTTGATACGGTGATCGAAGTAGGGGTCTATTGGATGGTGTGGGGTGGTTTATGGCGATATTATGGGGGTGTAACACCGACGTTACGTCTCCATATACTCCCGGAACTGGCTCGTGGTTCGTTGGCATCTTGGTCTTGCATTCTGGATACTTGGTTCTGGCTCCCTGGCTTTCGATGACCTGATTCCTGGCTCTTGGTTCCCTGGCTCTTGGTTCCCTGGCTCCTGGATTTGGTCCTCTGCTCCTGGATTTTGGTTTCCTTGCTCCTGGATTTGGTTCTCTGGCTCCCGGAATTGGTTCACTGGCACTCAGATCTTGGTTTCCCGGCGTCTGGTCTATTGATTTTCTGGCTCCTGGGTTCTTTGTTTCCGGCTTCGTGGACCTTATACTCTTGGATTGCTTTTTCGAGACCCGTTCGGATCCGGTAATCTTCTTATTGAGTTGTCTTTTCGTCGGCCTTCCGATGGTTCAGCTTGCCGGGACGATCGCTCATGCTTGACTCGTCGCAAGTACCTGGATGAGAGAATTAGCGCTATTCCTCTGAGAAGGACTCTATACCAACGCAGTTCCATAAGGATTCACCAAGTCTCTTTTTGCGCCATGACTCTGCTATTCTGGGCCCCTCCTTTTCAGCTGAATCCAAGGTCTAATGCGCCGTATTCTCCGGAAGGTTCTCTGCAACTCCTTCTTCTTTCCTTGGGGTTCTCCTTACGCTATACCGTCTCAGATCCATTTTGACGGAGTTGTACTCATTGCCGGCGGGCAAGTGCTTGATTTCACAACAGCAGCACTGTCCCATCCTGGCGAGGCACTTGCGTCTCTTCGCCCGGCCGTGGTATACGCAGCTCCCGCTCTGTCCATTCCGGTCTGTATGCCCAAAGGAAGAGCCATTCCGGTCGTGCCGATAAGGAATTGCTCCTCGAAGCCGTCATCTTCCTAGGACTTGTACCGAGCGGACCATGGGAAGCAGTTATCACCCTCCAGCGTGCATGCGTTTCCGACCTGTCCATGCCGCTTCAGAGGCGATATCTCACATTGGTTCTCTATTTGTTTCCGACATGCGGATGGCATCATTCGCTCTCGCCCCTGTTACGTATGGACCCTAAGGCGGCGGACTCGCACGATGTTTGATTTCCGACTTTTGCTGAGTGGCCTGACTTCTTCGAGCGTCCGGACCACGATAGGGGTACACTGTTCCGTGAGGGGGAAATGTCAGCGTCAGGCTCAATGCCCTCCAGTTTACGTCGTGCGTTCTTTGTGGAGGCGTACCGAGGAGATAGCGACCGGTGTCAACCCTCTGCGGATTTCCTGAAATGGGCGTCAGTACGACTCTCCGATTCCAATAGTCCATAAGCCAGTCATACCGAAAGTGTCTCCAGAACGCCTATCCAACATCAATTTGGGTGTATGCAGGGGCGCACTGCATTCAAATTCCCTGACCGCTTGACCATTCGAAGCGTTGCTTCCGACGACTCGGGCCACGTCTTTCGTAAAGTGTGTGGGCCATGTTGTTTCTGCGTGTCTCAAAGGGTTTTTGGCATTGGTCGTGCCGGTCCTGCGCACACCAACACTGCAGCATTATGCAATGGTCGGAGTGCAGCGGTCATCTTCTGCCGGAGCAATAGGCACGCCATTGCCGTCTGGACGATCGTATGGACTTCGCTCTGGTTCGGTTTGAGGGTGTACCTGCCTGGCAATTCCCATAGGCCGCATTGCGATGAACGTTCTGTCTCCCGGTTTGCTTGACCGGGCACTGCTCCGATACAGTGTGCAATCGGCTTGCTTGTTAGCAGCATCCTCTCCGCCAGAATGGTTGATGCCGGGACCGCGGGAGCAGCAACGTACCCGGCGATGATAGCAAGGGTTCTTCACGCCATCCCGTCGCGTGAGGTCTGTCAGTCGAGCGGAATCCTTCTGCTGCCACGCTTCTCTCCGTATCTCTCCTGTTAATCACCATCATCGTCGTACTCCCCTGGCCATTGTGAATTCCCGGGGTGCTTGCGGAGAGCGCGTAGTGCGGCCGGGAGCAGACCTACCCATCCTTCCCACGACCAGGAGAGCGTGAGATGCGACTGGACAGTATACATGTGGAGTCGCGATATGTCCCTTAGGCAGCGCGCATGCCTGCAGCTCGGGAGTTTCGACGTTGCGTGATTTGCGGCGTGGTGGTCGATGGTGGTGTGGAGAAGGTCCAACACCAAGCCTGGCGTTCGCGATGGTCTCAGGCACGGGGCAAACCACCAGCGAAAACAGTGACGCCGGCCCACAAAGGGCCTACCCAAATCATTGGTGTGCTTGAATAGGAACGGCGACGCCTCACCTTGCTGCTCTTGAGTCAACGGTTACTGGGGACAAGTAAGGCACCTCTGCTGCTCTTCCGGGATGTAGGACCACCCAGGCTTCTTCCGCGTCTTCGAGCACGCTGCGCTTGCCAAGGGGGCAGTGGCGCCCCATGATGATATGGGCGTGCTCGTTCTGCATGCAATTGCAAATCCCTGGCCAGGCTTGCTCAGGGCGCCTGATGGTTCCATATGTGGTGCCCGGACACATCACCATTTCCGAACGAGCACCACAGTCGAAAATAACCCTGGGGGTTTGACGCAAGTAGGGTCGAGTCCGTCGTATTCATGCTCTCAGCTGTTACCTCATGCCTCCCGAAGTAGGATGGTGTTGGTGCAAGTAGCCGGAGCCCGTCATGGCCTTTTGTGTGGCACCCGGGACGCCCCTCAGTGACTGTTATGTGCACTCCTTTCCATATCGTGTACACCTAGGATCATCGACCCAAAGATTATCCAAAACCATCATTTTGGGCTATATAAGAGGTGAATTCTGTTCTCCTTTCGCCCAGTGCATCAGGGGTGGCAGCCTGATGCACTGTGGTTCAGTGGACATGTGCTGACGTTTATATTTAGGAAGGCTATCGGTTCAATTCTGGCTCAAATCGCCAAACACCTTTTTTTTTGCTTTTGTTTTCTTCTGCTTCTGGTAACCATATGTCCAGCCTCCGACCAGCCTCCGAGCTAGCACACAAGGACATGACAATTGTTTACCTCCCATCGATTATCTATTTACGGGAACTATCATTTTTCCAAGAGCATGCCAGCCCTCCTCCAAGTCTGTAAAGCTAGAGAAAGAGTTCAAATACACGTTGCCGCTTTGTGGAGCGGCTCCACCATGGAAGATTGGCTTGTGCACAAGAAAATGCCATTTTATGCTCCTCAAACGGAGACTCGGGATTATGCCCTCTGAAGGTGCGACCCTGAGATAGAAGAAGGAGTACTTGGGAGCATTCCGGCCGCAAATATGCCCTCAATCCAACAGAATCTACCGGATCTAGTTCCTCCGCTTCATGAGAAGCCAGCGATCAAGAGCAGGCCAAAGCGATACATTTTACGGCGACTGGCATTCTGAGGGTCTAGGTAGGGGGGGTCGGCACTCCGTAAGGCAGCTTGCATCCGTTCCATGGTGCCCCGACCTGTAGAGGGTGCACTGGGAGCCTACGGTCGTGTCTTGGCGCTGTTGAAGTTTACAGGCGCTTCCGGTTTGCAACACCATCTCCAGCAAACCACAGTACGCACCACAATCCCAGCACCAAACTCAACACTCTACAAGCCCCTATCACCACCATGGGCGCCATCCTCTCTTGCATCTCCGTGAGTGGCCCTACGCGCCAGCGCTTCCCGTTGGAACCCTAGCTAATCAAGTGCTAGTGCTTCCACGACGACGGCTCGTCGCCAGGCCACTCCTTCTTGTCAGCAACGTCTTTAGCGGACTCCGCTCCACCTCCAAATCCTACTAGCAACATCCTGTCCCCTATCCAGGAGGAAACTCCGCCCGAGGCTGCACCCGCAACCGAGCTCCGCGAGATGGCGCCTCCCGAGCGCCCCAAAACACCTCACTTGCAGCCTGTTGCGCCCTCCAACGCCCCCTCCACCATCAACCTGGCAGATGAGGAAGAGTAGCCCGTAGAGGGCTCCAGTCTACACGGCACTTGAGAGGGCCTGGAAGGTATCCTCCATGAGCAACCGACTGGAAGGATAGCATTTGGAGTATTTCTGGAGGAGATCACGGATTCAGCACTTGAGCAATAGCTCCTGGGGATAATAGAACATCATCTTCTTATGGAGCAAATCGTAATGGCTATGTGTGACGACGTCTGTGACTTAAACTGGCTTTCGAGCATTACGGTAGGGCATTATACAGCTTAGCATCAGAGCACGAAACCTACGGGATAGGGAGGGTAAAAAGTGTTAACGGAAAGAGGGAGTACATATGACACACAGAGAGTCGAATGAGAGGAGATTGGCACTGAGAAAATTATCCGGGGAAGCATCCACGGACTGGGCGAGAGAACCCCGCCAGGAGAATTGAGTACAAAAACCGTTAAAGCACCGTTAAACCCCCACCCCCGCAAGAAGAAAATTACTTGAGAGCTCAGTCAGAGATCCCAGTCCGACCACCAGACCACCATCATACCCTCCTCATACCGTTCACCACTGCCAGATCAGATATACTCGTCGTCGTCATCAGCTTGGAAAGCACTCTCATCGCTGTCCTCGACGCTGCTACGAAGTCCATCCTCTTCGTCCCTCTCCTTCATTTCCTTGATGTGAGCCGACATGCCCTCTTTGGCTTGCTTGCTTGCCATGCGGGAAGGACGTACACGCGGGGCGGGGTCAAGCTTTGGAACGGGCTTGAACGGAGTGTTGACGGCAGCGTTGCGTTGAGTGGCCATGGGGTTGATGAAAGATGGAGTGGCGGGCTGAGATTCCGGCGCAGTCACGAAGGACGTGTTGTTGCTGGTGATCGAATGAGGACGATCGTAGACTTCACCAAGGCCGGAGATGCGCATCTGGGAGGTCTGACGGGCCAGGTTCGGAGAGTTGTTGAATCTACCGCTCGTGGAAGACAGGGTCGTCGTACCCGAAACGCCCACAGCGTTGGTGGCGGAGAACCAGCTTGGGTTGAATGGATACTCGTCGTTCCCCCCGTCGACGCTGGCATTCGGAAGCATTCCAGACGTTGCACGTCCAGTGACACCGTTGTTGGTCATACTCGAGGAGATGTTGCCGCTGTTGTTGTTGCTGTTGAGATGAACGGCGTATTCAGCGCTCATCTGCTCGGCGCGTTGGAGGGTGCGCTCAAAGTCGCCATTGCGAAAGGGATCATCATCTTCAACCTTGATCTTGTCTTTGAAGGAGTCAGTATTGCATGTGTGGAGGTGTAGGTAATGACGGGAATGCCTACATTGCTCATTATGTCCCTGCCTACCAGCACCAGCAGCGGCCCCAAAGGCTGGAGCGGAGAGACCTAGCGCAGCACCACCAGGACTGCGACCAGCACCCACCTTACGCGATTTCGTGGTCGGACAAGGCGTGCCCTCTTCCTCGGAAGTCATATGTTCATCTGCGTCTTCAGACTCGCTGTCGTCGTTCTTCTTCTTCTTGCCTCCGGCCGTCCGCTTCCTAGCAGACGAGGTAGGCGTGGACAGAGACTTCGGGGCTGCCAGACGAGCACGAGGCGTAACTTGCTTCCTTCCCGCAGGAGAAGCGCCGGAGACGCCGGCCATCTTCTTGATCTTAACCAATCGCTCGCTAATAGCGCGGGGCGTGGGGATGACATGCGCGTCCTTAGCTACCATCCTGTTAGCGACTGTGCTGCTCACGATGAAACAGAAGTACTTACGCCACGCGGCGTGGATCTTCGCGTAGTCAATGTGGAAAGCGTGAGTTTCGATGAGCTTCAAGAGAAGGATTCGATCGTTCTCGGCGGTCCAGCTCATCCTGCCGTACGCGTTAGTAAAATGAATGCAAGATGCAAGCAGGCTACATCAGTGGGCAACTTACGTTGTCTTGGATCCAGCCATCTTGAAAGCACACCAATTGCTACCAGATCGTTGATATCAAACTGTGACGATAGGGTGGATTGAGTAGCGTAACGGGTGGAAGGGTTGATATTTGAGTAGTGTTGTCGAGCCAAGTGAGGTAAAGTGAAGTGAATCGTGTTGAAGTGAAGTGAGGTGGGGAAGGAACGGAAAGTGAAGTAGGGTTGAGGAGGAGATATGCGGACTTCCCCGAGTGAGAAACAACGCGAAGCTAGGTGAGACGGGTAGAGAGTAGAGAGGGAGAGAAGTGGTGGTGGGAGAAGAGGATCCGAACTGCCTGTGAGAGCAAAAAAGGTTGGAGATAAATTGCCAGCGCGCGCGTGAGAGGTGACCCGCTTGGTGTTTTGAAAACGGCAGGTGGCAAAATTTTTCTGTTGTATGTTGTCCCGTACTTCCTGGAAAGTGAAAGGCGGTGTTGCTTGGCCAACGTGGACTGACGTAGCTTCTCCGCTAAAACACTTGACATAACTTGGATCTTGAACTTATACTCCAAACAAACCTTGGGGCAGGAGGCATCCACGATCTGTTTAACACCGCCTCGGCTGTTGTGACTGTCGGGTATCTACTCAAGGGAGGTTCTGGCCATTCTCCGGCCATTCTAGGACAAGAGCGATGCTAATGTGTATATGTTGCGTAACACTACTATGAAACTGACGCAACTACTGCGGGAATAGAGAGATTCTAGTGGAATATAAAGTGTGTCTTTTATGATCGTTGATGGAGAAGATCTGCAGACCCAATCCCAGACCTCATTAACCCTAGAGAAGTGGCACAGAATCCTTAGATACAGTGATACTATAGGCTCTTATAACCACAGGGTTTCGACGCGACACATTAAGTCCCGTCCATCCCATTACAGACCATCGATAAGAGTTGTTCCATCCAGGATTGTTCAACCAAGATCTCCGAACAGAGATGCGGAGGTTGACGTTCAGACCAGCTCACAGTCGGTCCCGTCGCTTGCTGCAGTCATAGTGTCTTCTTCCATGTCGCTCTCTTCCTGCTGGGCCTTCTTAGATTTCTTCAGAGGGCTCGTCTTGGTGATGCGGCCGGACTTGACGCCTTTATAGAGCGAAATAGTCAGCCGACCAATGCCCTAGGTACATACACAACTAGTTGCTCCTCGGAAGCCAAACATACCTTCAATAGCCGACTTGGGCGTCTTCGGAGTACGGGGAGTCTTCGGAGTCTTTGGACGGGCAGGAGAAGGAGCAGGAGCGTCCCCAGCTTCCTCTTTCAGCTGTTGAGCAAACTTCTTTGGCTTGCGGAGGAAGTTCTCAATGGTGTTGTAAGTGGCATCTTTGCCAAAGAGGCGTGCCACCTCACGGCAATTGATCTGAAACCCTAGTGAATACAACTCTTCTTGTAGTCGGGCACAATGTTCATAGGTCCTTCTCGTACCTTTCCGTCGAAGGACGCGATAATTGCAGCGAGAAGGCGATCGCGGACCTCAGGGTCTTGCCAATTGACAGGCATCGTTGATGATCTAGATAGATAGTGTTTAGTGAAACAAAGAACCGTCATGAAGGCAACTTGAAAGTACGCGCACTGCGCTAGGGTACACTGCAGGGAGGTAGGGCTATCCTAACTTACTGTTGATTGAAGGGATAGTTGGGTGAGGGCAAACGTTGAGTAGCGCTTGAGTCAAGTTGTGCCAGTGTGAGGTTGAAGGACTGGGGATGTAGGGTGAGGGGAGCCTGTTGATATACGTGGGAGCGGCGTTGAGGCTGTGGCTAAAAAAACGGAAAGCTCAAGATCGGTCTTGGCTAAAAGAGATTGTGCCGCCGCGTAACTAAGTAAAAGTCAAGGCGGTGAGGCATTGACACGCGTTGAATTGGCGCGTGATTTTGCCACCAAGGAGTTGAAGCGGTGAAAGACGTTCTTGCGAAAACAGCTAGCACTGCTGACACCCAAGGTGCGGCAGCCCCAACTTCGCTGTGCATCTTACCAACGCCTATGGGCATCTCGAAGACAGTCACAATTGCCCAGTCAACATACATGTGTATCCCACGTACCTCTGAAGCGAGGAGATTTGGCTGAAACGGAAGATGTCAAGATAATCTGTACATGCACCCATCGTGCCCGGGCCGAGTGGATAAGTGGTAATATCAATAGATAACTGAATGTTCGACAATGTGAAATGAGTGAACGATAAATATGACAGCGTTGTTCAACTTCAAAAGAAAGACATAAACCCTGTGTCGCACACTGGACCAAACCCCACAGTGCCAACACTGCACTTTGACAGCGGCACATACGACTCCGGACTCAGACGCTCAAACCACAGAAATGAGCCGGTTCTAGGAAGCGTACCTAAGATACCGTGCACGTCCGTTGGGCTACCTTCGAATCTTTCAACCATCAAGGTCTGCGGGAGAACCTAAAACCATTTAGCATGCGTTCACATCGCCCGGGTTTGAGCTCACATACGACTTAAGAAGCCGGGCGAACAACCCTCCATGATCCTCGTCCGCCATTGTTGCGCTCTGGCTCTCAATGTCGTCCGTTTTTCGTGCCTTTACGGAGGTAGGATGGATGGGGTGCGTACATTCAGAGGCACACTCGTCACAGAACCAAAACAAAGCCGTCCGATTCAATACAGTGGCGCATCCCGCACAATGTCCTTTTGTCAACGCCAATTGCTTGATCTTCTGACGATTCCGGACATCAGATAGAGGAAGTATTGTTTGGCTTCCGCTCGCCTCGCAAGTTCCGCACACTTCTTGCTCTATGATCTCCTGTTCGTTCCTATCACACTTGCACCTGTCTCGCTTGAGCCAGGTTTTGTGGTCAATGGCTTCTCTCCGACGCTTATCAACGTAGCACGATGTACAGTACGGATTGCAGTGTTGGGCATGGTGTCTACTAGGAATACCGAGCCACTGCACTTGCCTCTTGCACAACTGGAATTGTCAGCACCTAGGTTCAGTCTAGGCATCGAAGGAAGTGGGCGAATAGCAAACATCAGAAAACAAGGAGAGATCCCACGAACGTGGAATGAGAGGATCGGCCCTATTATCACTTTTTGCATATGTGACTCACCTCGCATATAGGACTGGGACAATATGGGCATATCTTTCTGCCCTGAGAGCAGCAACGTTCTCTCAATTTAGGCACGCGATACTCCAAATCACGGCTTGGGAACACGGCCTCCCGAATATCTCGAGATGCTAGACTTAAACTCTTTACGTCATCGTAACACATTCCGTCTACGATGTTGAGAAGTAAATGCTCGATTGTCAAAACCTTTTGCAGTCCTCCTGGTGGTTCAAAGTGATCTTCTCCAGGTGCGCATGGCGCGGGCACTGGCGGAGTTTCGCTAGGGCCGTCATCCGCGAGTTTATGTTTCAAGATCCGGAAAACATAGTACACGAATATCTGCATATATCCGCCAGCGGCCACAAAGAGAGGTAATGGCGCGGTTAGAAATTCACGGAGAACATGCCAAGGTTGCCGCCAGGTGAGCTTCGGTCGCGTCAAGGACGTATAGTACAGCTCCAGGTAAGTGAGTAGAGATAGCAGAGCACTTAAGAACGTGAGCATTGACTCTGAGCGCTTCGCAAGGTCGATGATGGTGCTACTTACAGCGTCGAAATCTCAAATGCCCATTCAGTGGTGAACTTTTGACAGGCGTGTTTCTGGCTTTCGCCGCCGGCACCCACCGTCTCGCTGTAAATGTCTTTATCAATATCGCAAGCCGAAACAGGAGCAGGGCTGTATCGTTGTGCAGCCACTGCCATTCCAAGCGCGATGGTAAGTACAAAGTCTCCAAGCCCCAGCGCAAGATATTGACCTGGCCACCTGGCAATGTATCCGCAGTACCAGCAGAGCCGTCGATACCAGGCCAAAATAAAAGTTGCAATAACTATTCCTTGCTGCGTCTTCAGTTAGCAACAGAGATTAATCTCTAATAATGCAGAGGATACGGCAAAATCGCGTCTAGTTCGTCTGATAGGTATAAGGCCTGAACTATAACTGGTACTAGTTCCGTAAGATTGAAGAAATACGTACGATAGTGAGTGCAACACAATGGGTACCTAATATTGAATCGTCATATAGATTATGTGACGGTGTCTTTCTCAACCGGGCGAGGATACGGATAACAATGACATGAGAGGAGAAGGAGGACACGCTCAATGAAACCATGAAGACCCTAATGAGTTCGATCAGGGAGCTCAGCGCCAATTCGTCCAAAGGTGGTATCCATTTCTTGACCCAGGCGTCATACCAGTCCAGCATTGCGCTCATCATTCATTGATATTGCTTGGGACTTTGCTTCGACCAGGTTTCGGCACTGTTTCAACGCGTCATATACTGATTTGTGCAAAAAATAAATGGCGGATATGTGAAGGTATGATATTGAAGGGAAGAGAGGGGGTTTTGTGTTGTACATACGTGTCCGATCGCCCCAAAAGTTAGCGCCATCGATTAGGTCCGGATGCTACCTAGGTATGCACCTTCACCATGTGTTAGTAGTCGTCATCACAAATCACCCGGAACAAAATTCGCAGCGCTGGGTATTACACAATCTTCCACGGGCTGTTCGAAAAGGCCTTTATCCAAGAAGCGTTTTTTAGCCATGGTCGCAGCAAGTTGTGTGTTCGAACGTGTGGTGATCGGTGGACATGAGATCAAATGCCACCACAACGCCGGACGACATGAATGACATCATGTCACATGCTACTCGCCCGGGAGTCAAGAGGAATCAAGGGTATTAGATCGAATTCTAATAAGTCGAATTTGGCCGTCTCCGTGACCTGGCAACTGGAAAAAATCAGAGCGCGAGTGCCCATCACCAACGTTGGGACTCGGATTCTAACCTCCCGGAGGGATCAGCAAGCCGTGCGATGGATAAGCGTTGCGTATCCATGTTCGGAACACTCCCTCGTGCAGAAAAGCAGGGAACGCAGGGGCAATTGCAGAGTGTTGACATTGTCATTTTGCAACGTGCAGCGGAGCATTTCCCGAACATCGGTTGTAGGGCCCACCAACCGTTCCCCAGGGCTCATATGGCGGCTGACCCTTTTGCAATTCGATTATTAAGTCGTTTTATGGGAGTGCAGGCGGGGGATGCGTACCGCCTCCTCCCACGTCCGAATGAACACTTCCCTGTACTTCTGCTCCAAGTTAGATTACCTAGTGTAAACAATTCAGTTGGTTACGTCCTGATTACGCCACTACTACTGTAGAGCACGGCATTTTAAGGCTGATACACCTAGATGGAGGGGCTGTCAAGAAGCAGGAGGAGCCAATTAGAAGATCAATAGCCCTTGTGCGCATGGTTGTGTTCACTCGGACGTGAAAAGCGACAGTATGCTATCCCCTGCTGACATTAAAGCCCTTCTTCGTCCGCTTATCCTTGCCATCGTCCCAATCTCTTTTGGCTCGTCCCTCTGTCTTGATTTCCTGAGCCCTTTCTCGCGGATCTATCACAAGCAGCTCTTCTTCATTCTTGCGTTTCCACTCCAAGTCCTTGCCAAGCCTGTCCTTGGCGAACGACAGAGAATGCGACATCCAACCGGCGTCATCATCGGACTCTGCATGATCCTCTTTGTCCCAAGCCGTACATGACTGGCAGCCAACGATAAAATGAAGATCGCAGGGGACCTCCTCTTCATCTGTGATCGGACGGGCGCTATTCACTTCTCCGTTGCTAGCATCGCGCACTGCCATATCTGTCGGGACATCGGGAGACTTTGAGTTTAGAGAAGGGGCGGCAGCTTCCAGCTTTGACTTGAACTGAGAGAGAATGTCTAGCGCGGACTTTTCTGATGCGGCATCGTTTGCACCCGCGCCTCGCTTGCGACCGCGCATGGTGCCGGGGGGAACCATGGATTCTAGTAACGACTTCTTCTTGGTCGTCTCAGCGGTTTGAGCTGGAGTGGTGCGCTTCATGGAAGCCTTCACAGCTGCAATCTGCGCGTTGATGCGGTCGAGTTTTGTCTGTTGAGGTGATGGTTCTCTGGGGGTTTGAGATGCTGGTTCTGGTCTTTCCGTCACCGATGCGTCGGCTTTACGCTCAGGGGATTGCGCGGCGGGAGGCGACGGACGCGCTGGTTTTCGGATGGGGATGGTTTTCTCTGCCGGAACGCTTGCTGATGGTTTTGTGCTGACCTTGGAGGGGTGTTCACCCTCAGCACTAACCAGCGCTGCGTTGTACTTCACCTTCTTCGCCACAGGCGGCGGTGCACCTTCCTCGGCTTCGTCAACACCAAAGCTCAATAAGGCCTTGTCAGCCTTCCTTTTCGGTTTTTTGACCTTCTTTAGCTCAGGTACCGTTCGCTCGGCAATCCGTACTCTTTTGACCATGTCCTGGAACGGATTTATGATGATTTCCGCTCCAGTAATCTTCGTGGGGTACAGCGGTCTTTCCTCACTTCCCTTGGCAATCTCAGCCTCGGCCATCTTCATCAGATTGTAGATGGTATCGCCTGCCACTCTGCCAAACATTGTGTTCTTGCCGTTCAACTCCGGCGTACTTCCCAGAGTGAAGAAGAACTGGCTCCCATTATCATTGGGTTTGCCCGTGTTCGCCATGCCCAGCAGCCCTCGTCTATTGAACTTGAGGCGGCTGTGGAACTCATCCTCAAAGGGTTCTCCATCGTAGCTGCTCTCTCCGCCTTGTCCAGTGCCTGTGGGGTCACCACCTTGTATTATAAAGCCTTTCACCAAGCGATGAAAGATGGTATTGTCGTAGTAGCCATCGAGGCATAGTTGCAGGAAATTGCGCGAAGCCTTGGGCGTCTGCTTCGCGAATAGCTCGAGTTCGAGGTCACCGGCGGTAGTTTGGAGGAGGACTTTCGCGGTTGGATTCGGCTCTAAGTTGTATATGGTGCTCATGCTGGCAATAAGCACTCAGCAAGCGCTGGTACGGGGGGATACGGGCGACTGGGCGCGGTTTATGGACGAGGTGCTTGCGGTTGGAGCAAGTCGATGTCGAAATTCTGCCGTTTCGATGTCACTGACCGCCTACGGGAGGACCATACCGTATCGGGGCTAGACCTTGACCTCTGTCTGCCAACAACGTCACTTGCTTTCGTCTCTTCGGATTCCTGGCCAGCAAAAAGCTCCACAAACAGGAATAAATTCTATCATGCCGACTCTGTCCACATAGGCGAATTGCGCTTCTCCTCCTTCATCGCGCATCAAGAGCGGCAGCCGAGCAGTACTGTGCCAACGAAGATGCTGCCCTACATCAACACACGTTCGTCCACCGAGCATTGATTTCATCGAGAGGAGCTATAACGACTAACTGTTCGGTAGCATTTGTCCATGTTGGCAAGCTTCTGGGGACGTCACCTGACGACTGTAAGATATCTGTATCCCGATGTTACTAACCTTTCACTGATTCCTGCCTACTAGTGAAGCTTGTGTTTTCGTTTTATCTTTCATATCCACTAGCGGCAATTTTGAAGCGCATACCCGATCGAGACCCATGGAAGAAGAATTTGTTCATAATATGGTATCTCGTGTCGACGCATCTTATGTTCCATACTGACCGTGACAAGCGTCTCAGTCTTCTATCTAGTCGGGCTCTTTGACCTTTGGGACGGCTTTAGGACCTTGATCATTAGTGCGACCGGGGCATACATGATTTCATGGCGAATCAAGTCACCCTATATGCCTTGGGTTGGGTTTGTCTTTCTCATGGCGCATATGTCCATCAACCATATATACAGGCAACTCTTGGATGACGACTCCGTTGTGGATATTACAGGTACAGGTCACGGCTGGACCGGTTTAACTCGCGTACTAAGATGCTTCTAGGCGCTCAGATGGTTATGATCATGAAAGTATGAACTCGCCATCGCCCCGCGGATCTTCTACTAAAAGTAGCAGCTCACAGCCTTTTGCTGGAATGTCCAGGACGGCCGTTTGCCAGATTCAGAACTGTCCGATTTCCAGAAAGCCCACGCTATTCGGGAACTCCCCGGCATTCTCGACTACGCAGGATATGTCCTCTTCTTCCCTGCCCTGATGGCAGGTCCGGCTTTCGACTACTGTGACTACAGCCGGTACATCAGTACCACTATGTTTGCCCTCCCGCCTGGGGTGGATCCATCGAAAGCCCCTCCCACACGAAAGAAGCGGAAGATCCCTCGCAGTGGGACTCCAGCAACGATTAAAGCCCTTGTGGGATCTTTGTGGATATTTTCCTTCCTTAAGTTCTCGGGATGGTACAATACCACGTACCTTTTGAGCGACGAATTCACCAAGTATGGCTTCCTGCGCCGTGTATGGTGTCTATATATGCTCGGTTTTACGACCCGGATGAAGTACTACGGTGTCTGGACCCTCACTGAAGGAGCCTGCATCCTCTCTGGCATCGGATACAACGGCATTGATGCAGTGACGGGTCGTGCTAAGTGGGACAGACTTACCAATATCAAACCCCTAGAGCTCGAACTCGCACAAAACACCAGAGGATTCTTGGGTGCTTGGAACATCAACACCAACAATTGGCTAAGAAACTATATGTACCTTCGAGTTACGCCCAAGGGGAAGAAGCCGGGCTTCCGAGCTACTCTGGCGACATTCTTCACAAGCGCCTTTTGGCATGGGTTCTATCCTGGCTACTATCTCAGCTTCATCTTAGCCGCTTTCATTCAAACCGTCGCGAAGAGTACGTGACCAATTGGCATTGGCGATGTCTCGACACTGAACAATGTTGCGGAAAGGGCCTAGCTGACAAATAGCAGATGGTCGCCGACTCATCCGGCCGCTCTTTCTGACTCCTGATGGCAAAGCCCCTCTCCCGTCAAAGCAGTACTACGACATAGCTACCTTTTTCATAACACAGGCCACGTTCGCCTTTACGGTGGCTCCGTTCATCTTCCTCCGCTTGCACGATAGCCTTGCTATCTGGTCGCGGGTTTACTACTACGGGGTCGTGGGGACTGCGTTATCGTTCGCCTTATTCGACGGCTCGCTACCTTTCCGCGCCTGGTTGATTAAGCGCCAGAAGGCTCGTACTGGGACAGCACAGACCACCGCGAAGACTGCCGATGAGGCAGACACGAGCCTGGAGTCAAAGAAGATCGAGAAGGTGGCTAGGGAGGCCGCACAGGAGAGTCTGGCCAAGGAAGACGCGCGTGACACAAAGCTAAGAAAGAAGGGGAGCATGGAGAGCTTGAGAACTGGTATGCTGGGCATACCTGATGATCCGGCCAAGGAGATGGAGGATATTGTGGCAGAAGTGAAGAGGGACATTGAGGAGAGGAAAAGAAGGGGAAGTTTGGTGCAAGGCTTCGATGTTAGACGAGCGGTGGATGAGAAGGTCAAGCAGCTGAGGAGCAGATAGTGGGTTAAGATGTTGACTGCATCGCGTTGATTGGGATGAACGTCGATCGAGCTGGGTAGCTGGGGAGTCGAATGGGAGGAACATAATGGATGACGGGCTACAGGGAGCGAGATGGGGAACATCAATCCGCTCCCATTCGCGGAAACGTGGGGGATACCTATTGTTAGTGTATATTTCCGGACTTGAGCGTACATGTAGAGTTCTCCGTACCCACTTCTGAATCTTGGCATGTTACATGATTTCCGTTGATGGAGATCGTCTTCCACTATGCGACTTTTCCAGACCTGCGTTGGGTTCTCGTCGGTCAACAGCGATCTCCTCTCTGCCTCCAGCTGTCCTGCACTTCTGTCATCAAACGTCCGCAAGACATCACTTCACAGTTCCCCAATCGAAATCCCACTCGCCTTCTCCAACAACCCCATTGTCTGCAACGCCGGAAGACCCCGAGGCAGCATTGAAAACGCACTCGGATCCACCACCCCTCACCCCTCAAAGACAAAACTTCGCATTCACAGACCCGATCTTTTAAGAACTAGACGCATCGGCAAGTAGATAAATGAGGTATTCGATTGGCTGTCTTCTGCGTACCTGTGTTTGATCTATGATAGGCACCGCAAACCAGAAGGAGACGTCCAAAGGAGGCCAAGCGCTGCCGAGTGGTCCAACACGGTGCGCGCAAATCTGCCGGCTTGCAATGGGAGCAATAGCGCTCAATTCGAGGAATCGCAAGAAGTGAAGAAGGTATGGCAAGCTCTTCGGCCAGAAGGACCCGGGATGCAATGACATAGGAAAGTGCAACACCTTCCAAGGGAGCGCCATTTTGCTGCTGCAGCCCTTTTGATAGAATCAAGAACTCCTGAACGCCAGACCAAGCAGCTATATGCTGTCGCGTCCAAATGCAACATGAACACTCCTGAGCGTCAGGCACAGAGCCAGGATTGCCCAATGCCAAATTCGAATACGATGTATGCCTGGAAAAGGCATTCGAACTTCGAAGGAAGCCAAGACGCCAAAACAACAAGAAAATCAGCATGCTCAAACTGGGCCCCAACCTGCACGCAATCTTCGAGCTAGCTGTATGTCCTTCTGTTGGATGGTGACTCGCTTCGCATGGATAGCGCACAGATTCGTGTCATGGAAGAGGGCGACGAGAAATGCTTCAGTGGCTTCTTGAAGCGCTTGCAGGGCCGTACTTTGCCAGAGGAACGGTTCGCCGGAGTCTTGGGGAAATTGGTTCGTCGCGATCTCTCGAACCTGGCCGCTTGTTAGCTTCCGTCAAGCCTAGGCAAATTGCTTGGGTACAGAATTGGTACGTACCAGTCGCTGGAAGGGTGTTCTAAGCAGAAGCAAGTCGGTTGTTTTCTGGTACTTTCGGATTTCGCGCAGCGCTACAGATCCCGGCTTGTGACGTCTGGTGGTCTTCGGCGCAGGGCCAGGCATTCCCACTTTCCAACGTTTGTCAGTATAAATAAATCTGTACAAGGACCATCTTATTACCTCGCGCGCCCGAGCTCCTCCTTGCACCGCCAGTGCTGTCTCTGCCTCCAATGCTAGCTCTTCCTCCTCTTCCACGACCAGACGCTCCTCCGCGCGAGGGCCGCGCCTTGTTTCTCCGGACCTCAGCTGCTTTGGGAGGCATTTCCATGGGTGCGGCGCCCTTTCTGAGGGTACGCAGAGAGATACGTGGTGTGGGGGTGTTTGAACTGTGCGGGAAAGACGCGAACGCGTCGGCTCGGTTGTTCCCGCGATCAACTCGAGATTGAACGGGCTTGCGGACAAGGATGTGCAACTGCTCCTCTCAAGTCTCAGCCCTGGATAAATGACGGAAGGATAGGTCTCATATAACAGCGCACGCGCACAAAAACCCTGTGCAGCGAGTCGACGGACATGCTTGAACACTGCTTTCAAGCCGTCTTCAGGTGGTTGGGAAATAATGAATCACGTGCCGATAAGATAAGATGGTGCTTGGCATGGCGTAATCAGGATGCTTTTGTAAAGCTGGCCAGAAGTGAAAGCAAGCAATGCCACAAATAGACGCCCATAACCTTCTTTCTCACTTGCGTGCCAGTCAATAGGATCTAAGACGCAGCGCTCGTTTTCGCTTCTGTACCTACCACCATTGATTCACCGCACCAGAACCTTCAGAACCTTCACGTCACTCATTGCATACCCGTTCACTCCACGAAGACACAATGGCAGGAGTGCTTGCAGGCGGCGATGGCATGATGGGTGGCTTTCCGCTTGAGCAGTGGTTCTTCGAGATGCCAGTGTGTACGCGCTGGTGGATGACCGCGGCCGTGAGTGCGAGCGTGCTCGTGCAGTGCCGTATCATCAACCCCTTCCAGTTATTCTACAGCTTTCGCACGGTTTTCTTTAGGAGCCAAGTATGTCTGGAATACGCCAACTGCGAATGCCAGCTGACCAGGACAGTACTGGCGTCTCATCACAACCTTCCTCTACTTTGGTCCATTGAGTCTCGATCTCCTCTATCACATCTTCTTCCTTCAACGCTACTCGCGCCTACTGGAGGAGTCCTCTGGTCGCTCACCTGCCCACTTCTCCTGGCTACTCGCATTCGCCTCAACATTGTTACTCTGCATGGCGCCGGTACTAGGCCTAGCGTTCCTAGGTTCAGCCCTGTCCAACACTCTGATATACATCTGGTGCAGGAAGAATCCAGACACCATGCTGAGCTTTCTTGGCTTGCTTGTCTTCCGTGCTCCCTATCTTCCCTGGGTTCTTTCCGCCTTCTCTCTGTGTATGCATGGGACTATTCCCAAGGATGAGATTTGCGGTATCGTGGTAGGGCATAGTACGTTAATCAGCCCGAGCTTGAAGATGTCAAACTAACATCATTCAGTCTGGTACTTCTTCAATGATGTCTACCCTCCCCTACACAGTGGACATAGCCCGCTTGAACCCCCGGCCTGGTGGATACGTCTATTTGAAGGTCGTCCACAGCCAGCGGCAGAAGAGACAGAACAGACCGTCCAAGCCGAAGACATTACAGGCGTCGCCTCCGGCTTTCAGGATCCGTCTCAAGCTGAAGCTCCTGCTCAATAGCAACATGGTTATCATATACGGCGTTTAGGAGTTGCTCTACATCACGATACCCATGTACGATCTTTCAAAGGCAGAGGAAGGAATGTCGTCCGATTGCGAAGACCACTCCGTCCGTTTGCGCAGGTAGATTTTGAGATTCCAGTTGTACAATTCAATTGTCCCTTTCAATGCCACGACATTCGATACATGCCCTCAAAAGCAGTGTGCCCGTTGCATACCGGAACCATTAGGCCGAAATGGACAAGAAGAACGCTTTCTGGATCATTCCCGAGAGAGAGGACGGATACAGATGCACCGTATAGCCCTAATTCACGACTCCCCGGCAGTGCGTCAACGTCGTGGAATTTTGCACCAGGACCAAATTAGCCAAATAAGCGCATACACCGCCTACGGTGTCCCGATTAGCACAGAAGATGTGCTGTTTGGCAGAGAACGAGTATACATGCCCAGATCTGTGCCTTCAGAAAACATACTTTTGCGTCACCTGGGAACCGGACTACAAGCATATCACTGGTATTACGAATGTATCCGGCTGGCTGATACCAAAACAGACGATCGCCCTAAAACATCCAGGTACTGGCTTCCTATCGTCGAGCCTATTAGGATAGCAGCAAACCCTATATCTCTGTCTTCCAGGGTTCCGAATATCTCAAGCCAAGCCATGCCCAGATAGGTGAAACTGCCAAGCTGAGTGTGAAGCACGGGTCGGCACTGCCCGGATTTCGGACTCACCCATAAGCACTCATTTCCTCAAGACTGATGGCGCAGCAGTGTCATTTACTGAGAAACTGCTGATATGATATTGCCGTTTGGCTTCATCATGTCTATTACAACTATTACCGTCCGTCACGTTGGATAGCCATCCAGACGTGTACAGGGACATGTTCCCAAGGTTCTCAGCCTGTAGCGCAACAGAAACGTCGACTTGCGCTCATCCTTTCAGTGTGCTCCATGATGCATCAAAAACCGTCTCTTCATGCCAACTGGCCACGGACCGCTCCGGGAAGCGCAAGACTCGAATGCGTATCTGCCATGAAGGCCGCCGGATTCTCCTCAATCTGCCTTACGTGGAATGACTCTCCAGTGTCCCTTCCATCCATCACCACGCCAGTGAGAAAAGGGCCCGTCAGACATCCAGCGCTGTTCCGAACAATTCCGGCAGCATCGACCGGCTGGGGGTTGGGAAACGCGATGCGCGGAGGACCCGAAGCGCCGCGGGCTGCCTCGTGAATATGCGTCGCCGTGTCTGCAGGGGACTCGAATTCGCCTTGGAAGTTGTGCAGTGTGATATTATAGCAGATCATGTTGGCGGCCGAGTTGATGCCGAAGTGGAACGTTCCTGAAGCGCCTGCAATTCCGCCGGTGGGCGTGGTGCCGTTGACGACTTGATCCGGTGTTGCCTGGACCGCGTGCATAGATGTGAATGTGAAGAGGTCATGGGCATTGTTGGCTCCGGCTCCGGCTCCAACGAGGCCGTCTTGATTGAGGTCAATGTTGAGTTGGAGGGTTATGGTGCCGGCCGCGGTATCGAGAGCGACGGGGACGGCGGAGACGGTCAGCGCCGAGGCAAAGGCAAGAGGAAGGGAAGTGGGAAGCTTCATTTTGATCAACAAGAACGAAGGTATATTAATAAATACGGACAGAAAGAATTGAAAAGGTATATCAAAACAAATGAATGTCGAGTGAACTGTTCAACAGCACGCTGAAGGGTGAGGTTCTGGGGCCCTGCATGGTTTATATAGTAGAGCCGCGCCGAGCATGCAGTTCCCGCATATTGGGACCTCCGGAAGGAAGTTGAACGGTTTGAGGCTGCTCGGCGTCTCTCTTGGATGGTTTCACGGGAGCTTGGCGGAGGATTATCCGACTCGGCTTTGTAGACTTGCGGTATCAGAGGCCATTATTGCGAGGGATTCCAAATGGCGATGCTTACGCGTCTGACTCTCGTAGATAAGGATTTATGCTTTTCATGGTGTCTTTGTGCTGGGAGCGTCTAAATCAGCGATAAATGCAAAGGTGTTGAAAATACATGGGGGAGGATTCCCATCCTCTCGAGCTTGCCCTGGCGGGGCCTAACTTTAAACACGCGCCTGGTCAGAACCACAGTTCGAGAGATCAGCGCAAGGGTAGTTGTGATTGGGAGAGGTGACAGCCATGCTGGAAAGATTCTGACGACTACATAGGTACAAGGCGACGTAAAGAGGTCAGGAGGGTTTGCGAGGCGTTGAATTAGGCTCAAGACTAGCGCCGAAATAGGCGGGATGTGGTGTATCCAAGTAGTATGACCTATACGCACAATAATCTCCATCTCGATGACCGCCAATGGCTGGGTATACAAACACTCGTCATTCTTGTTGTGGAAGTTGATTAATGATGAATGCCAAAATCATGTCAATGAAAACCATGGACGAAGCTTTCACTATCACCTGCAAAGGTTAAGTTCTGGCATCCAACTGTGGTAGGATCGGCCCGCATGGATGAGGCATGAGCTATACATGACGTAAACATTAGCGAACCAGACGTACAAATATATAAGTATTGTAAACCGCATTTCTTTCTCTAAAGAAGCCCTCTCAGAAACTTCCAAACGCCTACACCGAGACATCTGCATCATCAGCCTCTATTCACATCCACTCCGTACTCGAGCACACTCCAGCCAAAATGCCCAGTACGCTTTGCATCACTTCCAAGTCGTGCCTTCACTGACATATCTATCAGAGGGACCAATTGAACCACCCGAGCCCAAGACCGCCGCTCAGGAACAGCGCATGCACGACCACGAGGCCAATACCGAGCACTCCAAGAGCGGAAGCAACAGACAGAGCGGTCAGGGTATGGAGTATGTCACAAGGAAGACCCACAGTTCGCGGGAATGGGAGGAAGGTACTGGCAAAGAAGAAGTTCACGGCACTGGAAAACCTAGTAAGGGATAGGTCGGAGGAGGTCGACGTATATTGAAAAGGACTGCATTTGGGAGAAAACAAAAGCGTAACGACTGTAATGATGAAGAATTTGAATCCCCTCCATTCTCCCAGATAATTTTCAGGGATCCTCAAGCATCTACAGGCATCCCTTATTAGAACAACCAGATCATTGTTGGATCATGGCAGGCTAGATGAGTTTGGGAGCTTAGGCATAGTATAGCATGGCGATCTTCAGCAAGAAAAATGAACCTTTCTACTTTGACCCTGAAATGTCGCATTTCTAGAACATGACTGAGTGCAACATAACGGGTATTGAAGGTGGGAACATCATTGAGTGAGATAATTGCATCAGCTCTGTACTGTACAGTTACTGACCACTCGAGTTCAGTCACTGTACTATCCACATGCTTTGCTCCTATTGGTGTTAGTTGGTCAAGGCCGAGATAAAGGCCGAGATAAAGGCCGTTTGTCTGTTTTCCATCCATCACCCAGAAAGAATGCTTGCTCTGCATCTGGCGCCAGATTCTTCCTTTCCTGTGAGCTTTTCATGTCTGCGCCGCACGGATGCGCTTGTTTAGCTAAATGCATCTGCAGCTGGCACGCCTAAACTCGGCGGAGTCTTACGATGCTGCGACAACGCCGCAATATAGCCATCTTGGTTATTCGTTGTCATGATATCCAGTGCATGGATGTGGACCCGCTTCTCATCAACTGATAGAAACGAAATCCAGCCTTGAACTCTGACCGTTCCCTTCCCACTCATTTCGAACAATAGGGCACCTACATCATGGACTCAGAGACTAAAAACAACATAGCCGAGCATCTCGATGGTGTGTCAGGAACTGGCGATATTGTACCAGAAAATCTGACTGGATGGAGGCTGCACGGCATCTGTTTCTGGATCCTTGTTTCGCTTTTCGTTGCACAGATGGACACGTTTATCACAAATACAGCAATCCTTACCATCACCGACCGACTAGGTGGATACAAGAAGCATTCCTGGGTCTTCACGGCTTATATGCTCACTTTTCTGTGGCATGACATTCCAAGATGGGCCATCGGAGTACTGAGTCCCTTGATAGTGTCGCTCGACGCTTCTTGTGGTGGATTGGCCAGGTCTTGTGTCGGCAATATTGAACGACGGAAGAAACATATACTGTTATTCTCTGAAAGTAGAAACCAGAACAGAGTGAAAACCTGCCCTCCCCCATGACTTCTCCGCTGTTTCGTTTTCAAGACGAGGTGTGAATCCTGGTTTGTCATGTGGACACCGGGAGGTCCGACCTACTTCTGAACTGCAGCACTGGTCCGTCCTTCCAATTGAGATAAGAATCCCAAAACACAAACTCACTCCGGCTGCTCTGACCCCAACCCAATCCCGGGTGACCCTCCCCAGCCGTCTGCCCAGGTGCAAGTCTAAAATCCATTGCCCATACGGTTTTCGCAATAACGAGAAGTAACTCCAGCGTGGCCAAGTTTTGCCCGGCGCAGTTGAGCGGACCAATCGAGAATGGATGAAAAGACTTTCGCAACTGCCGGACGTCAGCTTCGGTGTGGAAATCATCTGCATTCGTTGAAGGAGTCCATCTCTCCGGTCGGTAAACGTTCCAGTCACCGAAGACGTCGTCTAGGCGGCCCATTGCATATGCTGCACAGCCCACTTCGGTTCCGGCCGGGTACATTTGTCCGCCGATTATGGCGCCGCCGCTCAAGACCTCCCGAGGCAGCTCGCCGGGTGCAGGCGGGGCGAGGCGTAGGGCCTCATCGATGCAGGCGCGAAGGTAACTGCAGCTACTCAAAGTAGTTCCGTGCACGATTTCTTCCTTTGAGGCGAACGTTGATCGGATCTCTTTCTGCAATTTGTGCAGTACCCGCGGATTGTGCGCCAGATAGAACAACACTCCGCACAGAGTGAAAGAGGTAGTGTCCGTGCCTGCTAGTACGAGAGCGCGGGCTTCAGCGAGCAGATGATCGCGCTTACTGTACGCGGGAAGCCCAGTGTCAGGATCCGTGGCATTCAGCAGGAAATAGAACATGTCCTGTCGAGAAGACTTGGAGGATTTATGGGCTGCGATCCTGTCGTCAACGTTGCTTTCGATGAAGGAGTTGTACTGTTTCACTTCGGTGCTCCGCGCTCGCTCCATGAGTTTATTCAAACCACGGGGCTGCAGAAAAATCAAAAGTTCGAAAAGGGGAGATTTGGAGAGCTGCCTTTTTGTCAGATAGTACACAATGCTTCTGAACTCTCCTTTCTTACAATGTAGCCGACGTAGATTTGCTTCAGGATGAGGTGTGGCATCTTCTTCAAGCTGTTTTCTCCAGGCTCTTTCGTGTTGAACGTTTGTCCAAAACACAGATCTCCCATAATGTCGAAAATGAGATGGTCCATCCAAGTCGACATGTTCCTGGGCTCCGACCAGCCGTCTTCTATGGCATCTTCACCGACTAAGAGCTGAATCCATCGATCAATATGCCCCACTATGATGGGGCTGGCCGCTTTAACGCTTCGCTCGGTGAAGATGAGATTCAGAAGCCTCCTCTTTTTGGCATGCTCTTGTTTGTCAACAGAGTTTACAGTGTGAACATCATTCGCGTGGCGCTTCCACATTTTGTAGAAGGCGCTGCGCCGCGTATTGGCCCGGACTCCATAGATATCCGTAAAGGCGCGCGTGTTGTTAAACAGGATCAGATTCGGCGTAGCGCGGAATTTATCTCCTGTTCATTGTGAGCACGTCAACCGTAAACAAGGCAAACGGCAAGGTATAGTAGATGAGTTTACCGTATAACTGGAAATTCTGCCAGATCCACACATGGCGATCACCTTTCAACGCATGATAGAAAGATGGAAGCCGGTTAATGCGTGCGAGAACTGGACCGGGTACCTTGGATAGAGGGTGGAAGAACAGACTATAGACTATGCTTCCAAACACATAGCTCACAATAAGGCAGAGAGCCAGGATTATGTAGTCGCTCATATTGTCAACAAGTGAGGAGCTGTGCAAACGATATTACAGAAAGAAAAAGGACCAGTTCTTGCAGCACCAGAGTCTGTATCCAAGCGAGCCTGAGGAATCCAGGTGGAAAGAGGGAATAGGTACTGTGTCTGCTGAGGATTTATATATCTACCAGCGCCGAAAGTCCAAGGGTCCCAGCTGGGCGCCTTACCATTGGGCTGGAATGCTTGTCAAGGGTTGTGGCTGGCGTAAGCATCTTTCGCCGTTCTGAGACAATGATAGTACGCACGGACAGGGAAGCCATCTGGTCGCCTGGTCTGCGCAGATAATACGTCCAAGAAGCGGACTTCATCCTTGGACAGCGGCTGTTCGTCCAGCAGATACTGTCGATTCATTGAGAATCATAACGCGAAGCGAGTGCGACCACTACACCGTGGACCAGTGTGGCACAGGGCAGGATCCAGAATCATTCGGTTGGGCCGTCGTTTTGAGAATAACCATTCCGGGAACTCCACCGGGGGAGAGTGAACATTTCGGATTGCTGCTCTGCCCGGTGCAGAGAGAGCTGGGTTATCCTTATCTGGCTAGAGTCAGACCAAGGCTGTCCCAGAAACAGCCTTGCTTCGAACTTACATAAATTTATGTCCGCATCTCCCAGCAAGAATGTGCCTATATGTCAACATCTGAGCCCGCTTTCGGAGAACTATGATTGCAGTTCTGAATATTAGCTGAGTACTGCCATAACATCTCAGTAGAACACCGAAAATCCGATGATGCACACCACCGTGGTCACTGCTGAGCAAACGATCTGTTATCCCAGCCTCAGCCATTCAATTGATTCCGCAGTATCTTGACTCGATATTCCCAAACGCCCTGTATGCTCGTTAATGATACAACATCCATAAAACATCCATACGTGAACTGGTACACAGATCCCTGCCGCCCTTCGCTCTCATCTTAATCATACATCTCCCCAACCACTCCATCACCCCAGAACCCACGCCCGACAAGCAAACCCCATTACCACTATCTCCTCTTAGTAAACTTCTTCGATTCTGCGACTCATTAGCACCGCTCTCACTCCCCAACTCCTCTCTTTCAAGAAACCTACCGGCAGCCGTCTTCTTCTTCTTGGGATTCTCCTTCCCTCTCGACCTCGCAATCTGCAAATGCTCCAACCAATCCTCCTCCTTCTCGTCAATGATGGTGAACTCCGGGTACAGCGCGCGCAGCTGCTTGATCGTCCCGATACGCGGCGGGTAGTAGGATGCTACGGAGGGACCCTTGAGGCGCTCGTGGAGGATGCGCGTGCCGAGGCGGAGGCCGGTGGGATTGTAGGTCGTGGAGAAGATGCGGCATCGGGCCTGGGGAAGTCAGGATATTGTATCAGGTGCTAGGTCCATATCGTGGTCTGCGAAGGGGAAAATGAAAGAGCCTGAGATACCTTCATCAGGTCAAGGACCCGTTGACGTGGGACGGCCATGGTGGATGAGCTCGTGTCCTGCGGAGATCGATGCGGAGTTGTTGCGGTGATGGTTTGGGGAGTTGCAATTCTTGGCATACTGACGCTAGTCCCGGAAGGGAAACATATCGCGGGACCCACTTTAACGTTTTGAACCACCGAGCCTCAAGCAGGCTTCGTGTTGATTTGACAACGCCGCCACAGAGCGAGTGTTCAAGATCAAGAGCAGTTGACCAGGGCATGTTGAGGAATGTTTTGAGATATACTATTGCTAAGTGGTTTACGAGACGTTGACTGAGTACAAATCCGATCCACGAATTCCATAGCATCCACCATGTCCGAGAAACGCGGCCGCTACGACGACCACAGCGGACGTCACCAGAACTTCAAAAAGCACAAACCCAACAGTCAACATGGCAACCGCGACAATCGCCCTCGCAACCCGCCGAGCCAACAAGCTAGCCAATCCGTTCGCATCCCGGACGACATCGTGCGCCTCCAGCAAGAAATCGCCAGCCTCCCGGATCCGAAGAACTGCACACCATGTCAGAAGATCGAAAAGGAGATGGACACTGGAATCATAGCATTGTTAGACCATCTTGTACAAGAAGAAGCCGCAGATCCCACCCGACAAGACCAATCGATCCTCCACCACGCCCGCTCCCTCCGAGACCTACTCTCCACCCGCGCCTCCTCCCTCACCACCACTCGGCTCCAAACCCTCGACTCCAAACGCCCGGAAACCGCTCCCCCAATAAAGATCCCCCCGTATACCCTCCACCGCCTCCAACAATCCAAATCCCTTCCCCCGCTACCGCCAATCTCAGACCCACACATCGAATCCCTCATCTTCACCCACCGCAGCTTCGCAGACGCCAGACTGCTCGCCCCGCGCGGCTACCGCGGCACCGAAACAAACTACGAGTCGCTCGAATTCCTCGGCGACGCGTACATCGAAGCCATGGCCTCGCGCCTCCTGTACTCGCGGTTCCCGGACATTGAACCCTCCCTGCTGAGCTCGTTCCGCGAAAAACTAGTCAAGAACGAGACGCTGGCTGGTTTCTCCAACGCGTACGGGCTACCGGATCGATTGAAGCATGGCGCGCATATAAAGGAGACTAAGGCTTGGGGGAAGATTGTGGCGGATGTGTTCGAGGCGTACGTCGCTGGGATCATTCTCTCGTCGCCGGATTCAGCAGAGGGGTTCAGTGCGGCGGAGGAGTTTTTGACGGCGTTGTGGACGCCGCAGATGCTCGCTTTTCAACCTCCTGTCATGGAGAATCCCAGGGCGAGGGATGAGATCAATAAACTTCTCGCGGCGAAGGGGATCAAGCTCGAGTACAGGGAGGAAAGGGGTATGCGCATGGAAGACGGGAAGCAGAAATTTTTCATTGGGCTGTATTTGACCGGGTGGGGATTTGAGGATGAGTGGTTGGGGAGCGGGGAGGGGAGGAATAAAGGCGAGGCGTGCGTCAGGGCGGCCATGGATGCCTTGAAGGACGGGAGGGGGGTGATCAAGGTGGCGAATAAGAGGAAGTTGGAGGTTTATCCCTCCAAGGAGAAATCGGAGAGGAAGAAGGGGAAAGATGGGAACGAGAACGTTGGGGTGGCTTGATTGGGGAGATCTTGGAAGTGGAATACAACTCCTCGACAGGTGAACGGGCGGAACATAGCTTGAGATATCAGGGAGCAGTCAATTGTATGCATATTGATACCCATCCTATTCGAAGTCAACAACCAAACGATCAAATGTCATTTGTGCCATATTCATCCGTGAAAGCCAGAATCTATATACCATAACCGGACTCCTATCACGATGCGCCTAAAAATCTCTAAGATGCAACCCGTCAGACTTGTTGATAAGTTTGCCGCCCAACAACTGTACCATGCCCCTTTCGCCTATTGTGTCTTCCCTTTGACAGCACTCTTGCCCACGCGTTCTGTCCCAGGCGGGATTCTCAACCCCCCAAACACCAACGCGCACACACCGACCATACCTGCCGCACCCATGGCATACGCCGTCTCGCGCCCAGCCCACCAATACAATGTGCAGAAGATGAGTGGCCCGAGAGCACGCCCTGCTTGTCCTATATAGACTATTAGCCATAGCCCTCTTCCCGTCGCTGATTCCTTCATTCCGAATGACCCCAAACCAGGGATTGATAAGAAAACTGATGAAATAGAGAAACGAAAAGTCGCACTCACCAAAACTCCTATGGTTCCCCAACTTGACTCCCCTCTCCCCGACCCCGGCCTCAAAACTACTCAGGCTATTCAACCCTGTCACCACCGTCGCGCTCGTCACCGCCAAAAGCGCGCCCGCAGCGTACAGACCGCGGACGCTTTGCACACTTCCCAGCAACCAAAACGCCACAGCGCAACTGCTCACCCCTAGCTGGACAACGCGTAGAGGGTGTAGGCGGCGCACGACGCTGCCTTGCAGGATGGAGGCAACGAGGCCGATGAAGCCGAGGAGGCGGCCTTGGTCCGAGGAGCGGAAGGAGAAGAGGTCCCATGTAAGGAAGGGGAGGGAGAACTCCATGCCGGAGAAGAAGAGGAGAAAGGTGAAGTGTGTAGTGTTGAGAAGAAGATGCGAGTTTGTTCTTCGAACAGGAGTGGCGGTTTCTTTGGGTTTGGTCCCATTTGCAAGCCTCGCGTTCCCGCCTTCCTTCACCTTCTCCGTCTCCTCTTTCGCAGAGGCCGACGGTAGCGTCTCCGGCAACGCAACATACAAATACGCCGTCTCGACAAGGATCAGCACCAACGAAAACCCCGCGGCCCCGACAAACGGATTCTGCGCAAACGTCGTCTTTGTGCTCAACCACGCCCCCAGCGCCGGCCCAAACGTAAACGCAATGCTGAAACACGCACCCACCAGGGCCATTGTCGCGCCCCGCTGCCCCTCGTCGCTGATATCCGTCGCAATCGCCATGGCGAGCTGGACATTGCCCTCGCTCAGCCCACCGACGATGCGGCTGAGTAGGAAGGTCCGGAAGTCGGTTGCGGCGACCCACAGTGCGACGGAGAGGATGTTGCCTGCCATGCTCCACAGTAGGGCTTTGCGACGGCCATATTTATCGCTGAGGAGGCCGATGATGGGGGAAGCGAGGGCTTGCAGGAAGGAGAAGAGGGAACCGAGGGCGCCGCCGAGGAGGACAATGTCGTATCGGTCGTTTATGGGGCGAGCGAAGGCGTTTTTGTAGGCGTTGAGGAGGGAGAGGACGTGGGAGAGGAGGGTGGGAGTGGTGGTGGAGAGGCGGGATTCGTGGCCGCGGTAGAATTCGATGAGGTTGGGAAATAGCGGGAGGATGAATGTAAAGGAGATCTATGGGGAAGGAAAGGAGGGTTAGTTTCTGGGGGGAATTGGAACCTGGTGGTGAGGGGGATAGTATCTAGGCGGGGAGACGTACGAGGTCCAAGAGTAGCGACGTGAAGAGCACTCTCAACACCTTCTTCCGCCGCTCTGGCGTCCCCGGGGGCGCAGACATGTTGGTTGCTATTCTACAGCTGCCCCTTCTTGAAAGTGAAGAAGAAATGTTTCTGTTCGGAATGCAGCCAGAGATTTTTGGAACCGCGTGCTGGAACCCAGGAGGACCAGGATAAATATAGACAAAATAGATGAAAGTCCCCAAAAGAACACGAGGTCAATTGTACAGCCCTGCCGAACTTTCCACGTGCATATCCTGGTTTGCGTGATCAGCACGAAATGGTAATAAATTGGCGTGGTTTTTGGCTTCAGATGGACAGAAACGAAGCTGTAGAAGTATCTGTCATGGAGGAGTGTATTGTTGTAGTTTGGGTGAACTGGGGAGCCGATGTCAGCCCCGCGGGTTTCAGCACCCTAATAAGAGGTACTGTACAGTCAGACAGCATGTTCGTCGCAGGAAACACAAGTGGTCTCAGGCGCTTCCATCCTTTTCTGAAACTCCGAGCATGGGAGGCGTCGTGAATCGTACATGTTTCGAAACACATTGTTGACTTATGGGTTTCACAAGGAGCGTGCGACGTGCACTGATCGAGGCGCTGGGCGCAACACACTTGGGCACACGAGCCGAGGCAAAGCGACTTAGCCTGGAGCGTCTAACCGATTTTGGGGCAACAGCGATTGACCAGTGGTGAATATCTTGATTTCTCCTCTGTAAAATGTCCCGGCCTGGTCTACTGTAGTGTTTTGTCTGGATTTCACTCCGGATCGATAGAGGGAAGAGCTATTCATCATGGGAAATCCAGAGGCAGACAGGCAAAAAGCCATGGCGGCTGCGCAGGCAATGTTCGACCGGTATTTCCTGTTGGCAGCGGAGAGGCCGAAGGATCATATTGTAAGCATATCCACGACTGTTACACTGCTTGATATTACCGAGAGTAAATATTGAAGAAATAAATGTAGGATTTCGACCGGCAAGTCATGAAAGATCTCAAACTGGTCGACGCTACATTGGACGGAACTGTGACATTCGAGTTCTTCATTTCTCAAAATTATTCCAACTTAAATGGCATGTCACACGATCCTTCATTCTCAGCACTCACACTTTCTTCAATTTCCCCCTTCTGCTATGTCCAAATTCTAAGTTTGCAGATGTCATGCACGGCGGCGCCGCCGGCGTCATCTTCGACATGGCCACCACCACGGCCCTCTGCCCCGTCGCCAAACCCGGCTACTGGGAATTCATGGGCGGCGTCACCCGCAGCCTGAGCATCTCGTACCTCAAACCCGTCCCCATCGGCATCACCGTCCGCCTCTTCTCCAAAGTCGTCAGCGTGGGCAAGCAGATGGCCATGATCAGGGGAGAGATGACGAGCCTAGACGGAAAGATCACGTATTGTACGGTGGAGCATCATAAGGTGAACACGCCGGTGTTGGAGAAGAATAGGAGGGTGAGGTTGCCGTGGGATGATGTGTGGGATGGGGAGTGGGGTTTGGGTAAGTATCGGGGGGTATCATCGAAAATATGAATTTTTTGGTTCTATCATGTCTTGTTTTGTTCTTCTCTCCTTTGCCATCTCTTACTTCCTCAATGCCCTTCCTGCAATGTCCTTCCGGTACTGCATACCGTCAAAGTGTATGCAGTCGACGCCATTGTATGCCTTCGCCACGGCCTCTTCCAGCGTATCCGCCGTGGCCGTGGAAGCGATAACACGACCACCAGAGGTCTTGAGGGTGTTGTCTGAGAGAGTAGTTCCAGCATGGAACAGTACCACGTCGTCAGGAACCGGGTCAATGGTCATGACCGTCCCTTTGGCATACGACCCCGGATACCCTCCAGCAGCCACCACGACCGTCGCAGCCGACCTCTCCGATACCTTGACATCCACCTCGGCCAACCTCCCCTCCGCCACCGCAACCATGACCTCCGCCAAATCCCCATCCATGAGCGCCAACAAACTCTGCGTCTCGGGGTCTCCGAACCGTACATTATACTCCAACGTCTTCGGCCCCTCCTTCGTCATCATCAACCCCGTAAACAACACTCCCTTGAACTCGAACCCCTCCTCCCTCATCCCATCAACCGTCGGCTGCTGAATCTCCCGATGAATCTGCTCCACCACTTCCTTTGGCGCAATCTTCGTCGGCGCATACGTCCCCATCCCCCCGGTATTGGGCCCCGTATCCCCCTCCCCAATCCGCTTATGATCCTGCGCAGGAGGCAACGACCGAATCGTCCTGCCATCACTAAACGACAAGATGCTCAACTCGTCCCCCTCCAGAAACTCCTCAATCACAACCTCGTCCCCGGCGTCCCCAAACTCCTTGTCCAGCATAATTTCCTTCAGAGCAGCATCCGCCTCCTCCTTGCTCTGCGGGATAATCACGCCTTTCCCTGCAGCAAGCCCCGACGCCTTGATGACCACGTTGTGCGATATCGAGTCCAGGTATTTCCGCGCGGCCTCGTAGTCGGAGAAATTCTCGTACGCCGCTGTGGGGATGCTGCGCCGCTTCATAAAGTCCTTGCTAAACGTCTTGCTGCCCTCCATTCTCGCCGCCGCCTTGCTAGGTCCGAAAGCCTTGATTTCCGGCGCATTCTGCGCGAAATGATCTACGATGCCGGCGACGAGGGGTGCTTCGGGCCCAGGGACGAGTAGGTTGACATGATTCTCTTTTGCGAATTTCACCAGCGCGGGGAAGTCTTCTTGCTTGATGTTCGAGATATTGGTGACGTTGGGGAGTTGGGCGGTGCCGCCATTGCCGGGGACGACGAAGATGTGGTCGACGAGAGGGGACTGGCGCAGTTTCCAGGCGATGGCGTGTTCGCGGCCACCGTTGCCGACGAGGAGGACGCGGAGTTTGGTGGACATTGTGTTGGAAGGGGAGCAGCGCAATTGGGCGTGAGGGCTAGGTGAGGTCAATTTTTGCGAATCCAAAAACATTTGGAACCAGTACCCCCGCCGTGGGGTAATGACAGGGGAAGAGTGGCTGTGCGTGTGGCGCCACGGAGCCTCATTTCATCAGTACATATGTGCCTATAATTAGGTACTTCATCCTGAGATTATATAAGCGACTCGTTGATGACCTCAGTAGGCTCAGGGACTTCCTCTCCTGGGTAGCGAATGTTAGATATCTCATTACCCTTGATAACAGTAATTTCGCGTCTGACCACGCGTGTCGCTGAGATCGTGAAGGTCGAGAAGATCGTCCGGGTTGGCTTGGTCAAAACTATCATCATCATCACAGCCTGCCCCCATTGCATGTTTGGCAATGCCGCTTCCCACAGGCGCATCAGCTAGAGAGGCACAGGAGAAATCCGGACTAGATGAGTTGCAATGGCCGCGCTTCTACGTAAGGAGCCCCACGAAGCCTCAACGAGATCCTGCCTGATCAAAACATCTTTGATTCCGTAGACTATTACATTAGAGGTGGCAAAGCAGTTTGCAGGTCGATCGTGGGCCAAGACCCCCGGGGGTGACAGAGAAACCATTCGGAAACGTGTCAATGAGAGGCTTCAGGAGGAGAAAATCCCCGCTGTTGCGGACGACATCCTTCGCTGGCGGATGCAATACGCTCTCCGCGACGGTAAGGGTGCCTAGACGCAGAAGATGGAGAAAACTAACCTCTATCTATAGCGAATAAGTCGGCGTCGCGTCCAAAGCCACAGGCGGAGCGTGCGACAAGCGCCGATGCATCACGCACTTCCCGCCCTTATGACCCAGTTCGGGATCAGTAGTCACAGAGTGGAGATGTTACACTCGTTTAGTTTACATCTTCCATGCCTATTTGAATGCGTGACGAGAGCGCAACTAAACTTTAATAGTTTGCCTCGCACAGGACGCCTCAGTGGCGTGAGAGAACATCGCCTAGTAGCTGAACATTGATATAGCAGATATGACCACCGTCACATTTCCTGCTGCTTGTCACACCACGCTTTCCCCTAATCACCGAAGTGCATTGGCAACTTTCATCAGCATTGCCAATTGCTAACATCAGCCTTGTCTTCTCTGTAAACGAGAATCCGTACCGTGCTCGAACAAACAGAGGCCAGTCTGACCACTTCATCAGTGCAAGTTTGCCCTGACATGATCTTATGTTCCGCTCGAGCTCGAGGCAACTTATTTTATTTTCACTGTTTGTATACAATATATAGCCAGTTTCTGTTTTCCCCTCAACGTTTTTTCATAACGTACCTCACGGGCGAGCCATCCTCACGGGCGAGCCATCCTCACGGGCGAGCCATCCACACGGGCGAGCCATCCACACGGGCGAGCCATCCACACGGGCGAGCCGTCCACTTTTGCCAAGACCCTACCAAAATCCATACTGTTTATGACAGTATAATACAACCATGAACAATTTTCAAAAATTGTAATAAGCCAATCTATTCTGAATCTACTTCTACTTCTTTCTTACATGTGTGCAAGTTGTGCCCAGTCTCGCCGCAGCGTCCACAGCGTCATTGAGTAGGCTTGTCCTTATCAGCATGCGCTCTCTTCTTTGCCTTCTTCTCATCATCATGCGCTGCAAACTCCTTAAGGGTAGCTAGCCGTAGGCCCTCTTCAGCTGTTAGTACCCCTTCACGCTATATATGCTTTCTTTTATATGATTTACATCACGTGGCAGCTTCATTTGCCACTTGAAGCTCAGTGATCTCTTTTTGTGCCAATACCAGCTTGTGCACTACCAATACCACACCTTTTGCCAACTTTTCAAAGGCCTCAACCATGCCAGTTGGTGAGCTATCTAGGTGTCTCTGAATCTTCTCCTTCACAAGCGTCGATTGGGACC